CAAATAAGAACTAAAAAATTGAACTAAAAATAACGAACCACTTTCATTCTTGTTAATTAGAACTAAAATAAGATTGCATAAGTTATGTTTTAAAAGTATGAAAAACATTACGAAACGCAGTAAAAGAAATTAAATAAAAAATACTGACCAACAACACCCTAAAGATCAAACCCAGATTTGAACCAATCAATTTGCAAAATGATTCTTAAGCTTAAACTTTTACTATGAAACCTAAATTCGCTCTGCATCATCGAGTGTTTCTGGAAGTTCCCTGTTACGAGTTTCTGGTAAAAATGTTGAAAAAACTCCGCCAACGAATGCAGTTACACCGAAGATGACGAAAGGTGCTGGTTTCCATGATTGCGACAGATGAATAACAAAGGGAGCCGAAATCCCTCCGATTCTTGCCGACATGCTACAAGCTCCAAGTGCGGCATTTCTGATGACTGTCGGGAACTGTTCAGTGGAGAACAAATAAACTGTGCCAAAACTTGCAGTGATACTCATTTTTCCCAACATGGATAAAGTTAGAACCAGCCAAGTCCACGTCTCGGGAATGAAAAGAGAAAGTAAAAGAACTGCACCAGCACAAATCATGCTGCCTGACATAATTAATTTTCGTCCCCATCGATTGAGTGTCAAGATCAGAAAATAATAAGCAGGAATTTCCACGAGACCACTGAGAATAAAGTTGAGAATTTGATTTCCTACTAGGCTGCCTGATCCCCATGACAATCCATAGTAACAAGCGGAAATGGCAAACCAATTGTAAAATATGAGAATTGATTTGGTTCGCAGATTTGGTGTCTTAAATAAATCGAACACTGAATGTTTCTTTCCGCTATCAAAAGTCTCAGGTTCGGCTTCTAATTTCTCTAAAAGTCTTCTTGGAACTTTCAAGTTGTTGACTCTGGCGATCTTCTCAATCTGTGCGATTGCTTTTTCCTTTTGATTGTTTGCTAAAAGCCATCGAGTTGATTCAGGAATGATCCACCAATAAGATAAGAAAAGTATGCCAGGCAAGGTCAAAGCCACTTGAAGCCATCTCCAGTCATGAATGAAATATGCAAGCAATCCGAGTAAAATGTAGCCAAGCGAGAAGAACATCATGATGACAGTTCCAGCATGCGGTCGATATTGCTTACCAACCATTTCAAGACACGAACAATATGAAACTAACGACACGCCAATAGTCGACCCTCCAACAATCTTGAAATAAAAAATATTTACAAAATTTTCGACCTTTAATAAGTTTCAGTTCTCTCACCACTCGACAAATCGCGAAAGAAATGAATTCTGGTGATAAAGCGGTAAGAAATCCAAACACAACTTGGATCAGTAAAGAAAACAGCAAAATTGGTCGTCTTCCATATTTATCAGATAACTCGCCAAAAATATAACTTCCAATGAGAATTCCCAACATGACCATCGAGTCACCCGCAGCTTTCAATACGTTTTCATCACAAACTAATGAAAATGATTTAACAGCTGATGACTTCACTATCGATGAATCCCAAATGAACTCGGAACATTTTACAGATTCATTTGAATCTGAAATAAAATATTCACACTTCGAATATGCTTTTTTCTCTTTATCAAATGGAAATGAAGAATTCCAAACATCAGCAGGTAAATGAAAAGATGAATTTGACAATTCTCCATCCAACTTGCATCGATGATCGGGTATGGCAAGAATGGAAATTCCGGATAAAATATGGAAAGCTGTCGAGATATTTGGGAAGCACAACAAGATGTAAACTCTCTTCTGATATTTTCCAAATTTTCCGTGTGATAAATGTGGAAGAATTTCATCATAACTCATTTCAAGTGTCTTCACTTATGCTCGCGAGTTTATTGCACGATCGTATGAAGAGAAGGTCAACTATTTCTATTTTCTGTTCTATTTACAAAATCTTTAAGCGTTCATAGTGTAATCAACCATGAATGTTTCTACGTCAGTTGTAGTTTTACGACTGAACTTTCATTTGAAGCGTAACCTGAAAAGAAGAGAAAACTCTGAAAAAGATCCAACATGTGCTTCACCTACGCAATACATAAAACACAAATGATTTTCTCTGCGACAAATTTTCTTTATTCTCTAAAACGGATTTCCTTGGTTTTCAATAATTATCTGTTTTATATTCGGGACTGATGCAAATTTACACAATTTCACTGTAAATTTCCATCTATGAATTATTATCTCCTTAGTTTATATTTTTTTAGTTTCTTTTTATTCACATTCAAGTTTATTATGAGTTTAGTGGTTTATTCCTTAGACAAACTACTCGTAGTTTCATTTCAAAATATATTCCGCTCATAGAACGGTTATGTAACACTTTTTTCTTTAGTTTTTATTCAGAAGGGACGCTTCTACTGAAACGGCACACTTTCAATTAGTTTTCCTCTGTCAAGCAGTTTCTAAAATCTTTCAAACGACTCTGAGAATGTGAATAAAGATGAAAATTATAAAAATAAACACATAAAACAATGAAATATTATTGCATAAAATCAATTTGTGTTTTATTTTTAAATTCCGTTCTCTGAGCGAGAAGTGTTAAAATAAAAAGAAGCTAAAACTGAAGTTTTCAGAATAATAAAATTAAGTGTATACAAAACGATGTTGTTAAGATTAAATTCTTAAAAAACATTTTTCTATGCTACAAGAAGAAAACATATTTACTTATGTTAATATTTAACATCATCATGGGTGATCTAATTAATGTTGCTAAATACATAAAAGTAGCTATTAGGAAGAAATAAAATATTAATAAATTGAATAAAGTTAAATGTATGTGTGATTGAATCATAAAAAAAAACAAACAAAAATTAAGTAAAGTTTTGTCCCTATTTTGTACTTTTCCTTAATTAACATTTTTACCCTCATCATCATAGTTTCATTTTTCCATATGATTTTTCTTCATCCAATTGTTTTAGATTTTATTACAAATATTTTTTTTATTATTTTTCTGTTATCAGTTATCACTATGCAAAACAACTTAATTTTCTTAAATCAATTTCTCTGAACATTTCTTTTTCATCTATTTTAATTTCAAATGTAATCTTAGCTTCGGTTTACTCTGTTGCAAAAAAAAATCATTTATTTTGTTTCTCATCCTTTTCTTGCCTATATAAATAAAATGAAATTGAAAGAGTTGTGATAAAGAAAAAAAAAGGTTTTTAAGACTCTCACAACTAATCGAATGTCCTAAAAAACTTAAATTAAATGATAATAATAATTAAGAAAAAGAAAAATTCTTTTTACAATTGGGAGGGGTACATTAAGTCACCTCATCTCTAGAAAGATTTAAGCGAGTTTCTCTTTCTTTTCATACAAAACATATTTAAAATAAGTAAGTTCTTTAACTTCAACGGAATTTTTTTCTTTTTCTTAATCGTTTTAGTTATGTGTTTTAAAAAATGTTGTTCCATTGTTATTTGGCTGAAAATATGATTTTTTTTCTTCTTTTTTCTGTTTCTGTTAAGTTTTTAGAGCAATTTACAATTCCAGGTCCGTTTCAGCGAGATCAGGGCAGAATTCTTTGAATACTTCTGTGATGAGTTTATATCTAAATGAATATAAAAATGTAATTTAAGAAACAATAATTATTTGTTGTAATTAAATTACTTTGATTCCATTCCGCCTCCAGCGGGCCAATTGATGTTGCTGCTGTTCAACATTCTCATCAATGTGCTCACATCATATACAGCCTCCGAGTCTTCAGTGAATTCTAGAAAATGTCAAATAATTAAAAATGATTATTGAATGTTTTTAATTAAAGACTCATGAAATTAGATAATAATTAATAAAATGATTGAAACAGATTTAAGTAAATCAGAAAAATGATTCAAAATAAACTGCAAAAAAGACAGAGATAGGAAGATAGATATGTAGAGAGTGACAGAGAGAGAGAGAGATAGCGAATTATAACTTAATCGATAAGAAACGAAAAAAGCATAAATTAATGATTCTGGTTATCATCATTCATACCTCATGCTCAGTTTACGATATTATTTAATGGTTTTCTTTTCACAATGGCTAAAAGAGAAGAATTTTTCACCGAAAACGTTATCCGAAGTTGTTGAAATAAACAAAATTAACATTTCGGGTCCTAAAAATTCAATGAATGGATTTCGAGTGGATAATCTAATAAAATTTATTCTAAGAACTACCAAACTATTAAAAAGGATCATTCAACTTAATGTTTATCTAACTATTAAACAATTTTTAAGTGCCACTTGATATCCTTAATTAAATTTTCATTTCCCTATGTCGCCAACGAGATTTTTTTCTTTCGGGGTCGTTTAAAGTATTTCCACACATTTCTTTTTTATTGAGACTCTTTGTTAATCTTTGAACATTTATATTTGTTTATAATTTTCTTATTTTTTGCAAGTTTTCTGTTTTCTATATTCTATCATCATTCAATAAATTTCTATTTCTTTCTTGTTTAAATTGTGAACATAAAAAAATGAATGTTAATCTTTATTTCTTTGTAAATTATCGAAATATTTGAGTGTTTTTTTCCTATTTTGATGTCTGCACATTTTCTACTTTATAAATAATTTTCTTTTTGATTTTTTTTTTGGTGATAGATAGAATAGTAATTTATTTATGGAAACAAATGAGCTGAGCATGAGGTACTTTTAATGATGAATGGTGATTGATACTTATTTGAACGATTTTAGTTATTAATTCATGGATTCTAATTGTTATTTTCTTCATCTTTTTTTTCTAATTTCATCTTGACTAGACTAATAACAAAGATTTTCTTTTTGGTTTCTTTTCCGTATTTATCGTCATGACATTAGAGTTTACACTTCATTATTTACTTTTCTATTTTTCATGATGATTGGCACTAATTTAGTTATAAAATTTTATAATGTCAATGGTGGGAAGGATTATTATGAATGAAATATTCAAAAATTTTCATGAATACTTGCAACTTTATATTTTGCTTTTATTATTGTGATATTAGATTAATTTATCAGATCATAAAGTGAAAGTGAAGTTGCAAGCATCATTTAAAATGATTAAACCTAATATTGGTTCTTTTACTCATTTTTGGAGGCATCTTGAGGGTTCATATTTAAATTATTCTTACAACTATCACTACAAGTTGAAAGCTTGAGTGTCTACACCTTAAATATTCATTAATTTTCTCTTTAAAATAAATAATTCTCTTCACATCATTATAGTTAAATACAATTGTTCTAAATCTTTGGGAAGGGGTCAGGAAAATGTTAAATTGAGTTGTCACAACACTATTTTACATCAATAAACTCTCTCTCAATTTTTCTTCTAATCTACATTAAAGGACACTAATTAATCTTGAATTAAAACATGGATTTATCGTTTTTGTAAAGGAAGATTTTTTGACGATTTTCATAACATTTCATTCATCGTCATAGGAAGAAAGTGATTTACTTAATATATTTTATCTATCTTCATAAGTATATCAACGAAATTATTGCTTGTTACAAAGGTGGATTTAACGATATTTTAACGTGTGGGATAATTTGCTTTTATCTTTCATAAGAACTTCTGACATTATCAACTTAATTTGCATCTTCTAACGCAACTTAATGCAATATAAAATAAACTCATCAAGAATGATTTTTAAAAGTTTCATACAGAAATCTTAGTATCAAGAAAATATATAATAAAATCTTTCACAGAAGAGAGAGCGTTTAAGGAAAATTCACTAAAATTGCTTATCTGATCAAAGTCTAATACTGTACATTGAATGTACAAATAGGTTTAATTAAGATTAAATGAACGAGTGGCGGGGGGAAGAATCACAGAATTATAATCATTATTAAATAATGTCACGAGTATGAATTGTTTATTCTTTAATCATAGTTTTTTGGTCATTTAACGATTGTGTCACGTTTATAACAGTTTACATTTATCTTAACGTTGATTTTCTGCATCAACGTATAAAACGACGCATAGATTAACGTACGTTTATACCGCATATAACTTAAAGTTGGATCTTACGTTGATTGGTTTCACATCAGCTAAGTAATGCGACAAATTAGATAATTTGAGCTTTTCATAAACACAAAGATTACACCACTTTGAGATATTTATCGATTTCTACAAGATAACAATTTTCTCCATTGATTGACAAGATTTAAAATCTCATCTCAATAATAAGCTCCTCACAATTCCAAACTAAACTAAAAAAAAGTATACCGAGATCGGTAGGAAGGACTAAAGTTCCAATAGAATGGCAAAAATTAGTTAATTATCTATCGCAGTTCATAATCATCACTTGTTTAAATATTTGTTCGAAGTCTACGACAAAAATATTTTTTATAATAACCTTTGATAGTTTTACGTATGTTTCGTTCGAGCTCCTCCTCAGCTTGAATCGCTTCTGGGGATTTTTGTGGGGCGCCGGGAAAGAGAATTAATATAATGCTCATGTTATCGCGACTACCCTGAAATGACAATAAAAGAAGAAAGCATGGAGTTAAATTAAGTTTTAAATTAATGAAGATTTTGTCTTACTTTATGCAAGCATGTATCTATCACTTGGTTACATATCAATACTAAATCGTCAGTTATTCGCAGACGATTGGTAATGTAACTGCAAACTGCCTCGTTACTCATCACGTCCCATACACCATCGCAAGCCAAAACAAGGAAATAGTCTTGTGGATCCCGTTCTTTACAGAAGATTTCTGGTTCAGGTGAAACAAGTTGCTCGCATTGTCCCAATTCCGTGTCTTTCTTGTAATCGTAATCACCAAGAGCACGTGAGACAGCTAAACTTCCATTTACACGTTGCACCATTACCGATCCACCGGCATTAACAATTCGTTCCTTTTCACCAGGTAAAATTGGCTTGTGATCTTGTGTTGAAAAGATTGGAACGCCATTTCGACATAAAACAGCACGAGAATCTCCACAATTTGCAATGTAAATATTTTCGTTTGATATGAAAGCGCACACTGCTGTTGTTCCTGATTTGTTAGATCCACTTGCAAGTTCAGGTATGTCACGCATTTTACTATCCAAATTCAAAAATCCTGAATGAATTGCCTTTACAACGTCACTACTTTTGAATTCATCTGAGAGTATGATCGCTTCTAGTAGATGTTTTGCACAATGTTCTGATACTTTAAAGCCAGCATGACCATCAAACACCGCAAAATAACTCCAATCAGATAAATCTTCTCCTAAGTTTGTTCTTGCGAAATGAGCGTCTTCCATTTCACATCGCCATCCTAACATCAAACAACTTTTAATGATTCATTTCCTTATTAAAAAACCTTTGATTGAACTTACCTTGCATCGAGCTGACCCCATAACGAAGACCATTTCCTTCTCCAGTCTCATTGTGCTTTTCTGTGTTGGGCTTCTCAAGAAATGCTCCCATTTTAAGATCGATTCTTACTTTTTCCTATTAATCAATTGTTACAAAACATTTCCCAAAGACAAATAGAAATCGATGCATGTGATAATTTTAATAAATGGGAAGCAATACTTTCTCTCTCACTTCCTTTTTTTTATTTATCTCTTCAAGTTGTGTTTCGATATAAAGAAAAATTCACTCAAATGTCATGTGTTGCGAATGTTGTGATTCTATCATTAAATAATGTTATAAGATTTGTCTGTAAAAGATGATAAAAGAGAATTCTAATAAGTTAATGAATAACTCACGAGACTATAATCATTCAATTTAAGCTTAATTCACAAACAACTATCATACATTCACATACAATTTGATTTAATCACCGTCGCGATATTTATAAATAGCGACATTGAAAAGAAAAGAAAAAGATTTCCCCAGACCTTTTCTCTTGTAACTAAAAATTGAAAACAAAAATGTTTCTTGTGTGACTCATATTTTGTATTTTTGTTTTCATCTCATCACGTGTTTAAATGAAATGTGGGCGCGATTTCAACTCATACGAAACTCAAACAATTTGACCAACAAAGTTTAGCAGTAATTGCTGCATCTTTTCAAATCTCACTTAAATCATCACTTCGCGTGCAAATATTTTCCTATTCATAAAACTATAAGCGGAAGATAAAATAAAAAGTTCAATGTAAAACTAATTTCATTTTTCCTTGCATTTTGTCGGAATCGTTAAAGCAATCACTTTAATTAAACGTCGCGCATTGCAATTAAAATGATGTGTGTATTCAAATAACAGAAAACAGAAATTTCATTTATCGTCAGCAATACAAAAATGTTTGAACACTTTGAGATTGTTGCAAAACCATCACTTAATAATAATAAACTTAAAACTTCTTTATTTCCACAATATTAATGATTTCACTGGAATAGGCGCCATGCTTAATATCGAAAACGTAAATAATACCGCAGTCAAGTATAAGTTGAATGTTCAGTGAGAAAAGATTATCAGTCCAAGGGGGAAAAATATTTATGAGAGCGAATCTTTAAAGCCGAGAACAAATGACGACATATCGATGATTTCATGAAGCCCGAATCTAAAAATAAAATTGTCTGCTCTGTTCAAATGTAAATTACTTCAGTAGAATTACACTTTCAACAATAAATTGAGTTTACACAGGTCGAGCACAGGAAAAAAGAAAGAAAGCATGTATTGAAGGATAGTTATTGATGGAAAATTCTAGAGAATTTTCACTTGCTTTCCTTTGATTTTTAAGCATATATTGAGCAATCAAAAAGCTTGTAGAGCTACACTGAGTGAACAGTGTGAGTAAGGTGAAAGAAAAAAAATCGATATGGATTATTTCAGGTAACATTAAATAAACATTTGAGCTGCACAGGAATTTCACCACCTTAAGCTTTACTCGAGTCCACTCTTGAGTGTAATATTTCTATTCACAATAACTTAATTTTATCTAATCAACAAAAAATCACCCACACACGGATTTGGAGGGAGCTAAATGGTGTACATTTTTTTTTCTTCAACTAGGCGATAAGACGAATGAGTCATCACATGAGATATTCTTGCTGAGTGTTTAGAAATATTGCAAAATTGTTGATGAAATATCAAATTTGTTCTCGCGTTGTAGTATTCAAAAATATTTTATAATAAAAATTATTACATTAAACAGGACATGAAATCACATTTGCTTTTTGTTCCCTCTACCGTTTGTTCTATCTTCCGCACACACTTACACACACACACACAAATTTTGCGAGTTCGCATCTGGCTTTGTGAGAACAAAAAAAATTGGTTATGAAAGATTGTTTGTTGCTTTTTAGATTGTAGATTTTCTTATTTCTTTCTTTATGATGACGTTATGACGCCACATTGTTTCACTATTTCAGGATGAATAACTAGGAAGCGGAATTTGAAAAAAATTAAATGTCGTGAAAAATGCAGAATGTGAAAATTTTCACTCGTTCCTCTTCTTTTCTTTTATAATATTTGCGTAATCACACTAACGCTTTTTATGTTATTATCTAATTTTTACTCATTTATCACTTATCAACATGGTTTATTACCTTAATTTACGAATAAAAATGAAGCTTAAATTTAAAAGCAATCTAAGAAATCCCACTAAAAACTAGTTTGCTAAATATTAGCACTTAACGAAGAAAGCAAATCTCATGTGCTAAAAGAAAAATTTTAAATAAAAAACTGTTATATTTTATTTCTTCTTAACAGTTTTTTCCTTAGTAAGCAGTAATAAATGTGTGAATGAAGTTCAATTGAGATTACTTAAAAAACAACGTTTTGTTTGAAATTAAATTAAAGCGTTTGAATTCAACGTATCAACGTTTGCTTGTCAAGTTTTTATTTATTTTATTTTTTCTATAAACACTCGTACCTTAGTACCCTGTACTTATTTCGCATAATTAGCACTTTAATGTTTATCAACAAAATTTTAAAGATAATTTATAAATAGGTATCTCCAATTACAGTAAAATGAATAAAGGAAAGTGGTCAAATGAAAAGATTCATGAATTTGTATCATCTTATATTTCTCATCCTGCATTATGGGATATTTCCAACCCCGATTATGCTCTAAAATCTAATGTAAGTTATGCACACAAGAATATTTACATGTTGTATTAAGAAAATCGGTTTATTTTTAGAGAGAAAAAGCTTACAAGGATATACAAGACGAATTTAATCTGACATTAGCTGAAGTAAGAAACAAGATCAGAATTTATAGAACAACATACGCACAAGTTTTAAAAAAAATGGAAACAACCACTGGCTTCATTCCGAAAATGTCATGGTTTGATGAGATGCACAAAGCTTTCTGTAAAGGCAAAGCAAGATCCTTCATAAAATCATCACCAAAGATCAAAAAAGAATTCAACAAAATTAAAATGATTGAAGTTGATTACAATACACAGTCGAATGATGAGACAGAGCAGGACGAAAGTGAAAAAGAAATCGACTTTGATTTCAACCAGCCCAGCAAATCAGACGATTCGAATCAGCATCATGTCATCATTGAAAGCTATGATGATGAATATGAGGACGACTTTAAAAACATTCCTTCTCACGATAACACAACTGCATCAACATCTCAACGACCTGGAACTTTATCAAACGAACTCTTTCTGAAAAGTCTCCAAGCCACATTAGACAACCTACCAGATGATAAAAACATGAAGGCGAGAATTAAAATTCAAGAAATTTTATATAACATTGCATACGATATTGAAAAATAAAAAAAAATTTAGTTTTAATAAGAAAACGAATTTCATTTTTTAAGAGCCTTAAATAACCGAGAAAATGTAAACAGTACATTCATGATTTTGCTGTGTTTTACTATCCCTGAAGTGCCTTCGATTTATTTTTAACTCTCTTGATTTTCTTCAATCCATCCATATTCGCTTTCATGATTTTTCCATATGATTCCATAAACTTAGAAATGTCTGATTTTTTGACAACTGTCGACAGCTTTTTGTTCTTTGCTTTCATTCGTATTAGGCAGTAGTTTTCGTTAGATTCCAAATGCTGGGGCTTTCCCGCTCTAGGTTTTGGCTTATCAATTCCATCATCTATAATATAATTAATTTCTCATTAAACTTAATTGCTTTTGGTAATTAAATTCCAATTCATTTTAATCTAATTATGGAATTTTCGGTAATTACAAATGCACTTTGATTGCAACATATGGTTTTAATTAGGGAAATTTCAATTGTCAAGGATTTCAGGGATAATAAACATCTGTTTATGCATCTGTAAAGTATTTTATTGCAGGCGAGTATAACAAATCGCGGAAAAACCAGGACACGAAATATTTCCTAATTAGCGGGAGATGTGAAACAGAGGAAGGACGAAATCATATAAAAGGAGGTAAAATCTCAGGATACGACATTCTGATTTTGTCAGTGAAAGAGTTAACATCAAATTCTTGATAAATTAAAATTAAAAAATAAATTTATACTCACATTGTTTAAAAGTTATTGTAAAAGCACTTTGACTTCTTACTTTTTGAGCTAGGATAGTGACTTGTGTTAAAAACTAAAAATTAAGAAACATTAAGTTAAAAATTCGGGATTCAAAAACCTTTAAAATACCTCTGAAGAAGTGAGTAAAACCATTTTATTAACAAAAATATTCCTTATAAATTTATGCTAAAGAATTCAATTCGAATGACACGACGGAGTTAGCATTTGAACTTAAACAATATTTAGTGGAATCAAAATTGTCTGTTTGGTAGTGAACGAAGGGATAAAAAACTAGTAACTGAAAAATTCTTGAATCATTAATATTCAAGTGAAAATAAGTTAATTAACTTATCAAAAAACATATATAAATATTTGAGAGTAAAGTGAACATGATTAGAAATTAAAAAATACTGTGAAAATACGAACAATTAACAAATATTAAAGAAAGATTCGCACAAACAATTGGAGTTGGCACACTTTAACACTCATTTCACGGAGGATTATTCTTAATTTTTCATAATTAAGTGAAAACATTAAACATCACATAGTGTTTGTTATAAATATACTCAGCATAAACACAGAAGATTAATATAAGTGTTCTATATAATATTCATAATATTTTAAAATATAAACTCAAGAAACTCAACAAATATAATCAAAGATGTCTGATAAAGTTGTAGAATTCATCAATCATTATAGAAAATCAATAGAACGACACTGCGAGGATCCTGAACGGGTACGCAAACAATTTGTGTAGTTCTGACATTGATTAATTTGTCATTTTGCCAATTAAATTGCTGATTCCACGACACGTTTAACATGAAAAATTCCCAATTACAAAACATCTTTACAGCTGACTTTCCTATTTTTTTAATGTATCTGCTTGTTATATATCACGTTTTCATAGTCACTATAATTTGCTTATCTTTGACGTCATCATTTATTAAATAACCGTTTCTTTTATTTTTATTTAGATTCTGCACTGCTTGACAAGACTGGAAAAATTGAAAGTGAATGTTGGGCATCTGTAAGTATTTAACCATTTAACTTTCCCTTGAAACAATATCAAGCTAATTCTTATTTGTTTTTAATTCAGCCAACAAACAGGAATAGGTAAAACGGTCAACGCTGTTAGAAAACACGAAGGTGAAGTCGGTGATCTCGCAAAGAAGCTAGTGATGAGGTGGAAGGACATGGTTTCGGAAGCGGAAGCAGCTGAGAAATCCAAGACTCAGGCTCCACTATTCAGTAAGTTTATTTGAATACAGATAAAAGATTTTATTTAATTTCTATCATCATCTTTATCCCTTCTTCAAATTAGAATTACCAATCAAGTTATCGCCTGATGAACATAAGCCGGCTATCGTTTTCCAAGAAGACAAGAAACAAAAATATACAACACACTTTTCGGATGGCTTCAAAGTTAAATTAGATCAGCCGCACCATTCTTCATCACGTTACAAATCGGAGGATGCTGAACATAACGACAAGAAGTCATCGGAACGACATCACAAAAGTCATCATTCAAGTTCAAGTTCTAGTCATAAAGAAAGTTCATCGAAGCGAAAGCATGAAGATACATTTACCGAATCCAAAGAGAACGAAACCTCAAAAAAGAAACCAAAATTGGAAAAGGAAAATGACAAAAAAGAATCATCATCATCATCAAAGTCAAGCAATCACAGCTCAAAAAGCAATTCAAACTCTTCATCGAAGTCAAAAGATAAATCAACACGAAAACATGATAATGACAAGAAGATTGACGAAGAGTTAGATGGATCACAAGGAATTGGATTTGCAGAAGCATTAGCTTTGTTCGATATGCCTTCAACATCCAAGAAAAAGGACGTTCCACTTGCCGATAAAATTGTTACAGTTAAAACCAAACCACCATCAAAGAAAGTGTCAAAACCTGAAATCAAATCAACAAAACCACCTCAAACTTCTTCCTCGACTTCTTTAGGACGAAAAGAACAAGTAAAAGTAGCTTTAAAGCTTTTAACATCCCCACCGGAAATTCTCATTCAGAAACCAGATTTGGGCCCACTTCCTGACATCGTTACCGATCTTCCATCGGATGTTTCAATTCCTGATTATCGTCCAATGCCACTTAGTTCTGCTGTTAAAGATTACATCAATTCATCGGTTCATGGAACGAGTTCAAATTCGAATTACCGAAATCAACACAAGCAAATGTCTGACACAGATCTTCTAGCAGAAAGCTTCTCATCGAAAGCAAACCGAACACGAGTCTTTAGTGGTAATAGAGTGCAAAAATCTGTCCCAACATTGTTTGAAATGTGCATCAGAATTCTTCAAGAAAATATTGAATTCTTAACTGAAACTGGAGGAGTTCCATTCGACATACTTCGTCCCGTGCTTGAGAAAGCAAAACCTGAACAACTTTGTAACATCGAGTATTATAATCCATATTTATTGGACGATTCTGACGTTCTTTGGGAGCCACATTGCAAGCGTAAGTTCCGAACAAAGAAACGTCTTGAAATGGAGTCTTGGCGTGATATGTATGAAAGATGTACGAGAGAAGATGAAGAAAAACTGAATCGATTGACTCAAAATATTAAGCAACATCAAGAGCATACATCTAATGGAGTTCAAAAAACATTGTTAGCTTATGTCGATACGATTGCTAAAGCACCTCGAAGTGTTATGAAGAAGCAGGAAATTTATGGAACAAATCGAAAAATGGTTGCAAGCCCTGCAGCTAGAACCGAAGGACTTAGACATTTGGCCCCAAACATCGCAGCACCAGGAGATGCACGATTGAGAGTTGCTGCTGGAATTAGAGATGATGCCCAGAATTGTAAGTTTATTTAATTATTTAAAAGATATTTCATAAACTCATTTCATTTAATTTTATTCACAGTTGGCAGAGGATTTCAACGACCCACAAAGAAGGCTCCGTTAATGGCGAAAGTACTTTCAAAATTCAAAAGATAAATTTTCACCGTTTATGTAAACGTCAAGTTTTCTCTTCTTAAGTGATTGATGTGTAGATCAAAATTTATGTTAAAAACTTTTAACTGCTCGTTTGTGACTCACATTCGAATGTGAAAAGTTAAACCTGATAACGTTATGATTTTTTTTATGTTTATAATTTATTAATGCTATTGATAAAATTTGATTTTTTTTCCTAAATTGTAAATAGAAATGACTGTTGAATGACTAAAATTTCTTTACATTATTGTCATGAATTAAAAATTTGATTTTCAAATAAATTATTTAAAAAGTAAACAAAAAGTTTTTTTAAATTTTTTGCAACCTTTTTTTTACAGAATTCAATACGAAAGGAAAGTTTGATCGTTCTGCTCTTTAATCAACATAATAAATGTTTTATAGAGAGAAGTTATTTTTACTTCCTTTGAACTTTTTCTATTCTTTGATTTGTCAACAACTCTACTTAATGTGAAACAACAAAATTAAAAATGATACATTTAAACATGACAGCAACTCAATTATCTGTAAAAATATGCATCATACCTACTTTGAAAGAGTCCACTTGTTGCTTTTTTAATATCATTATCAATATGGATGAAAACTGGGGGAAGTGAAGCAAAAAAAATTGTTAAAGAGGTACAGGAAATTGAATAGGAAGAGTTCATAGGATATCGTCATGATTGCTTTAGAAGAGTTTATGGTGAATTAGAAAATGTCCCCTTTCAAGTGTTTTCTGTTCTCTCTGCAGCATCCCTTTTGAAGCGAGAGAGTCAAGCAATAATTTCCCTTATGCTGTCAGTTTTGGTTCACGCTATGTCGCAATGATTTTCATTTGAATTTTCCAGAGAATATTTTTGAAATGAGAGAGAAAAAGGAAATCTTTTGAACGAGAGAATCATCATTACAGCATCAGAAAATTTTATCTTTGATACAATTTTTCGCATTCAAGAATCAGTTGATTTTAGTGAGTATGAAACTTTCATTCATTCCGGTCGAAAACTTTTCTCGCATTGCGTAACGTCAGGAAAAGGAAAATATAAAATTTTCCAATAGAAATACAAATTCAAGAACAGAATTTCTCATATAGTTTCTCAAGTGGCACGTGAAATATTAAAGAAAAATCTAAGGAAAATAATAAAAAAGCAAAACAGTAAAAATGCCATGAATATAAAGAGAGCGGCAGGAACAAATTCATAACTTTTTATGAGGAAAATACATAGCGGGTCATTCAAACCGCTTTTTCCGTATTGAGGCGAGTCATAAATCATCTCTGGTTGAGATGAAAAAAAAAATGAAAAATGGAAAAATAAGTGCGAAATGTAATTAACCATGTGAAAAAGTTACAAGCCGCAGTGAGAATAAAAAAGTTGTTGTGTATTAATGTGAAAATGGTTCATCGTAAAAAATGAATGAAATGTGAAAGAAAATGAGATGAAATTAATTTGTGACATCGATAATTCGATAAAAACAGAGACAACATTAAAAAATTAAATAATGAAAGTTTAATGACACCAAATAAAATAAAGTTCAAAACATAAGGAAAGAAACGAAGAGAAAAAGAAAAATAAAAGCAAATTAATGAATCATTAAAATATGTTTGTTACAAGTTTCATTGGATTACTGACATTTGGATTAGTTTTCAATCATGCCGCAACCAACTTGATAACCAAAAGCTCAGAAGATGAAAACAGTGAGTGAAAACAAAAGCGAAGAAAATTTTATATTTGCCTACATTATTCGATGAAAAGTTACAAGAAAAACATATTTTTCTTCAAGAACCTTTTCTTATTATTTTTTTGTACAATTTCTCGTATTCTAACCCAAGACATGAGTAAGGGAAAGCTCTCCGTCTTCATGTCTTATTCCTTTGTGGATATTCGAGTGAGCCAAAAGCTACAAAAAATATTATTGCCTTACTTTACATAAATTTCATTATTTAACTTCATAAAAGTCGGCACAAACATAAAAAACATAGTTTCGTCTCCCAGCGTGACCTACAACCAATTCTCTTAGCTCTTCCTCCTTCCCTTCATGGCTCATGTAAACGACTTAGAAGAACAAGAAAATGTGGAAACGGACATTTACAAATTATTGTTCTCATGAAAAATATTTTCTCTGTCTACACGATTCGAGGAGGCAACGGCGAGGAATGGCATGAAAAATGCTTCGTATATGAAAATAGCAAGCGTAAATTTTCCAATGTATCTAGTTAAGCACATTAGGCACAGAACAGCGATGATCCATTTTTTTCTCTGGAGCATGTCGTGGGGTGGTGGCGGAAAAAAACAAAACGAAAAAAAAAAATTTCGCATAGGATGGAAATACGCATTTTGATGCTGATGCTGTGCTTTCTGCTACATAGTTTTGTTTTTATTTCCAATTTTCTTGTGACTGAATCTAACACAAATTCTGAATTGTACGACCTTGTCATAGTTTTTTATTTCCCTCGATTATCTTCTTTTTTGTTTCATTTTTTTTATTTTGTTTGTGGAGTCGTCATAGAGAAATGAAGAAAAATTCGTCTGTCAAAAGCTGACGTTAGGGAAAATTTTCCTTCTCCTAAATTTCATTCTTTATTACAAAAGCAAAGTATCAATTATTGTGTAGATAAAAACAGTGTTATCATTCACCCATCAGAGCTTAATGTCAAATGAACCATCTTGTCAACCTGTCTTGATGTTGATTTAAAAAACTTCTCGCAGTGATTCACAAGAAGAGTTTCTAAGAAAATAAAATGAAAAATTATATCAACGCTTCCCATTCCAACATTGTCAATGTGCTTCTTCAGCTTTCATCCTAAACCCCCTCCCCACCTCAATTCCATAAAGAAAATTCCGAAAAACGAAATCATGATCGATGGAATGTCGAGGGTGGATGTGTTTGTTCCTTAATGAAAATAAACAAAAAGAATTTCAAAAGCCTCTCTAGAGCTTTTCATGCTTTTATCAAAAAGCTGACGATGGTAAAGATGGAAACGAACTTATTTATTGCTCAGTTATTAATCTCTGACATTGTCGAGCTACTCTCGCCGTATTTAATTTCCTTTCGAGTAAAACGTTTTTATTTTCCTCGGACTGTTTGTTCATACAAAAAGCTTTAAAATTTTATTTTTCTTCACGCTTCCGAACAACAGAGATTTCATCATTGATGGGCATGGAAAAGTTCTTAATGGCTCTGTTTTTCATTTCAATGTTTTTATAATAAAAGACTTTCCGATCTCAGAACAAGCTTTTGTTCCCACGAGCCTCTTTTTTTCCAAACTTTCCTTCCATCTATTTCCATCGTTTTTCAATGACTCCGATCTCGATACAAAGTTTTTTTTTTCGGTGTGCTTAATGTAAACATCCTCGAAGGCAGAATGTTTTGTAATGAGAATATCAGAAAATCATTGCCGAGAAATTTCTGTTTCTTTATTCTTTGAAGGGAAGCATGAGCTGCGAGAGGGGAATATAAAAGGGCTTGTGTTATCTGATACTTTCACATTACACCGTCCAACCGAAAACCGAAATGAAATATTTTGAGACAGGCTAAGGCAGAGTTGTTAAGTTTCTTTTAACTTCTTATTTCCTCTTAATAAGGTTTTATGTATCTTTTTATAAAAAAAGATAGAAAGGAACAGCGAAAGTATCTTGAGATATTTTTGGACATTTCTTCGGTTGTGATTGCTCAATTTGTAACCTTTCTTCTTTTGTTTTATTTCTTCACAAAAACATCTCTGTTTCAAAGCTTTTTTTTCCACCCTTCTCGGCTTTTACAGCGATGATGATTCTACTCAGTCGTTTTCTCTGATTTATTTATTTTTCTACCAAATTCATTCAATTAATTTGTCGAGCCTAAAAGCGACCGAAGAAATGGAGAAAAAGAAGAAAAGATATTTTCTAGGAAGGTTTTGACATCGTTCTTCTTTGTGAAGCGAGTTCTATTAAATATTCTGTGTGCAAACATCAGTTTTATCACTTTATGTGAAAATAAGTTTTAATATGTCGCTTTTTTATGTCGCAAATATTTGTCTTTTAGCTTTTAGTTTCCATTTCCTGATGAAATGAAGAGAAATGAAGTTATTTGCTTTCTTCAGCTCTTCTCGAAGATTTTCTTCTTCCTTAATGCTCTGTAAGGAATGACTGTCTCTAACTTCATTATTTCACAATTTCTTAACACTCCCAGGTGTCTATTTATGTTGTTTTCCGCTACTTGTTCCCCCCTTTTGTGTCATGAAGTTTTTCTTTTTCTTTTTCTTGTTTCGTTTTATTATTTCTTTTTTTTTCTTCTTTCTTTTTGGAGATTTTTTTTCGGTTGTTTCTGTTTCTGTTCTTCTGTTGTGCCTGCTGATGACGATGATAAGACAGGATTTTTTCATAACAGAATTTCATTTTCACAAGTCGTTGATGTTTGTTACTTTGTATTTAACTTTACGAAATCTTTTCAAGGCAAACAGTTTCTCGATTAAACAATGCTTTGCTAAGCGTGAGTCTCCACTTTTTCTATAGTAAATTGAGCTCGGAATGTAAAAGCAATGAAAATGATGTATGCATTGTCATAAGCGACAATAAGCGGCATTTTCTTTAAATCTAAATGCTGCGACACGTCTCACGCACTTCCCCTTACGACAACCCGCAAACTCCTAAAGTATAATTTCAAAAGCAGGAAAAAGAAAAATAAGAGAAATGACTGCGAAAATAATGAGAAGAATAAACAGTTTCGTTCTCGTTTTCACCGATTTTGAGGATGAAGGAAGTGCGGAACAAGTTACAAAGGAAATTACTCACGCAATAGAGAGGATAAAAGAAAACGAATTTTCATAAAAAGTATAAATTACGCAAGACGAAGCACATAAAATTGCGATTTACCAGTTAATTTTTATTTTATTTTCTCAGTTTATTTATTGGAGTTCAGCATTTGCGGAGCGAGCGGTAAAGTGCTAGGTCGCAAGTGTATCCGAGTGAATAAATCACCGGCAAAAGACGTGAAAACGTTTTTTCCCCTTATATATGTGAGAAATTGAAACTTTATCCACCTTCATCAAGCAACCTTCATAAATTCTCCTTAGTTCTTCACTCTCACTTTATTTTATATTTTATATACAGAACAGATACAGAGATTTGTCATGTGGTTGATGTGAAATCAATTATCTAAACAAGCAAAATGCTTTTTGCATCGAAAACACGAACGTAATGTTATCTATGCCTTTAGGTCGATATAAAATTCACAATCAATTTTCCTCCCCCACACAACTTTTCTTCTTCATTTCTTTTCTTTAATCTAATTTACCTAAAAGGGTCTTTTCCTTCATACTATTCCTAACAAATGTGATCACCCCGAGTATCACCATTAAAAACAAATTTAACGCTGGGGTTGAAATCTAATTTCTTTTCATTATTCATTGCTTGCTGATAAGAAGACTGTGGACTATGCATTGCGGGGTTGGAGGTAGATGAAGAATGAAAAAATGAGACGGGATAACGAACGCAGATCATTTAATTAGACAAAAATCTTCTTCATCTTGTTTTTCTTATTCTTCTCCCTCTCTGAGCTGTGTAACGTTCATGTTTCAACATGACCAGAAGCAGAATATGAACACTACTCGGTACAGATATAATAACGAATTAAGTTTATTGCCACTCAGAACCCTCAGAAGGACATTTTTCTGTTTATTTTGTGGAGGAAGCATAATTTTGCAATTTTATGATGGTTTCGTACTTTGTGCTTTAATTTATTCATGCAAACAAACAAAATTAGAATGAGAGGCATACTTGCCGTATGGCAAGGCAAGGCGCTTGAAAAGATTTGAACCTTTTTTTCTTTCTTTTGTAATTTCTTATGCAAAAACTCGTTTAGATAATGCGTCAAGCTCTCAACTTAGCTTTATGTTTAAAATCTTTACTTGCTGTCGACTTTCCTCTTGTTTATTGTGAGTGCGATAACTTTTTTTTTCTTGTTTTATATTGATGGTGTCTTTAATTGGTAGGAAATCTCAAGTTCATTATCCGAGTATTTAATTTCAAAGTTATTTGAGAAATTTTCCCCCAAATCATTCAAGACATCTTATTTAAGATTCACGATCCACAACCCCCGCTTAATCTTCATTGCTTTCATAAAATTTACGATTATTTCTGGTGCAATTGTAAATTTCTTTATGGCTGTCTATTAAAGTTCTTGCTTAGTATATGAAATGAAGACATACACAAAACAAAAGAGAGCAAAGCAAGCAGCAAGCAGACAAACAAAAACAAAATGTCCATGAACTTTCAGCCTTCAAAATATGTAAGGCATTAAAGCGACACTGACATCTGCGTAGTATTTTCCATTGCTATTTTTCTTTAGTGGAAAAAATGGCGAAAATAAACTTTGCAAAGCAATTGTTGTCGCTGAATCTCGATAAAGCCATGACGGTCTTTTCTCATTCTGCTTTTGTGTTGTTTGAAGATCTCCTTGAAGCTGAATGGAAACGGAGCAATTTTATTCTTATTTTTATTTGTTTTTATTCGTCGTGGTCCTTTTAGATACTTGCGACACTCGTGCCAAACAATGTCATGATAGAGAGAAAACTGAATAAACGAAATGAAAAATTTTCCACTTTAAGTAATGACGGAGAATAAAATTAAGATGAAAGTCTTTAAGTCTGATGACAGATTAATCCGCTTTTTTGTTATCCTCCCCACAAGACATTCACATTCATCTTGCTAGCAAATTCGTCTCGAAAAGAGAAGGAAAAAAAAAATGAAAGCAGAAAAATTTATGAAAACTTATTGTTGGGATTTATATCGTGACGCCCGCATAATCATTTTTTCTTTTTCTTTCATTTCCAAGAAATTTTTCTCATCCCAGAAAGCGCTCGAGATGAAAAATCGATTAAATTAAAGTTGTAAGGGATGAATAGAGTCTTTAATTGAGTTTTGGCAAGACATCAAAAAGGAAGTAGCGTAAGAAATTTTTCTCCTTGATCTTTGAATGTCTTGAAATTAAAAATTTTCTAGTGAAAAGGGCAAATAACAAAATTAAATGTTGGGGAGTGAAACTTCTCGCTTTCCGCATCTCATTCCTGATGAAAGGAGAACTTTTCCCTTCTTTTATTTATTTTTTTTTCTTTTTTTCTGACAAATTTGAACTTCCACTTAATAGTGATGAAAGCAAAAGAAAAAGAAGAAAAAAATGAGAATACAAATGCCTTTTAAATGCTTTGGCGAGAACATTTTGTTAAATGAGGGGGGCAAAGCTGAAATGTGAAGCCAAAAAGTCCTGTTGTGGGTCAACATAATTAATGTTAATGCCAGGAAAAACATGACAAAATTTCCAGTTTTTCACTCGCTTCATTTTACTGCCAGCTCGTCGCTTTTTTTTTTGTTTTTTAATTCTGCTGTTGTTTGTGTTTCATTCATTTGTTTCATTTGTCTCAGATGTAAGTTTAAAAATAAAAAGGAAATGTTTTGTTGGGTAAGTAAGCTTCACATTTATACAAATGCTATATGCTACAATATGGAATCAAGCACAAAGAAATTGCATTTCATCTTTATTTAATTTTTTGCAAAGTTGTAAAACTTTGATGCCCGAAGCAGTAAATAATGTCACAAAGAGCAAACGCTACTTCATAGTGGAAACTTTTGAGAAAGACAAATTTCATTTTGAAGTTTACATTGTAAATATTTAATTTCGCTGGTTTCATATTTTGCTCCATTATTCTTCCTTTGTTCTGTTCATGAACGTTTCTTTAGATTAGAAAAGTTTCTCAATTGAAAACAGAAGTTTTATTTCGCTTACCGTTTACGATGTAAATTTTAAACTATGGATAATAATGTATGCATGGGATTTTCGTTTTTCCTTAAATTGTCTCATCAGCTTTTATCGTACATAATTTAAATTTAAACATTCATTCGCTTTAATTCACCCCCGCCCAATTTACCTTAAGGAAAAATAATTTCAAAAGTAATTTATTTTAAATGATTCAAATGAAACTCATTAACTTCCAATGATATCAGAACGTTGATGAAACTCTGATTTTTCTTTGCTTTTCTTGTTTTTTTCATCCTTTTTCTCTCGCCTTCGACAAAGAAAACTTTTTATGGTATTTCTGAAATTATTTTCATGTCTCAACAGTTTCTCTCCGCCTTAATAGTCTTTCATCGTCGAAATCGTCGCTTTTTTTTACTGTGGAAAATGTTCCTTTATTTTAATGATGTTTCTCCGCATAATGACAAAGATGTATATTTTCTCTTATCACAATTCCCTTCAATTTGAATTTCCTTGTGCCGAAGCATGCCGAAGCTGCTCGTAAATGATGATGTTGAGTGACTTTCAGATGAAGCTTATAAGGAGAGATCATGATTTTTCATCATTTTTCATGTTTCTATGGCAGTTCCACAAACTCCTTGAGTCTTATGTTTTATAGTTTGAATGATATTTTAATGCTCTGTGGATATATTTAAACTTCAAACTTCAAACTTCAAAAAAGAAAGTAAAAAAGGAAGAAAAAGGGGAAAGATGATGATAAAGAACAAAAAACTATTTTATAGAAATTCCTAATGAAATTTATGTTCCGAACAGAGAATTGACCTCAACATGTTCGTGTAACGCCTTTGGGTTCAGCATTTGACACTGGGCGTTCCACAAGATAAAGTTTTCGAGATAAAGGAAGGCAAACGTGTCTGAGGAAAATTTCATTTAGTCCATAGTTTTCTTACTGTACCGTTCAGTAAACTTAAGAAACCCCTCTGACAAGATTAGAAATTGAATTAAACTTTTCAACTGTAATTAGTTTAAGCTTTCATAATTTTCCATCCAGATCCTCCAATAACCGAAAATTTTTGGGGCAAATTAATTACATTATCGTATTATTTTCATAAATTTCATCAGAAGGTTTTTACAAATTGCGCAACTTTTGTAATTACGACATAGAAGTTTATAAAAGTTAGATACGAAAGTTAGAAATCAAACTTTATGCTGAGTTGATTTTATCTGATTAACATTAATTGTATCTTTGAGCTTTTGATAAAAAGCTGATAGAGTTTTACTTTTAACAAAACTTTCATCAATTTCTCTAACGACCTTCGATATCTTTCAGCCCCATCACATCACTGTATAAATGTGCGACGTATACGCAAATAAGTTTCAACATTTTTGTCCTCGAATTTACATTTGTAGAGAGAGAAAGAGAGAGAGTGAGAGATAGTGAAAACCTTTTTCTTTTCCTTTCATCATTTCATCTTCCCACGCCACGTAAAATTTCCCTCTGTTTCATCATCTTGAATGATGTCTAAAGCTTTAACTTTTCTCTCTAAAAGCTCATATTCTGGTGTGGAAAAAAATTAGATCTATTGATTTTTGCATTAGACGAAGATATATGTACACAAATTTTCAACCATAGAAGCGAAGACGAAACGTGTACCTATCGTGGCTGCTACAATGAAGATTTCGTTAAAGCTTAAGTCGGAAGATTGATTTATATTTTATGTATTCACCATACATGCTCTTCAAGCGATCCAATGGAGCGAAAACTGATATTTGATTACATTTAACGAAAATATCTTTGCAATCAATGAAGAAAATCCTTCAATCCATTCAATCTTCGAATTTACCCCCAACGCTTTCACTCGCCTTCAAAGTCGAGGTGGATTGAGGAATTATGAATGAATAAAAGAGAAAATAAATTCGTTTAAAGCTCCCCCGCTTTACAAACTTTTTTTTCTTCTCATCTTAATATCTTTCAACCCCTAACCAAAAGCAATTGGCGTGTGTTTGTTATCCGATGAACCCGTATTAGAAGGACAAATATTATAAGATAACATTGTTATTCTTAAAAAATCTTTTTTCTTTTCCTTTCACCCGTCCGCCCTACCGCCACAGACTCCAACTCCATATTCACAAGAAAAGCGACATGATTATTTGGATGACATATCATTTTTTGTACTGTCCATCAACCATTGTTCTTTTCCTTCATGCCTAAATAAACATTTCAAGAAGGGAAAAAATGAGAATGAAACCGGATCATCGCTTTTGTGTGTATGTGTTTAGATGTTTACTAATGCATTCAGGAGAGAAATTGTAATCGTTTTACGTAAATCTTGTAAGCGAGCTTTGGGGTATGGTTTAAGTTAGACGTCGTCAATGATGTGATCGAATATAAGCGTTTCAAGTGTTTAATTTTCTATGTTTGTCCGCAACTTTCACAGCTCTCTTTGTTTGCTTTGTCATCGCTTCAACAATGAAAAGCAGATTGACCTCGGGTACATTTTTTTAGTATGAAGTTTTCATTTTTTTTCCCATTGAAGTACTTTGAAGGCGATCTACTCATATTGCGATTGTTCCTTTCTAATACAAACATTAAAAAAAAGACGAATCTTCTCAAATATCATCATCATCCTCGTTCTCCTTAAGATATTTATCATTTATTGACTGATGACGTTCAATTGCAAATAACAAACAAAATCCTGGATTGAATCTTCTAAGAGTAAAAATATAAAGAAATGTGTAGCATGATACTTCAAAATATTTTATGTTTACTTTTATTTTATTTATCATAAATGCCTTGTCTCACTTCTTCTTTATCATTGCAAAGGGAAACAGAGAAGAGAAGGGAAAAACAAATAAAGACTTCATCTGCACAAATGAGAGTTTCACACAAGAAAGAACAAAAACATTTTCCACATTTCCGATGGTTGCGCACTGAAGCTTACACGGGATATGAAAGCACAGCCTTAAGCTTACTTGATGCTATTTTACTGTTCTTGCGTTTGAATGTTTTACAAATGCAGGAAGACGATATGTATGAGTGGAGCAATTTAATTAGTTTTGGAATATCTTTATACATTTTTTTTTATGTTTCTCTTAAGTATCTTCAATCTTTAACATGGAGACGGAGATTCTTGGAAGCGATTACTTATTTCTCATTATATTTTGGACCTTCCCTCCTTCTTTCTTCTTAATAATATAAGCTTCGCCTAGAGCTATGAATGTTAAAAAATTGCTTTAGTCGCATTGTACTCCTTTAAATTCATTTAGCAACGGTTGGAAATATAAAAAAACCCCTAAATTCGATTTAGCAAAAGGTTTAAAAGTTGTTGTCATGCAACAAAAAGATAAATAAAAGGAAAGCTTAACTTGACAATCAACAACATTCCATTCCATAAATATGTAACAAACATTGTGAAGCTCAAATTTTAAATTCAATTTTACTTCTGACATTTCCAATTACTTCAAGCAAAATTCGATGTGAAGTTCTTTAAACGTTCACGAGCGTTTGATATTCAATCATTTGAAGTTTGAAGAGGTTAAGTTTTCGATATTTTCTACCTTGCTTAACTCATTCATCTGTGGCAAAGCACAACAGCAAAGGCAAAGGCAAAAGGAGAAGCTAAAAGTAAACAAAGTCAGACATGAAAAGTTTTTCTAAACTTTCAAGTTTCTGTTTATATTACAAACTTATTTAGTTCATATGTAAATATATGATAAGTATGAATGTAGCAAGTAAGCAAAATATTTTCTCCGAAGATAAAATGTTTGCATTTAAACAGAGAATATTTCAGAAGTAAAAGTTGGTCAATGATTTTACCGGCCAGCTTTTAGGCAAATTTTCATATTTATAATTTAAAAGAAGGTTTCACGCAATCCATGAAAAAGTCAATTTTCAAATTTCCATAAAATGCCAAGAGCACCAAGCCAGCAAAATGCTAATTAATTTTGATTGCTATCATTTTTCCACAGTCCCGCTTTACCATACCGAAGCAGTTGTTGGGAGTGAAGCTCGATTACCATGCAATTTGACATCGCCGATAACCGGCGATAGAGTTTCATTAGTCATCTGGTACAAGGAGGGTCAAAGTACGCCCATTTATAGCTTTGATGTCAGGCACACTGAACAACTAGATAAGGGTTCCCATCACGAAGGCAACGGAAGCTTGAATGGTCGCTCTCATTTTAATACAACACTTTTACCATCATTTGTTATAACAAATGTTAAGGATCGAGATAACGGGCTCTATCGTTGTCGAGCCGATTTCATAAAGAGTCCAACACGAAATATAAAGATTCAGCTGAGCGTGATCGGTAAGAAAAGTGTAGAAGAAAAGATTTCAATTTCCATCCTTTCTTTTTATATTCTTCTCTTTTGTTTTATGTACGCAAAAGTTTATATGGCATAATGTAAAACATCAACATCACTTCTGCTAAATTTAAACTCTTTTCTTTCTTCATTTATATCACTCTCGTTCCATCCATTAGTTCCACCTGAAAATGTTCACATACTTAACGAAAAAGGAGTTCATATACCCCACTACATTCTCGGCCCTTACAATGAAGGCACATCCATTAACATCACTTGTGTCTCGACAGGAGGTGAGTGTGAAAGTTGGTTTACGTTTAAGATATTTTTGTTTACTATTCATATTCATTCAACTGGAATAAAATTCCTATGAAAGAGTTCCCTTCAAGCTTTTCTCTCATTCTTTCGTTCTTATTCTTTCTTCATTCGTCTACTACAGAAAGTTATTTCAAATGAAACGAAACCATGAACAAATCGATTGATCATTTCAAATCATGAAGTGTTAAATTCATCAATAAGCAAGCATCTTTTAATTTTCCACCACGTCAATCATTTTCACTTCCATCGCTTCTTATTTATTTACACTTCATCCAATTTCTCTTTTGATTGCTATGGTAAACAGCAGCAGCAAACGAAATGATTTTCTTTTTGAGGGTTGTGCATGGATGATGATGATGATGGTAACGATGAGCGAAGATATTTGCGAAGGTGTATAAAATTGCAATATATTTACATAGAAAAGATCTTAAGGTTTCCATTTGAAATATTAAAAAAACGTTCTGAACTTTCTATCCGATACAAAGAACGTTGTGCGCTTTTCCTATTCACAAGAAGAGAGAAAAAAAATAGAAAGAAAGAAAGAGGAAAAAGGACCTTCAGATAGCATAGGAAGGCAGATTTTGTGTATTCAGGAAGCGAATGGTTTTACGATCGTTTTAAAAGAGAGAAATGAGGGTTTTGGGGAACATTCGCATATTTCATCTTGCGATTTTGATAGGCTCCTTCAATTTGCAACATAATCCTCCGATACTTTGCAGCTTCTCTTAACCAGCAAAGGAAACTTCATGTGTGAGTTTCTTTTAAGATCATAAAAGTTTTCCTTCTCATATAAACAAGAACATCAACAACAAACATACATAATATGTGAAAAAGTCCCATTTCACTGGTGAAGGAAGGAGAAAACGAAATATCTAATAAATTCTGTGAAAATAAGTGAACAATAAAAATAAAGATACCTGCAGGCAATTCCTTCACTTATTTATGGTTTTCGGCGTAAAATGAATGTTCAACAAGATGCACGATGCTTGATGTTCCATAAACAATCTACTTTAAAGAGAGAAATCAGCTAGTTTACGTGAACGCGTGAACAAATTGATTTTACATCGTGATTTTTATGCCTAAGTATGGCAGATAAAAAGAAATATTACGATAAAGAGAATAAGAACAAAAAAATATTCGAGTAAAAGCACATAATCAATTCAGAAAGGGAATTCATACCAAATTCAACTGTATTCGTTGAGTGAAAGCGTTTTCGATCTACATAATAAAAATGTAGACTTTATTTTATCAACACAATACAAAAGAGACAAAAGAGTGAGAGGAGGGAGGGAAAAAAAAGCTCAACAAACGAAATAATTACCATACAAATGTCTCGTTTTATACACATTCTAACAACAGCCGCTTCATTTTCATTTTCAAAAAAGAGTAGAAAAAAAGATGGTAATGGTGTAGCTTTTCTTATAGGAAATGAAAAGAAAATTGTTTTGTGATAGCAACACATATTGTTCATCGCGAAGATTCGAAGCTCAAGATAATGTTGCTCTTTCTTCCTTTTTTTCTCCATTTATTCTTATTTATCGTAATTTTCATAAATTCCAAGAGAAGCGGGGATGAAAATCGATTATTTTGTTTCTTCGGCTTTTTATCCTTAAAGATGTTTTTTTTTTTTTTTTCTCGTTCTTTCGCTTTTCTTTTCGGTAACAATGAGTTGTGACTGGAACACGTTCGTTCAGCCTCGCAAATTGAAAAGCGAAAGGACTTAATAAAAGTTTATTAGCCTTTAGGGAATGGTTCGGAAAATGTCAAGTTAATTATCCTTTCATTTCATTTTATCGCAGGTCGACCAATGCCCAAGGTTACATGGTGGCATGACAACATTCTTCTCAACAGCACGTCAATTGCATTTACAGATACAAAAGTGAAAAACACTTTACAATTGAACAGATTAGAGAGAAAAGATTTGCATAACAGCTACGTGTGCCAGTCCTCTAACAACGAAGTGTCTCCACCCATAACCACTTCGGTTACTTTAGATCTGAATTGTAAGTATCTTCGTGTAGATATTCCGGTCTGTGTGATACCATAAGGTGGGATTATTTTCCCCTAAAACAATTGTACATACTTCTCACATGTTATTTGATTAAAGTTTCGTCGAGAGATTTGAAACAGTAGAAGGGCTTTTAAAAGAAGATTTATATAAGATTTCCAGCATGTCGTTAAGTGTAAGCTTTCGTCTCTTTTTTTTATATAAATACAATTTCACAATGAGAAATTTACCAGCAAAAAGAATAAACTTTTGTTTGTTTATCCAATCTGAGAAGAGAAAAATAAACGCACCAAGTCAATTCCTTAAATTTGAATAAATCTTCAAACCTCATGACTGAGTAATCTATGAATAAATAAAATGAATCCAGGTAGCTTTCAATAAGTAATCCTCGATCTCAACAAATTTCTCTCTTCCTTCCGCAATTTTCTTTTCATTAAAAGTACGTCCATTAACGATAAAGCTAGATCAAGATGTGAAGTATTTATCGGCAAATCACTCGTATGATTTAAAATGTGAAGTGACGGGATCACGACCAGCACCGTTGATTTCATGGTGGAAAGGCTCCACACAGCTTCGAACGACTCGTGAATGGGTAAGCAGTTGAAAGCACCTTGAACGAAATGATATGATAATTTCTTTCTTCCAACTCTACCCGTACCCGTGCACCTTGAACAGACATCTTCTGATGGAAATTTAACTAGATCAATTTTAACGTATCATCCAACGTTGGAGGATCAGGGAAAATTCTTGTCGTGTCGTGCTGAACAAACTTTGATACCTGAGTCGGGAATCGAGCAGGGCTTCAAATTAGATATTCATCGTGAGTGGATTTTTAATATTTTTTTCATTCTTTCTCCTTGCTTTCAATGTTCACCCTCTGCTTATCATAATATTTTAAAACGAAAAGAAGACGCTTCTGTAATCCAGTTCGACTTCATAAAAAATGCATTCCTTTGAAAAAAATAAAAGCTTGTTGAAGTTTTTTTTCCTTTATTTTTTTATTCTCCCTTTTGTTAACTAATTCTTTTTTCAGTGCTCAAGCATGTCTTGTTGTTCAGATAAAAACAAGTGAAAAATTCTTCATATAATCTTGAGAACGAAAGAAGAAATTCTCAATCAGTTAACTTATGAATTTCAACTCAATTTTTTATGAATTATTCTCAATCAGTAAAGCTTTCAGGAATTTAAACAAAAAACAAAGTCAGAAGCTTATGTAATTGATAATCTTCAAAGAGATGATAAATAGAACTCAAATTAAACTGTAATCGAATACGATTTCTCAGTTTTTCAAAAGATATTTACGAGTAAATATCTGAGAAATTTCTCATCTCTTCTTCTTTTCATTTTGGATTAATCGACATAACGTGCATCGAATAAGTTTCTGCCTTACAGCCTTCCAAATATCTTTCGAGTTTGGATTCAGATTTACAACAACTCTCTAGTTAGATACACACATAAGTTCGCAAACTTAGTCATTATTTTAGCTCACAGAGAAGGGGAATGAGGAATGTAATATATTAAACTTTATACTCGTGCAATTTGATCACAAGGAAATCATAAAAATTAAATTTTAAGCATAAGAGTTATTGTATAGAAAATTCAAATTAAAATTTTCCAGACTTGAATGCTAATGTTACCCTTTAATGTGTAATTATAGAGAATGATAGTCATGTAAATTGGATTTGTCCTTCTTAGACATTTTCTTGAGATATTATGTGTCAATTATGGCTTTCGTGCTATCCGAAAAGTGCTGTAAAAAAGAATTAAACGGTAACAACCCTAAGGCATATCTCTATACCAGAATTAAATTGCATTTTGCTGAAGCAAAAAAGGGTTTAATAATAAAAGTTTTTCAGGCGTGAAATAATGAATTAAATTTTCTCATTCCTTTCTTCTTTCTTGTTGTGTGTTCATAACCGTGTTTGAAGAAAAAGAAAAAGAATGTAAAAGAAAAGGAGAAAGAAAAAAGTTAAACAAGAAACGTTCTTTTAACACTTTTCTTTTTTTGTTTTTATCCTTACCGATGCTTACTTTTAGACATCCCAGTCGTATCGTTGGAATTCGGAACTAATCAGCAAAGTCAAAGCTCGGGAATTCGCGAGGGCGCAGATGTTTATTTTGAATGTAATATTCGAGCGAATCCAGCAATGTATAAAGTAACATGGAAGCATAATGTGAGTTGTTATGTTTTGTTCAAATAATATCTGCACGAATAAAATTTAATGTTACTTACTAAGAGTATAAAATTTTATGTTTTCACGCAGAATAAAGATCTTTCAAACACATTCAACGATGGAATTATAATTTCAAATCAGAGTTTTGTAATTACCAATGTTAAGAGATCCCAAATGGGTCAGTACACCTGCATTGCTACAAATTCAGAAGGAGAAGGCGAGAGTAATCAAGCATTGTTAGAAATTCAATGTAAGCAAAATAAAATTATGGAAATGCCAAACGTTACCGCATGATTACACACGATATTGTTTCGTTCTGTTTCTTTTTTTCTCTCTTCCTTCCTTGTGTGTTATTCAAACACACTCATGCTTACAGTTATGCCAATTTGCCGTCCTGGACAAGTTCAAACGTACAATGTAGGTCGTGGTGAGACGGCCTTAATACAATGTGAGGTGGAGGGCATTCCAAGAGACATCAATTTTGTGTGGAAATTCAACACGTCAGTTTCAGAAGTGTTGGACATGCCATCGTCAATTGTGAGAAATAACAACACGAAAAGCACCATTCATTTTAAGCCGATGACTGAACATGTAATTTCAAACGATGCCTGTTTACTTATACGTTCATATATTTATGTGATTCTGCAGTTGTTGTGTCACATAAAAATATGTATTGAAAAATGTGGGATCCTTATGTACATTAAATTAATCTCGCGCATTTATCTCTTTGAAAAGGAGACAAAAATGAATGGCAGAAAAGGACAAAACAAACGCACAAATCTCAGGAAAACATTCGTTTTTCTTTTTTTTTGCTATCATTACTTTAATAGATACTTGTGTCGAGTTCCTTCTCTTCTCATTTTTATTTCCATCATCCATAATAATAATAATGATAGAGAGGATTTTAACAATAGGAAAGTTCATTCATGATCGTCGTAAATTTTATCAGCGCGTTACTCTTTGCACACTCTTGTGTTCAATTTGGATAATTTTCGAAAGTATGGCTAAAGCGGAAAATCAAAAAAAAAAGAATCAAAAGATTTTTCTTCCATTGTTTTAATTTCTCGTATAAATCCATACATACCTGTATAGTTAGTTAAATAATATAGAACGGAAACAAGAAATCGGTGAAAATGAGAGCAAATTTCATTGTTCTCAAGCCCTAGCTGCCTAGTCTGCTTTCAAGCTATGTGAGATAATAGAAATGCTTTTCAATTATTACAGGATTATGGGACGCTTTTGTGTTGGGGAAGCAATGAAATGGGAATGCAAGCTGAGCCTTGCGTATTCAACATAATACCGGCAGGTAAACAAAAGAGAGCATAAAAGATTTCCACTTTCCACTTTCTTACTTCAATTTTTTTAACATAAAAGCGCTCTTCTTACAAATTGTTTTTTTCTTCTTCTATTTCTTTCATTTTTTTCCCATTTTCAATCTCAAATATAACACCAAATGTTTTGGCTCTTTCATTCGTTCGTTCGCTCGTTGATTCGTTTGAAATAGGAAAGCCAGATTCATTGTCCAATTGCTCGATATTGAATCAGACATTTGATATGTTTCAAGTTGCGTGTATGGAGGGGTTTGACGGAGGATTGCCACAAGAATTCGTTGCCGAGGTATATTTGATGGGACACAAAAATCTTTTCGCATACGTCAATTCAAAGTAAGCATGAGAAAAAAGATCCTTTTCGTTTCGCATTTCAATATTGATTAATTCAATTTTTCAACAGAACACCATTCTTTGAACTTAAGGGACTTGAACCTGGCATGGGCTACGACGTCTTGGTGATGGCTTTGAATAAAAAAGGAAAATCATCCCCAGTGTTATTACAAGGCTACACCGTCAAAAGTCCTGAGAAACAGACTGGTATGGGAATATTTTCACATTTCTTTTTTGCTTTTACTTTTAATTATGACGATGTCATGTCTACTTCCTTTCATGCTAAATAATAATTTCATCACGATTTTAATTTTATTTCTATTTTCTTCTTTCTTCTTTTTTCTTCTTCGTTCAACTTCCTTTCATCATTTCGCCATTTCAGTTGTTTTCCCATTCTCAGACTTCTCGCCTGCCTTTGCTCCCACTTTTCTCCAAATTAAACCATTTCTAGGCACACTGTTAGGAATCTTCGGTGCTCTTTTGCTGATATTATCAGCAATTATTTTAGTTGTGAGATTAAAGACCTCAAGTCGGAGAGATAGAACACGTGCCAGCCAAATAAGTAACACAATCACAATGAGCTCTACGTTATCACCATCGCTCCAAAATGGTGTATTGTTAAGAGAAGCAAGTGCAGATAGCATAGACAAAAATCCTGATATTATTCCCCAAGGTATAAACTTAAATTGATCATAGAAAGATACAACAAACTGGATAATAATCTTCAATACTTTCTCTACACATTTGTTCATAAAAACAACTATCTAACAAACTTCTTCTTGACATTTCTTATTAAATTTTTCGCATTTCACAACATAACAAAACAAAAAATATCTACAACAGAAAGCGATAACGAGTGGATGAACAATAAGTATGCAGCCACGACAGTGATGGCGGAACAGCAAAATAATTTCGATATGAGAAACTACGATTGCGATCGAACATTATTTTCGCAGCACGATAATAATTGTCTCCAACATCACGTCTATCAGGAGCGACAAACATTCATTCCTGTCCATAATGAAGTGCCAACTAGTAGTTTAGGATACATTGATAATAGAATTACAGTGAATGTGAGTATCAAATTGTTTTTATGTGTATGTTTGCCTTTCTACGAGATTCAAAGCTGTATGAAGTGCCATTGTTGACTTACATTGTTGCAATTTGTTACTTTGACAATATAAAACCTCAGCTGTTGAACGTTCTAAGCTTTTTTTTGTGTGTCAAAACATTCATTAACCTGACAATGTAAAAACATTCAATCAGCAAACGCGTGGTCAACAAAACCAACTCTGAGGTGATCATTTGCTTCATGCATCTATGAATAAATGTTTTTGTAGTTCTCTTTAAAGAATATTTTCTATTTAATCAGAGAAAGAAAATATCCTTTCTGTTTATTCTTCCAACTTACGTAAATACTGCACCATTGAGCTTGGCACAAATTTCCAACATTCTTCCTCTGCTCTAGAATATCTCATCTAAATCAAATATTACATATGTACAGATGTATGTTCATACATAAATTTTAATGTATATTTATTCCAGAACGAACTCACGTACGCTGACTTGACCATACTGCAGAAGCCACCGACGTTGTTTTCGAGCGCAACACTTGGTAGACCACGTCACACTGAAATAAAGCGCGTTATGGAGCCAAGCATATATGCTCAGGTTTTTATTAGAAAAAACACAATTTAATACCGAAATAACCAATTTGTATATATATGTATGCTAAATTTGGTTTTTCTTTCACAAATAGATTGATCTAGCACGTAGCACGCCTCCTCCGCTTTCTATTGCGCAACAAGTTTATCCTACGAATATGATTTTCAGCACTTCACGTAACACCATGCCAATTTCTCATCCGAGCCAAATCGATCGATTACCGCCACCTCCCCTTTTTCAATCAGAGATTCCAAGTGACACGGTGAGTTTGTCGATTAAAATTTTTAATGGGATATGCTAATTTGCGACCTTAAAATTGTTTTCTTCGTCAACACCCTCTCACTCAACAACGAACGTTCGTCTGAAATAGCAAAAATCAATTTTACAAACCGTTCCTGAGGCGGAAAATGAACGACCTGAGGTTCCTCCCAGAAACAGTAACACAAGATTCTGATGAAACTCGACCGACCTTCAAAATGACTTTTGTACAATAAATGTGTGAATATTATAAGTTTTCTTTTTCAGTCTTCTACGAACAGTCTTCTTAAAACTTTCATAACAAACAAATGAAAAAAGAAAATTTTTCCTTTCCATTTCTTAAAATTTATGGAAGAAAAAGGTTTTTTGAAAAATGTTAACACTTTATGCTCTACTTGTACTTTGTACATACCTAATTATTCGGGGGAGGAAACTTTTTCCTTGTTGCATTAAGAGAATGAAAACAAAAGGAGAAAAAATAATTAAAGAAAATAGAGTCACAAATGTGTGAAGAAAACCAACATTTTGTCTTTTCTCGTCTGTAAATTTTACTCTCAAGCGAAACTCATTTTTAGAATAAACATAAATGTAACAATGATAATAATGTGAGCAACTTTTTAAAAGGAGAATACAAAATACTTGGTTGGGAGCATTCGTATATTTCATCACGTAATAAATATTTAAATGCATAGTCAGATGTCAATATAAATAATAAAATAAGAAAAACACAATCTCAATGCTCAATGTTGAAATAATAATAAAATGTATAAAAGAATTTTTTGATCAACATTCCTTGTGTCATGATATCTACGAATGTTTCTAAACTTTAATATAGACAAAAAAAAATTTGATCTAAGTCAAAAATAATACTGAGAAATGAACATTTTATTTGCGACTGAATAAATTTGCATAAATTTTCAATTGAAAACAATTAATGATAAGCAGGGATTTAGTTTGTCGATGAAATGATGAATGATAAAATAATAATAAAAATAATAATGTTTTTAATCAAAAAGAGAAGTTAAATCAAATTTGGATTTATTTTAGGATTACTTAAGCCTAAATAAGCCATAAAATGTAATGAATTGGAACGAACTATTTATATTGGTTTTCAACATTGTAATGAAAATAAAGGCGAATGTTATATTTGAAACATTAAACAAGCAAACCTTTTCTTTTGGACTTCACTCCACCTCATAATGCTGCCAATATTTTCTCTCTCAACATCTTAATTAGGTTATGAAATGTCGGATATTATTCTCTCGGCATGGGCGGATGGAAGTTAATCCTTTTTTAGGATTTGTGACGAGGCCGTACCCTCGGGCCACAAAAAAGAAAATTTTAACTTTCATCAACCTTTTGAGGGGGGAAAAGCAAATGATTTTCTAATTGAACTTTAATATTTCATAGTTTTATCCGAAAAGAAAATTATTTTACAACTTCGGATGTGCCTATACATATTTGGCACAAATGAATGAACGAACGAACAAACTTCAGAGTTACAATATGAATGTAAATATGTATGCCGACCGTCCGACCTTACTCTTCTTGATCTTTCAAGTACATCCGACTCTTTCAGAAAAGGTATTGAAATTGAAAATCCTGCCTTTTGTTACATCATTAAGAAGTTTGATGCGTTGAGAAATAAATGGAAGAGTACATACATGCGTTCATACTCAGATATGGATGTAAGTCAAACTCATAAACCTGATTTTATTATGATTACATCCAACAAACAAGCAAAACAGATCTAAAGGTTTGTTATCATTCGATGGGGTAATATAAACAACACAAGAAAAGAAAAGAAAACAGCAGAATCAGAAGGCGAGAGAGAGAGAAAGTTGTCGTGTTTATTTGCAATTCTTTTAGTGCGTGATATTCGAGCGTGTCGAAAAGTCAAAAGGTTTCCAGATTCGTCTTGAAATATGACCCCAATTATATTTATTTTGCGGATGAAACAGAAGAAACATCCAATTGCTTTACCACTTATGTACAACAGCGAACAAAAGAAAAATGAAAGTCATGCTCTTTGACGTCCTAAACGAAGGTAATTATCAATTAGACAATATTTCCACATGAGAAACCTAACGACTTTTGAAAATAGCTTTGAGGAATTTTTCTACGTCGATAAGTTTTCTTTCTTTCAATTAGTTATCGCACGCACTCATGTTCAAGTATAATGACAATAGCATGCGACGGAGTGTACGTGCTTCAGTTACATAGAATGCAGAGAATTGACAGCAATAAATTTATGACGAACGCTGATATTATGTACATATGTATGGATGTTTGGATGTGGGAGAGGAAAGAATTCGAAGTTGAACAAGACTCAAAATAAAATCAAAGGAAGCACAAAAAAGATATTGGAATACTTGAATATAAAGCAAGGGACATGAATGCGTGATATTTTCATAATTTCATCATAAAATGTAAGAAGCACTTCAATTTGAATAAAAAAAATTTCTGAGCTATAATTTTCCGATGATGGTCTGCTTCGTTTTGCTTGGTGTCTTGGGGATAAAATGAGACTTTTTCCCATAACATTTGAATTTACGAGGAAAATATTCTTAATGTTGGACGAAAATTGTCTCGAGTTAATGTAAACAAAGTAATCAAATTACCTCGGGTAAGTGGCTCATTACTTAAACGTCAATGACTCTCAATAATCAATTAGTGTAAAAGTCTTCTTGTTGTTTGTTATGAAAATTACTTTATATTTATAAATTCTTAAATAAATATTCTAATAGATGCTGGGAATAGAAATATGAAATTAAATGGGAAGAAGAAAAATGGAATGCAATGTTGATTTCATCATCGTCATCATCGTCACAAGACAATGAACAGCTTAGAACAAAAGAAAAGCTTTCAAACTGCATTATTTCACTTAATTTACATTTCAGGGCCCCCCATTTGTCTACAGCCCTCCTTTAAAAGCTTTTTGTCTCGAGCAGCGAACAGAAAAAAGACGAAATGGGAGAAGAAGAAAGTATCAATCGAATTATTTGACTTTTTACTATCATAAAAGCTAGGAAAAAGCTTGAGATCAAACATTTGCTCCTTCAATTTATGCAACATAGGAAAGCACTTTGAGTTTTCGTTTGTTAGTCAGAGGGAAGCAAAGATTGAAGGCACAAAAGTGTTTCGACGATAATTGATGTGAAGGAAATTGAGTTTTCTTGAAATGGGAGAAAATGGCAACTGTGAACAAGCCGTGATAAATTGATCTGCGCGACTTTTAGACAATAAAGAGAATTTAATCAAATTTTCCTTTTTTCTCTTTACGATCGAAAGAGATGGAAATGTTGATGGAAGGAAAGATGGATGGTTGACTATTTGTCTTAGTATATACACGCATTTAACATCATCCATAATTTATGTAACATATTAAAGTGTCGTAAAAAAATATTTACAAAGAAATTTGGAGTTAAAATCAAATCGTAAGTTTATTCTTAAATAATTTATAGTTGTAGTTATTTCTGACATCACCTTTGAAGATTCCATTGCCTTGAATCCCAACAGAAGACAACACAATTAGACGATTACTTAGCCTTTTGATTAATCAAGATATTAACTGACTCTTAACTCGTATGATATGGATTTCTCTACCCTTCGGAAAGATTTATTTGATATCATGATGGGTCAGCAATAAAACAAATGACGTTTTAATACAGAAAACGACTTGTGAGCTCCCAGTCATTTACAGAAGCGAGGAGGATCGTTAAATCGTTTTTATTAAAACTTTATTACCTTATTTATTAAATATTTGCTCCTCGAATCGTTATGATCTCTTACTATGAACCATTAAAAAGTTTTAACAACACTATAACTTATACAAATAAATTATAGATCATGTCCTACTTCCCAAAATACTTTTTACAACCATATTGCATTATGAGACATTCAATTTTAATTGAAAACCTCAGCAAAAATAAATTCTACTAAACTTAACACAACACTTTAATTATCATAATTAAACAACATTAATATAAATATTTCTACAAACCATGAACACATTTAATTATTTTTCGTAATTAATTGACTTAACCTATCATTGCTACAAATACTCGAATAAATGTTCGTTGTCATAGCGATGAAACTGATTTTTCTTCTCTCTCCCTTCCTTCATCTTTCCATCTCTCTTCTTCTATGTTCTGAAGGATTAAAGCACATTATCTGTCATGCTGCATGCCATTGTACATATATTATTGACTAGCAATTTTAATTAAATAATTTCGGTTTATCTCTCGGTCTCAGTTGCGGATTATCAACAGAAGGAAAATTAAAATTGATTCACGTAGAGAAATTTTTTGAAACCTGAATTCAATTTTTATTTCTTTTACATGAAATAATGTTTTTCTCTCGTTTTTTGGTGAAGCTGGTGCTGCTGCTGCTGCTGCTACTAATGCTGGTGGCGTTTTTATTTTAACAGCATCCTTAGAGAAAAGTGTATAAAAATACTTCACGATATTAGAAAAGAATCCAGTTCCGCAGCCATTTGTCATTTTTATCGTCGAAAGTAAATAATTTCTCTCATAAGTAATATTTTGTCACCATGTGGATGTCATAATCTTCTTCTACTTCTTCTTCACCGACATAACATTATTTTTTTCGCGTTGATAAAAATGTTTTTACATAAATTAGAAGCATCGATTGATCTAATTCTGACAAGGCTCGCATAAACGTGAGGCAAATTTTAATTTCTCATGCAAGTCACGTTTTATTCACTTTTTTGGAATATGCTTTCAGCGTTGTTCGGGTCGTCTTTTTTGAGGAAATTTGACACATGAAAATGTTATTGACAGATGAAAATGTTTCGACTGCTAATGAAGCTTTTTATGTGTGCTTTTCATGATAATAATGTTATCTGAAATTTGTTTGCGAGAAAATCAATCAGCCTTTGCGGCGTCACAGTTACTTAATTTACAAAAGCGTCAGAGCTGTTGAAAATATTCCCCTTCCCCCTTTTTCCCATGTAAAAGCCTCAAACCGATGTAAAGAAATTTCACCATGGTAATCTTAAACGATCTGAATTATGTTTGAAAGGAGTAGACAAGATAACGGGCGCACACAAAAAAATATAACTTTGACATAAACTTTTACAGAAAACAAAACCAAAAGCAACATACATAAATTTTCTTGGCATGTTCAGAGAGTTAAAGGAAAGAGAAAAGAAAGAAAAAGCATTAAAAAGTATGTGTGAAAGTCCATAAATCTTTCCACTTATTGGATGTAAAAGGTTGACTGTGTTTTTTTCCCTAGATTACGATTTTCAACAATTTCGTGAATGTGTATTTATTTTTTTCTTTCTGGGGCTTCACTTCACTTCATTTCGAGTGATTTCGAACAAGCGAAAAAAAATATCCACAAAAGCTTAAAAAAAAGATAGAAAAAAAATAATTCGCTTTGATGGAAACGAATATTTCTTTTTTTCGGAATATTTCAGGCTGAAAGCAGGAAACTTAATACATGTACATATGTTGTAGGTTCATTTAGAAGTTTTGTTAAATTTTCAGCTTAGCGAATAATCTATAAACATTAATATATATAATGAACTTTCGACTTTGAAAGGTTTAAATGATTAATTTATGTTTCCACTTTCCATATTTATTTATTAATGAACAACTCATTGGGGGTTTCAACTTTCATCTTCAGTGTTATAGAAAATCTATATTTAAGGATAGAAATTTATTTTATTTGTAATTCTTGCTTTGAAATTTATCAATACCCCTTAAAATTTAATAATACATTCTTCATCTAACTATACACGCTTATAACCGCTAAGCTTGAAAAAGCTTTTCCACCCTCGAATATCTTGAACTATTGTAATAACTATTCGCTATAATGCTGCGCTATAATGTAATGTTTTTGCCGTCACCATCTCTATGGCAATAGAATGAAGAAAACATATAGGAATCGTGCTTATACGTAATTTCACTGTTGGTTTTCACTTGAGTTTTTGCTGAAAATTTACCAAAAATCACATAAATAAATTATGATGTATCAAAAAGCTTTCGCCAATTCACGTAGTCATGGCAACGAATTGGCTGATGGATCGAGGGGTTCAAGATCTGCTGGAGGTTGTGACCGACGAACAACAATTTTAATTGTTTCAACATTATTCACCACCATAATTGGAATTGTTTGCGTCATCGTCGCGTTAAAGTCAACGAAGCATTAATTAAACATCAAAAGTAAAATCATGATTTGAATTCAAGAGGTATTAAAAATAATTTCACAAAAATATATTTTCAGAAAATCCGACGAGAATATCTAACGTTAATTAATTCCGAAAGAAAATAATACGATTTTCTTTATATCGCGTCAGTGAAGCTTTTCATCAAAAAAACAACACAAGTATAGTAAGCGATCACGAAAATTTTCCCCTTTTTCTTAAAGCGAGCGTTGACGGATTAAAGGCAGCATCGTCACAGCTTTTTTCGGTAAATTAGGGTGATAAATTACAAAATTTCTCTTCGCGCTTGAAGGCTGAAGAAGCAAGCAGAGAAAAAGTTAATTCGGAAAATTTTATAAATTACAATTTAATTTAATTAATGTTGCCAGACGCATAGATATGTGTGCGTGTTCGAGAAATTAATTAACACATTTGACTGTACGCTACATGAAGCACTGAAACAAAAGAAGAAAGAAAAATAAAATATAATTTAGCAATAGAGTAAGTAAGCGAGTGTATTATTAAGCGTTGAATAATCTCGAGAAATTATTCTGAGCCATTTAGTCACGTTTAATGTTTTGCTTTCTTCCTTCTTGTGCTAAATACCTTTAAATATTGTCGAAAGTAATTTTAAAAGTTGATGGGGCGAGAGGCGAGAATTAAAGAAGCTTTTCATGGAGACTGAGTTTAGTGATAAATTGCTTTGTTAGCTATGGTAGATAGTCGTCGGTAGTAGAGCTGGATGATAATAAAGTGAATATTGTTCAGAACCAAATTCCCTCTGCTCTCATGTAGATAGATAGATAGACCCAAAATAATAAAAATAAAAAAAAAAAAACAGAAAGAGAAAGAAGTAAAACAAAACTTACTCTCCCTACACACGAAATAAATCATCGACAAATTTTACCCGATAAAATCATACGCATTTTTGTTATTTGTTTTTCTCAACAAATTCTCAACCGTCGTTGTTGCCGTAACTTGTCATGACTTAATTGAAAAGATGGGAAGGAGATGGCTGATATCAACAAGAAAATAAAAAAAAGAAAAAGAATTATGAACGACTTTTCAAATCACTTAATTAATTAAACGAAAATTGAACTCAACATGGGAATAATTTCTGCTTCGGAGAATAAGGAAAGTTGATAAGGAAAATCTCTTTATAACAACTCAATATTCGATGAGGAAAAGTTGCTGTTGAAGAAAATATGTCGGTTGATGTTGGAGAAACCTCTTAGAGAAAACGAAGAGCCAAAGCAAACTTTTCCTTATCATAATGAATATTCGATTTTTCTGTCATTATCGATGAACTTTTCGCCCCTTTTCCAGTTCTCGTCCTCGCCTCACACAACAGTGAGAAGGAAAAATAAAAAGAAAACTTATTCGGCAAAAAGTTTTATAATTAAATTCTTTTCTAAGTCGAGATGTTTGGGTGAGAAAAGAAAAATTGAAAAGCAAAAAATGAGGATATCTTAATCATACTTATGTATAAAATATTTTCTCAGTGATCGGATCAAATGTTTCAACGAGTTGTTCATATAAATTTTTAATCAGTCGTTGACTTTGCAAAGCAGATTTTCATTCCATTTCCCGACATGTATACACACACCCACACACACACACACACACATTGCATGTTACCATAATTTAAAATGTTTGAATACTTAATCCAACCACATACCTACTTAGGATTTGTATGAGATATTTACAAAGAGAGTAAAAAAAACTTTTCTCAGTTTTTCTGAATCAATTAAAAGAAAAAGTTTTAATAGAGTTGAAAAATAAAGTAGAAATTCGTATTGAAAAGTTTTCTTATGCCTGATTTACCTTGCTTGCTCACCCTTTTCGTAAAAAAACTTTTCCCTTAACAATTTCGCAGTTTGAAATGTTCACCTAGTTAGGATTCTTCATTGTCCCCACTAATAACTTTCTCACCCGTAAAAGTAAAGTTTGTGATTATTTTAATGCTTTAATTGGCGTCGAGAAGTTTCTGGTATGATGATTGTTATTTTTGCTGTTTTCAAATCACAGTATTTAATCGACGAGGCCTTTTCATTATCGCGCCTGCCCTTGATTACATGATTGTTAAAGATTGAAGGAAATAATAAAAACAACAGATTTCGAGATAAACAATCTCGGCAATCTCGGCATTTGTTAACTTCTCTTCGAATTTTTGGAGAGGATGTTTCAAAAATGTTTCTCATGAAGCATTACTGACGAACGAATGATTGTAGATAATGATTTCAAAGCGCAATGTTTCCTGTTCTCTTTTTTCTCTGAGAAAGTCTTCAAAATTTTCTCATGCGCGTTCGGAAAACTCCAAAGAAAATTTTTCTCTCATAAAGAGAATGATTTACAAATAAAATTTCAAATGGGAAGCTGCAACATTGCTTGGATTAATTTCTGAGGCTACGAGTGCAATGCTTGACTATTTTCAATTAGGATTTTCCGACGCCTTTTCCCTCGCCTTTTTTCTTTATTGTTTCGGTAATGGAAAGGGTTCAGGGTGAAAAGATTTAACCCGATGATGAATCTTCAATGCATGTTAATAGTGAGAAATATCTTGTATCCATTGTTTAAACTTTTTCAATTCTTCATGTAAGGATATCCTTTGATGATCTATCTGAAAGAATGGAAATTTTTCATTGTAGACATTCTTTAAAAATTGTATTCAGTGATGCTTAAAACATGCATGAAACATCATGTACATCATTCAAAAAAAGAAAATTCCATCCTTATGACGCTCCATCCAGCATGAGCTGCACATAGAAAAGATTTTCATTTCATGTAAATTAAAATTGATTTTTATTCCTTCCACTCGCATGGTAATCTCTCGCTGTGTTTCTATTATTATGTCGAAATATTTGACACAAAAAAATTCTCAATTTTCAACAACTGCAAGACATTTTTTTTCATGTTCTGTATAATGTTGTAGTTTCCTGATATGAATTCGGGACAAGTCTGAAAGTTTCTTCTTTTTTTTTGCTTCATACTTTAACATCGTCGATGTCTAATGAAAAAAAACATGAAAAAAAAAATCCTCGCATCTAGTGACACATTTTGCATGGCGTGCACTTGATAATATGTACATGCTGAGAAGGCATCCTTATTTAATTCTTAAACATAAGTGCATTGTCAGTTTATTTATGATACCAAATATGTTCAATATTCACTTAAGCTGAACGATTATTAATGTTCAATATGATATGGTGGGACTTTTTTGAAACGACGACGACGCTAAGAGAAACTGTCTCGAAAAATTCATAACAATAAATTTGATCCTAACATTGAACTGCTTCACGAGATGGAAAATTTTACTGAAAATTCAATACAGGGAAACCCTTAAGTATCATTGACGTAATCAAAGACTCGTGTTCTTCACAAAATACATATTACTTGGAAACATAAAGAAAAGCACGCAAAATATGAAATAAGAAAGAACAAGGTCACATGAATAAATTAGAATTTTCTTCCGATTCACCGTATTGCTATGAGGAAGAGAAATAAAAAAAAGAAGAAGAAGGAGAAAAAAAATAACTTGTAATCATAAATAAAATTTGAAAGTATTTTAGGCTGAAGTAAACGTTTTTAATTCCACGTCTTTTCCTGTTTCTGCATAATTTTTATTGCTACCGCTATTTAGGCATTAAAAGAAAACTTTTTAATGTCGGATTTATTTCTGCCTTTTCTTTTACACTCCGACCTTGAACACTTCACGAATAAATATATCAGCCTTTAATCTACAGATGTAGTATGAGAGAGAACGAGAAAGCGTAGCGTGGGCTACCACGAGAATATAGGTTGAGTGGCAGGTAGAAAATTAAGAAGAATTTTTAAGAGAAACTGAGCAGAAGGCGAATGAAAATGAAAATATGATGAAAATCTTTTTATTTAAATTTTCATCTCAGCGACAGTCTCAGTGTTTGTCTCATCTCTTGTGAACTCATAAGTAATCTAAGTTTGTTTTGTCTTTTATTATTTCTTTTTTTATTAAGTGGATGGGACTTTGGATGGGAAAATGTAGCATTGAAAATAAAATTGAAAGTTAGGCGACAGAATTTTCGATGAATTTAATGAACGACGCAATGGATAAACTCCGATGGGTAGCATACGAAGAATTTGCATATGCAAGAAGGAATAGCGATGAAGATGACATCAGATTGAACAAAATTACTGCTGAATCGAGTGAGACTGATGACAGTAAGACTGATGAAGAAGCTTCAGCACAGAATTCTGAAGATGATGATGATGATGATCATTCTGAATCAGCGGAATGTGAAGGGGAAGGTTAGAAGCATGATGAGACAAATCAACAAGTCTAAAAGTTGTCAAAATATTTTACTTTGTTCGCTTTTTCCATGTACATTATCACATATACGTTCGTTCGTTCGTTCGGTTTGATGTGTAGAAGAAGAAGTGGAGGAGACAGAGGAAGAGGATGAAGAAGATGAACAATTTTCCTCGGCTGATGAGTCAAGTGTTGATGGTGATATCGACTTTTGGTATGTAGTAAAAACAGTTTGTAAGTTTTTGTAAATGATCCATGGATATGTTCACATACAAAGTATATAAACGTATGAGCAAATATAACTATGAAAATATGCTCACTTTCGTCGGATATGTGAAGCATGCCTCCCAATTTACATGACAAGACTCTGTTCAACTCTCGATGAATATAGATTGTGCTGGTGTTCACTGAAATGCTTGACTAATGACTATGAGAAACTTTTTTTTGTTGTCTCTCTCGCTTAAACGTTTTGACGTAAATAAATTGGCAGAGCTTTCTTTTTATGAGCTGTGAATTATCAAAGTTATCAGCACGCACCCTCACATTATATTTTCTTTTTTCTTTCTTTTGTTGACTTCTTGAGTTACTTAGGGGACGTTTTCAAGGAACGTGTTGCAAATTATGTGAGAAATTGCGAAAAGAGCACATGGATGATGCTAAATATTTAGTCATAGAAATATTTTTAACTTCCCGCGTATTCAACACAGTAAAATATTTTCGAAAAGATGTTCACCCCACACTGAGAAATTTATCGTTTAAAATAGCTTTTAGAGAATCCTACTTATGAATGACTTTCTAGCATCGCTCGTTTTCCTAGAGAAATTCGCATTTTTCACTAATTAAAAAGACCTTTAGTGCCAGTGCACCTGATATTTACTTAAAACCCGACAAACGATTTATAACATCTCATGACATAGATGTTCGAGTTATTAAATGTAGTTCTATTTGTCTTTACCTTTCATAATATGGTTTATGAAACCACAATCAAGTCTCGATTATCTTGACTCTATTTCTACTCAACACTTCAATTAGTAAATCAAAGGTATTTTCATCGAACGAATATAATCTTAGGTATGCATGAGCTGATAGGATAACATAACGTTAAGTAAATCTGAATATTAACATCCATATCCAAAGGCGGTTCGGTTTTGTCAACAAAATATTGCTTCATCTCGGCTTCCATTAAGTGATTTTCTTGACGTCAATATCCAGTTAGCAAACCAGAGAGAGAAAATCGCAAAAACAGAATATAAATATCCGAACATGCTCTCATCGGTCATTTGTGTTCTCGCAAATATATTCTTAATTTTTCATTTCGAAAGGAAAAATAAATATCCGAGGAAACAGCGAATCAAAAAAAAAGAAAGAAAGGAAAGTGAAAAATTAAATAAAAAAAAAACTTTTGAGCACAACACAGGGAGTGATGATGATATTTCTTGATATTTCTTTTAGTTTCAAATGTGCTACGGTTTGAAGTGCGAGTGAAACAGTCATTGAAACGATACGCGGAAATTTTGCGCTCGAAACTCACAAAGAACATATCAAAAACAATAAACTTAGCTCATTCAAATGGAAGCATTCATATTCATAGTGAAATTTCCGAATCAACCCATCTAGATTCTACCAAGTGAAATCATTCATTCATAGTAAAACTAGTGTTGCAAATGGATTGTGAAACTATAAGCTAAATCAATCGAAAAATTTGCTGAGCCATAGTTTCGAAAACGACTACGAAGTTTAATAAAATAAAAAAATAATATCTAAACTTACATAAATACATTTATTGTGTTAGGAAAGTGAGAAGAAATTTGAAAATTTTAGGAGGAAAAGTAACAAAAAAAAAAAGGTTTTACAATCTTTAAAAAAAAACTTAAATAAAGGCAGCAGAAGAAGAGACGTGCGATAAAGTCTTTCTTTCCATTCTTTCCTTTCTTTCTTTATTTCATTCACGAGCAAAATAGATACGTCAAAGCGATTGAAAATAACTTTGTGTTTATTTTAACAAAGAGAATAAGCCAAACGATCTTCCGTTACCTCTGTCGTTCTGCGAAAATTGCTTAAAATGTGATTTATTTTTAACATTGAGAAATCAATTTGCCGCAAAACAGCTTCAGTTCCATTAAGTTTTTTCTTTTTACGTTTTCTTCTTCCTTTTCGTCTTGTTTTTCTTGTTTTGAAATGTTTTACAAGTTAAAATGGGCTTCGGACAGAGTTTGTTTTCGTTCAAGATTTTCATCTTGATTTCTTTTTATATTTTTGCAGATTTTCAATGTTTTATTGCCTCATTGAGAAACAGGAAGATTGCAAAATTGTCTCTAAAATGTAACCTTCAACGTTCTTCATTTGATAGATTTGATAAACAATAATAACAGATGTAGGCGATTTCAAGCGCTCGTGAAAGATTTTCCCCATGATACTTGTGCTTGTGACGAATTTAAGTGTTTTGGTTTAAAAACTTCTCTTCTTCTCTCTGTCTTATCTTTCGAACAGAAGTTTGAGACGATTAATTGTTTTAATAAATCGAGATAATAACTAAAACCATTTCTCATTCAAAATAGATTATAAAATTTGGTTTACGGTGTAATCATAAAAGAACCTTTAAATTAACGAATCAACTCCTGCTGTAACTCAAGACAACGAGATAATTCTTCTTTATGATGAAGCAATAATAAAACATTTGTGTTGGATATAAGCTTCTTTGTTATAAGACAGTATCTACGAAATTCTAATTAAAGTGGATTTGCGTTTCAAATTTCAATCGTAAATATTAAATATCTACAAGAAAAGAAAGCAATAAAATTATTTTATTTTATACTTGATTGCTTCGATATAAAATCATCAAGATGTTCAGTTTCTTTAAACGAAAATCTCGTCCAAATAACAACAATAACAATGAAAATAAAACTTCCGTTAACATGCAACTGGCGATCGAAAAACAACAAGCAAATTTACATCGAAATCTCGAGCTAAAGCGGCAAAATGATGTCAACGATCGATCACAAAAAGATGTAAATTCACTCGTCACTAGAACTGGCAACAACGAAGATGATCCTTCTAAAAATAAAACAGCGGTGTTGCCATTAATTCTTAATGAATATGACAAGAGCAAAGTATTAACACAAAGCACATGCGCTGATGTAAAACAACAAAACTACGATCAGTATCGTGATGCGAAGCGAACAGCTTACATGCTTAGCATCTCCAATGAGCACGCGAGTAAACCAGAGAAAACTCCGACAAATTGCTATCAACCGAATGCGAAGATCGTCGTTGCATCATCAATCAAAGATCAACAAAATACTTCGCCGCTCATTGGCACAGACTCAAGGAACACGTACAATTCAGTTTACGAAGTGATGGGACGTGGACGCAATAGAAATAAGAATCGCGGTTACAGTACGCCGAATAATTATCAAAATTATAATAAAAATGTGAAAAGTGTTATTGAAAATGAGGACGAAAAGAATTTGAAGCAATTGAACGATGTGACGAGTGAAAATTCCAACTTAAAGCAAAAAAATATTGAAGAAAAACATAATTCAGTGACTTTCGTTGCCAACGGTACTGCATTTGCAGATGAAAATTCCGAAAAATCCGCCAGTATTTCTTACGATGAAAATGTGTTTCATGATGAAAATTCGTGTTCTAAAAATAACCAACCAGAAAACCAAAACGATAACCTAGCCACATCTGATGAAGCAACAAACATTGTTGTTAGTAATTCTCATCATCATGATGAAGAACAAGAAGAAGAAGAGAAGGAGAAAGTCAAATTAGTGGAGAGTTCAGTGAAAAATGAAGAGTTTCTCATGCAACAAGTTGAAGTGCCATTGCAGCGCAATCCCTCTTTGAAACGAGTCACATTTGCACCATCTCCACCACGTTCCGTTGCTTCATCCGATGATGAAGATGAAACTATAAGTGATGACATTTTTTATGAAGCGGAAGCACCAAATGAAACTCAAAAACTTCGAATTTTGTCAACCATAACATCGCATAGTTGCGAGTCGTCGCGTATTGAAGAAGAAAATGAAGAAATTGGCACTTCAGCCTCAAATGATGAAATGTCATCTTCAAATAGCAACAATGGCAATTGTAACAGCAGCAAAAATATGAATAATGACAACAAAAATAACGACATCGTTTGTGCGAAGATTATTTTAAGTGTAGATGAAAACGACGAAAATATTTTAAGTGATAATGATGAAGGAAAATCTGATAACATTAAAACTCATGCATTTAGTAGTGATGAAAGCAATACTAACATTACGAACGACTTTGAAGTCACCCCGAAAACAATAAAGCCTTCGTATCTGTTGGTTGGTGAAGACACCATTGCTCTCCCTGATATCGTCGCCGAAACAAGCTTACTCGAACAACAACAACATCTTCCAGTCGATGAAATGTAATTTGAATTTTTCATGAATGTTCTTCACAGCTTCGCACTCTCGAATGTCACAACATGCCATTTGTTTCAATTTATCACAAGCCGACAATCTTACATGTGACAAAATATCCTTTTTTCCCACACAACTCATTTCATATTTCATGGCACAATTCATTTCATGGCTTGAAATTTATATATTCGTATTCCAAAAATAATTCCTCGTAAGAGAAAAATAAAATAAGCAATAATTCGATTCTCCAGCGCCTGCCAATTGATGTGGGAATCATTTACGTCACAAACGCGTTATACTGAGAAATAAATAAACTTTTAATTTTGCAAAACGGGAGTTGGAAAAACATTTTTCATTCGCTTTATGTACAAGATAATTTTTATTAATTTCACGTTCCCTTCATTTTATTTATTCGTTTTTTTTTTCTTCTTTTCGCTTTTACGTCTTTTAGGGCTACATTGGGGAGTCAAGCGAGCAATTATAATGGAAATTCAATATCAAGCAGTCAAATTGAAGTCGTTGACCAGATGCAGTTAAAAGTTAATCAGTTGTGCATGAAGATCGATGATTTGGAAAGAGAATTGGATATTAAAATTGGAGCCGTTGAACGTAAGTTTCACAATAAAAAACAGAAGGAAGGAGAGGGAAAAATTTTCCCTTTGTCAGGGAAATTTAAATTGAGAAAATCAAAAACATTTCCGAAAAAAAAAATTCCATTCAGATTGTTACGTTTCAACAATCTCTGAAAGATATTTCATGTTTCATCAAAAATCTTTAAAAGTCAATGAAATGTGAAATAATCAGAATTCTTGGGATCGTTTGCAATGCTTCAAATATCTATAATAAAAAAAAAATTTAGAACGATTTGGAAATATCTTAAATGAAATTGGAAATAGGAGAGAAATAAAATGAATAATTTTGAAAAATTTCCAAAGTTGAGCCCATAAAGCTTATGTTATGACTTTGAGGTTTTGGTCTCAACAATACAACTGATTGAAGTATTGACGTCAAAGATGAAAAACAGTTTCCGTTAGCGTTATGTCATAATACATCCGATGTTCAGAAAAACTTTTCCAAACAATAGAAATTGAGAAGGAAAATGCGATTCATCGATTGTTTATTCAAGAAAATCATTTGTTTGACGTTGAGACTGTGAACGAGTTTGCTTGTTTATTATTAGCATTAGACGAAAATCTTTGAATTTTCTTTTCTTGAAAATCTTCTTTCTGCTCTTTCGTCTAATTTTAAAATACTTCGATTGATTTTTATTCTTATCTTTACGTCGTAAATTTATATTGTTGAGATTGAATTCTTGTTCGTTCGCGCTTCATCGACGATTCAATGCCGTTCTGGCGTTGTTTCTTTTTATTGCTTTTTTCATTTTTCTCTCTTTTTGTTGTATTTTGCTAACTTCACCAGAAACTTTCTCTGTGTCTGATTGTACGGTGTCGTGATTTTATTTAATTGCGTTGGCTTTTCTCATTAATTTTTAATTGTTATTGTCGAGAAACTGATGAATGAAATTCCCTATCAGTCCTATTAAACATTCAATGGGTTCTATCGAAAGTCGGGAACACCCAAGTATGAATGAAAACAATAACAATAATAATAAAACTTGTATCGTTGATATTTAATTTTTTATTTGTTATTGTTTCGAAACTATTTGTTTCATTTTTGTTTTTTTTTTGGTGGTCATTGGCGAACGTTGAAGGTCTTCAATCTGAACTTGAAGCGAACAGCAAGGAAGATGAATGTGTACGACAACGCTTGCGTTTTCAAGATGAGCAATTGGAAAAAGTTAAAGAGAGGCAAGACTTGTTGCTCGATGAAGAGCAGAGAAAATATGGTAAATATTTAATAACATGAATTTGTCCCTTAAGGTGAAGCAAATTAATCAATCATTCAATTTCATGTCGTAGCATCACTTGACAATCAACATAAAGAAACAATTGCGAAACTACACAAAATGCAATCTTTGGCAAGCAGCTTGAACCTTCAACTAGCACAAGCATCAACAGAAATGGAGAAGCTTCGACAAGCCCGCGATGAAATTCTGGATAAATTAACAGCACAGGAGAAAATTTTGCGTGATATTCTGCAAACGGCAATGGAGGAACGTGAACAAATTGTAGCAAAATGGAAGCATGACTTTGAGCAATTGAGAAATGTAAACTGCGATAGAGAAGAACATCTCATGGAGGATTGCGAATGGAAACTTCGTCAAATGATGAAACAATGTAAAGAGAAAATTGAAAGGGCAGAAAGTGAAAAGAAGTGCCTGAAAGATCAAGCTCAAGTTGATAAAGAAACAATCAAAAGTCAACGAGATGAAATAAGAAATCTTAAGGGTTGTGAGAGAGAAGCCGCACATTTAAGGAGCCTTACTGACGAACAGAAAAGTTCATTATCATCTATGCTAAGACGAGTAGATGATTTAAAGAGCGAGTTGTCAAACGTCAAACGGCGATTACAAGACGAAATTGATAGCTGTCTTCAAATAAAACGCGACTGTGCATAGTAAGTAGTGATTTATGGTAAAGTTCACGAGTCACGTCACGCAGACAATGAACTTTATGAGCTTCTCTTTCCTGAACACTAAATGCTCATAAAAGTAAATGAAAAGCATTTTTCGGCATAACAAACATTGTTGTTTGTCTATTTTTCCTTCTCCTTTTTTCCTATTTTCTTTTTTTTCGGTTGTTGTTACTATCCAACCAACCCTTTCATTGTTTGTGACGTCATAAAAATCTCCCCGACGATGCTCGTAATAGAGTTAATGGCAATAGCACAACAGTAACAATCTTCAAAATGTATTTTAGTCAATTGAGCGAGAAGGAACGTTCATGCCTTAGTCGAATTGAAATCGCGCGTGGCGAAAGCGCAATGGAATGGGAAGATAGGCTGATGGAGGAAATGTGTCGCCTAACACGAGAGCTAGAACAAGTACATTTAGATGAGCGAAATTCAGCATTAAATAAATTGAAAGCTGAGCAACTACTTGAAATTCAAGCGATTACTGCAAACTTTAAACAACAAGAAAAAATTCTTGTGAATGATGTAGGAAGAAATTAAATTTCCCTTTATGTTAATTTTCATATCTAATTACATTCCTTTCCTTCTTTTTATTTAATAATTCACTTAACATCGTACGTAGATTGCGGCACTAAAAGTTGAAATTGAAACAAAGCAGAAAGATTTACAAGAGACGCAATCTAAAGCTGACATGCAGTTACTCGACCATCGAGCTTATCTACAGAAGCGTGAACGTGACCATCAAAAGGAATTGGACAAGTTGCAAGTGGAACTTGAGCGACAACAGAGACTCCACTCCGATTTAATTGGTAAGATCATTAAGAGTGGGTGGGTGGAAGGAAAGTGAGCTGAGTGAGTGAGTGAGCCATTTTCTTCTGTTCACTTCGCAATTCCCCCGATGAGAAGAAATTTCTTAATTAAATGACTATTTGACAGAGGAAATTAAAGACGAACATAAACGTGAAAAGGAACAAATAAAAGCCAGCTTTTATAGATCCTTAGAACAAATTAAAGAAGAGTTTGCCAACGAAATTACTCTCACAACGGAAACATTGCAGGCGAAGCATAAAAAGGAGATGGGTGAGATTGACATGGCATTCTTCTACTTCCTTTGCTGCCTTTGCCTTTGCCTTTGCTTTTTTCCTTTAGCTTTCACATTAAAGAAAGTTTCTTAATTGTAAATTATTTTCATAATTTTTCCATTTTTATTGTGCTCGTATAGAAGAACAGTGGAAACAGTTGGTTCATGAGAAAGAAACAGCTCTGTTAACTGCTGAAAATCGTCACCGAATAAGGATAGAAGACGCAGATAATAAATTGAGGTGAGAAAAGTTCCTCCTTTCAACTTCTGCTTCTTATGGTGACAAACTAACAATTCCACATTTCTGAGCGAGAAATTATGTGAAAATCTGGTTCCATTAAAACAATTTTATTCTTTCTCGATTTTAATAATAGTAAAAAGCATTCATAAGTTACGTCATTGTGCTCGAATTTGGCTTCAATTTCATTAAATTCATGTAGATAAACATGGAATATACGAAATGGAATTTACATTTAAGTTATTTTCCCTGCAGTGGTGACGACGGTTTGGGAAAAACGTCGTCTGCCAGAAGGAAACATTCAAAATGAATCTGCTAAGAGTTCCCACAAATTTTGATTTATGTTTTTATGTTGTGAGCTTTAGATGCTTGCACCATAAATAAGAAATTTTCTCATTGCAATTGATATGATTCATTCAAAATTCGAAAATTATTGCGTGATAAAGTCATGACAGTCGAAACAAAACGCAAATGACACAAACATGTATGCTAAGCAATCAATCACGTTTATGGTTTTTATGTTCCATTTTTTTATTCTTCATTGGAAATTTTACTTTATTTTTATTTCGTTTTTTAGAAAACAAAAAAAGCGATTCAGACGAGGTTAATAAACAAATTTTCACTTTCCACCAAAAAATTCACTACCATAAATAAAATGAAATTGACATTAAACTGCAGACAAACAATTTAAGTAGAAACATGAAAAATGTTGTCGTCCTAACGACATAAATCTTCAATAAAGATTAAATGAAAATGAAAAATTCCCTTGTTGATAAAGTTCAATATAATAAAATGCGAAAAAAGAAATATTAATATAAAAAAATATTCCAATAAGACTCGAAGACATGAAGAAGCAAAAAAAAATGTCTTTGATCGAATTAATAACGTAATCAAAACCTTTTAATGTTCTGGAAAGTCTTATAAACTTTGAATAATCTGAGCTAAATGACTTCAGCGATTAAAGTGACGTAAGAATCCATTATGAACGCTTTCGGAGAGTGCAATGGGAGAAAAAACCTTAACTCATCCATGATTTTACCTGTCTCTACCATAAAATGACTTTTATTAAATTTATTTTGTTTATCGTAAATAATATTGTTTCTGTTTTTTATATGTTTTCTTCTTCCTGTTCTCCTTCTTGCTGCTACTATATTTTATCATCATCATCACTCTTCCTAAATGTTTTAGTGCTATCAAACTTAATCACAAACGAGAGCTAAGCGATTTTAAGGATCAATTTGAGTTTGAAAAAATTCGATTGAATAGTCGCGATGTTTCAAATACACAAGAAATTGACACGCTACACAGAAAGTGCATATGCCTCACTAAACTGTAAGTATCAACATAAATTTGACATCTTCTTCCTATTACCATTCATCTTGATGTTGTAAATAAACTTGATTACCGATTTCTAAATGTGTTCTGTTCCGTTCTGTTATGCAAATTGATGTTACCCCCGTGCCTCGCTCCCAGTTCTCTAAAACCCTTTCCGAATTTTGTATCGTTTATGACGATTTACAACACACAAACGTCTTAAATTTAATTAAGAATGTTGAGATTCATCGCCTGAATTTCCTTGGCAAATCAGATTCATTCGACTAATTAACTTTTTTGTTTGTTTCTTTTATTTATTCGCTACATTTATATAAATGCTGTCTACACATACCCAAAATCGCCATTCGTGATAGCTTTGAGGAAATGCGAATGCGCTATGAACGACGCGATCCACGTTCGGAAGATTTGAGGCAGATTGATGAATTGAAATCAGTGGTCGAATCACAAGAAAAAGACATTTTCCATTTGACCGAACAGCTTCGAGAAATGCAATTACAGCAACATAGTCAGCAGCATAATCAGCATAGTCAGCAAAATCAAGGAAATCTGCAAAATGTTAATCAATCACGTCGAAACAAAAACAAGAATAATAAAAATAGTAATAACCATAGAAATAACAATAATACGGCTAATCATAATGGAAATTCCAATAATAATATTATTAATAATGGCAACAATATACCCCAACAAACACAACAACAGCAACAACAAATGAGACATGATGCCTCGCTATCTCATCATCAGACACAACAAAATGCAAATCATGACCAGCATCAGCACCAGAGCCAACAGCAGCAGCAAGTCCGCATGAAGCCCCCGCCTTTAATCAAAACAATTATTTATGAAGAAGAGAACGAGAATGAATTGTATGAACAGCAGATTCGCGAGGAACGTGAAAATGCACAAAAAATTCACGAGCAGGAAGTTGAAACTGAATTGCAAAGTCATGGCGATAGCGTGACTGTTGTAGAATTGGTTCCAGAAAGTCCTGATTTTACAACAAAGATAAAACAAATGAATCTTGAAGAGATTTCTGAAGCTCACATAATTTCTAACTTAAATCATATTCCAGATGTTGTTGTCTTTCCAACAACGACTCTTGAAGACAAGCTTCAAGAGATTCGCGTTGAAGTTATTTCAACAATAGAACCATCAAATATTCAAATTGTTCCAGTAAATAGACGTGAATGCAATGGAAATGCTTCTACATATGAACTCGAATTGGATTGAAAGGATCTTTAAGATTCTGAAGATACTTTGTAATTTATTTGCTGCTTTTCCTTTTAATGGCTGTTTTGCTCGCCAAAAAAATTTTAATGTATCGATTTATTACTATTTTATCTCCCTTCATTCTCCTTTTTTTTTATAATCATCGAGAATAACGATGAAAAAAAAATTGTTGAATAAAAGTTTATTTACGAAAATGTTAAATTTACTGCGGTGAAATTTTGTTTTTCCTTTCTTTAAGTTTAAAATAAAGAAAATTTTGTTTACGTTGTTCGTTTTTCTTCCGATTTCTAAATGCATTTGGTATTTTAGTTAATGGAAAAGACTAGAAGCTCAAAAGTTCTCGTTGACTGTCTCCTAAATTATTCAATATTTTTCAAGTTTACTCAAGCAGTAGTCATGTAATGACGACATTTAAGTACTACACAACATAGATTTAAAATCAATTTAGCGCTCTATAATGTTCTCGAGTGATACTTTCAACATAAAAGCAGATAAAAATTCCTTTCCATAACAAACTTCTTCAGGGTATAAAGATCTCCAATTAAAGTCATGTAGCCAACATATAAAAATAATAAAAAAAAAATAATAACAAAACACAACGACTGAAGATACTTGAAGGACTTTTTTATTGCTATGCTGTACAAACTTTTTGAGAAATATAAAAATAAAAAGAAATTCACATGAAAATCGCAGCAAGAAACAAAACCATTACAAATTACTTTGAGATGTTGGGGGAGTCCAAACAATATAAAAAAAAATTGAAGTCAAAAAGCAAAGCCTTAGAATTGTGTGAAAAACAGCATGTTTATTGGTTTTGTCTTTTCCCGCTTCTTGGTTTATTTTTTTTCTTCCATTTTATTTTCATTCCCTCTTCGGTGTCGGCCGATAAGAATTAAATAACATCGCCTTTTTATTCTGTAATTAGGTTGACGCCATCCAAAAACTTTTCAAACGGAGAACAACTTTGTCTCTTCATTCAACATCCATTTATCCATCTTTATATTATTCAGGGGACTCTCTTAATAATACATTTTATTTTAGTTTTCTTTCATGTCGAGACAATCGAGACAAAGGAGGAGAGAAAAAAAAAAGAATGAAATAAAAGCTAGAAGTTTCTTCTTTTTTTATTTATTTAATTTTTAAAATTATGTTAGTATCATCCCATGGCGAACGCTATAATGTGTGTCGTCGTCCCTTTGCTTGCGGTGTTGAACAACGGCTTTGTAACGAAATCAACTGCCTGAGATGATAAATTTATTGTTTAACTACAAAGCATTGTCTGAGTGTAGTGACTCCCTCCAGTGCTATGAGCTTCTCTGCTCGTGATCACTGCTGTGCGTAAAGTTCTGCTCCATATAACTGGTATGCTCACAGACAATTGACATTTGCAGTATAATTTATACTTTCGCTTCTCTGCTTTCTTCTCTGAAAATTCCAACAGCGAGTCACCATAGGAGATGAAATTATAGAATGTAAAACAAAGTTCCACAGAACATTAAGGGGCGAAAAGGTCGATGGGACAGAAATGAAATGAAATTCTCTCTCTCTTATCCCTTGCTATTAAACAAGTTGTTAAGTCATGGCAATTTTCCTCCTAAGTGATCCATGATGTTTGTGAAAATGATGAATAATTTGCCTTTTCCTCTCTTACCATTTCGTTTCAGGCAATGGAATGTAAATAAAAAAACTTTTTCGCCTGCAATGAGTAATTTACAACAAGCCAAGTTTAATGTAACAATTCGCGGTTCTTCTAGACTTATTAGTTCGAGGGTTAGAGTGAAATTCAAATATTTGACAGACTAAATTGATTTCAAGAGAAACAAAACTTTTATTACTTATCCCATCCCAACTTTGAAATCATTTCCATTTAGATGGATGGATAAGTAAAAGTTCAGTTTGCGTAAGAACTTTTGGAATGCATTAAAAATTTCAAATCTATGTAAGAAGAAGTTTTGAAAATTTCTCTACAGTGAATAACGATTTGGGCAATCAGAATCAATTTTGATTAAAAACTCTTATCGTAGATATTTCTGAAAGCTAAAAGCTAATCTACATTTTAATTGCATAATTATATATTTTTTATTCTTCATTCTTTGTTGCTGACGTTGATAATTTTATATTCACAAATCATTGTTGAAACGTCAAAAACTTTTCAAGCTCTATGAATATTTATTTATGGATGAGATGAAATAAAATAAATTGTAATTAGAATTATCATCAAATATGCTTAATGAAAAATCAATCTAATGCAGAACTTTCGGAGCAAGCAAAGCATTTTCTTGCATTAAAGTTGATTCTACAAGTTTGTCTTGACCATAATGAAAGATTGATTAAACATCCAAAAGCTTAAGTAAGAATTGGTTGGAAAACTAACTTAAAAAACCTCAACCACTAAGATATGGATTGAGAAAAAAAAAAGGCATTTGAGAGTATCATCATCTGAAAAACAAAAAAGTTTGTGAACATCATCCAACCGCAAGAGATTCTGAGTACAAGTGGTTCACATAAAACTTTCATTTGAAACTACTATTAATCATTCTGACACCAACAACGACGACAACGTCTCACTCGTAAAACTTCTTAAAAATAAAATAAAAAAGAAGAAATTATCAAAATGTCGAAAGGAAGAGGAAATCTGAAGAAATTATTAAATTAAAGAATTAAAAACTGGCAAAAGCAGTTGTCCTTTCTCTCACTCTCCATTCAAGACGAAAACACAAAATCGCGATAGTTTTTCTTTTTTCTTATTAAATAAAATTTCCTCGAAAAGTTTTCTTGCATTTGTTGGCTCGAATAACCGCAATGTGATGCGATTTGATGTTCATTTTAACGTTTGTATGCTTTTTCAGCGCAAACTTCAACTAATAGGATTAAAAATGCTTTTCTTTTCCTTTTCTTTACTTGACTGTAGTTCATTCCACCATTCGCCTGTCACAGCGTCTCTAAATACATAAAAGATTTTGGCTAATTTTAAAAATCAACTCTGCAGAATTCACCGTTGGAAGAAATGTGTTTTGCTATTCACGACATGTAAGACAGTGGGAGTAGATTGGGACGAACGAGTGGCAGCATGAGCTAAGCAAAAGATTTTCATGTATTCATAATTTATTAGCAGAAGAGAAATTTTCAACTAGCTGGGGAGTGATAAGAATAATTTTAATCTGCAATTTCTCATGTCAGACAGCAAAATTGCTAAAGATTTAATCCGTCCCGATGATGGCACTAGTAAGAAAGACAGAAAAAGAGCCACAACGGAGATGAAAATGGAGAATTTAGCACTTTTAAGATGTGTCGCACATTTATTAAACCGCTTTGCCACTTCCGCTTTTTCTTTCATCTTCTAACTGGATAAATGGATTCTCATCCATTTTTTTTTGGCCTTTTCTGCGAGAGTTGTGAATTATTACTTTGTGTTAAGTGATAAGTGAATTGAATTTAGATAAGCTGAAAGAGGATTTAGTCTCAAGTCGATGGGAGGAACTGACAGAAAAGACTTTCACCACATTGAGAGATAATTCATAACTTGCATTAAGAGACAATTGCTACAGCTTCATATGTCTTATACTTAATTCGGCTAACCATATACAAAAGACGATGATGACACTTTACTATTGGGCATTGTTTGCGTCACATTTGAGTGCCTTCAGGGACTGCCCAAAATTTTCCAACCAACTATGGCAAACCTTCCATATGATTAGAAGCCAAATTGCAACAAAATCTTCAAGTACTTTGCCAACATCTCTCAAAAAGTTTTCTTTTTTTCTTTCTCCATTTTTCGTTCTCTTCATGGTGACAGAAATAAAAAAGTGTTTTTCTCAATATTAAATCTTTAATTCATAAATGGAACGCCATAACTTTTCTCTCTTTTTGCTATTTAGTATTTTCTTTCGTCCTTCAGTAGTAGCGGCTTGGACGGTTTCTTTTTAATCCACAAAATGAAAATGGACTCGTTAATTATGGCCAAAGAAAAATGTGTGACCCAATTCGCTTCTAATCTGCTACGATGTTTCTTTTCTCCGCTTTTGCTTTTTGCCTATGCTCTCGTGATAATAAAAGTTTCATAACATTAAGCTATGTATTTTCTCTATTCCTCTAGTTTCATGAATAAAGCTCCATATTTGCGCTTAACCAGGCGCATAACTAAATTTTATTTATAAATTAAAGGATTTTGTTAAAGGAAGGAACGTCCAGGCAAAAATCTAATCCTATCCCATCTATTTTTAGTGATGAATTTTAAATTTTTGGAAGGGAATATATTTTCCTATGATGATTTATTTACATATCTACCAAGTACATGCACACAAAAGCAGATGAACAACATATGGGGAGGAAGAAGAAAAAAAAATCTGTTATTGCTGATTCTGTTTCTGACTGTTGGTTGCACACTCTAAGCTTTTTACTCAATAGAATATTTATATGGTTTTTTTTTTCTTCATTCGGTGGTGTTCAGTATTTTAAAAAGCGTCAGTAAAGCAAGCAACCTTTCAACGTAGTTAAACCTTTTCCGGAAAATATTAAATTAATGCAGAGAATGTTTCACACCTTCCAGGAAGAAAAGGTGAGATAAAAATAATTGATTCAGAATGAGATTACAAGTTAAAAAAGAAAGCAAAAGGAAACAGTAAAGCTTAACTCATCCGCTAAAACACCAAAGAACAGACCAAACAAATAAGGAAACGTATTATGTACTTTACTTTTATGATTACTTATTCGATGTTAACCTCAGTTCTTTGAAACGGAAGCACACCCAAAAATAAATAGAAAAATATGTGTTGGTATCACATCAAGTTAAATTGTGTTAACTCGCGACATGCTTCAATGTTTAATCTTCTTCCCTCTTTTCAAAGCATTCAAGTTTCTTCTCAGAATATTGCTATATAATTACATTAAACTTCTTTTCCTTCCTTTTTTTTTTGCTATTAATATCTTCCAAGTTCGGTGACAACATGTAAGTAAACCGAGAGAGAAAAATAAATTTCCAATTCGATTCCATTATCATTAACAACGCATCAAAAGGCGGGGAGAATAATTTCATACACAAATTCAGGAAATTTTTAGAGAAATTTGATTAAAAATGGAAAGAAGAAGAAATTGAAAAAAAGATTGTTGTTGTTGGTGTCGTAGTAGGCTTGGTTGTGGATGATGATGCAAAGAGCTCCAACAAATAAGCACGAAATTTATTGGAGCACAAGACCTTCTTTTTACAATTCTACAATGGCGGGGTTGTGTTGATGATGCCAAAATTATTTCAAGAAAAATAAACAACTTGAAGAAGAAGATTTTATCCAGTTGTTCCAACACTGAACTGTGGGAAAAGAAAATTGTTTCGGATACGACATTCTTCGCATATCTTCTGGCAATTTTCGTCCCTCAAAACTTCTTTCAGTTCTCTTTTACTTATTCTTATTTCGAAACTGTTTCCCCTCTAATAGGTTTACGTGCAAACAACCGAAGACTGAACTGTTTATAACGACACCGAGCATTATAGCGCTCGGAACGTCGCACGCAGTAGGTGTAATTGATTGTGAAATGTTATCAAACAGATACATATTAAAATTGTATATGAAATTTATTTACATTTAACGCGATACGAGGGAGAGATACTTGGAGAAAATATTACGAAAAGGTGGAAAGGTTGCGGAAGAGCAGACAGTTTATGGTTGAGCACGCTTCTTTATAAACTTTTATGAGAGATCAAATGGCGTAATTTTTATAAAATTGTCTAAATATTTCAACTTTAGCGTGTATTTATGCTGTCCCCACGCTTCACTTTTCTTTCTTAACGAAACAGAGAAAGTTTTCGCCTGATGATAGAAATTATTGGTTGTTTGTCATCACACTTCGCAGTAAACGAGATCAGCGAAGCAAACTTACCTTGTTAAGAGATAATTACATCGAGCCCCGAACTCAAGAGCAAAGAAGAGTGGTGAGAAATATAAATAAATTCTATGTAATTTTTAATTAAAAACTTTTTCCATACCCATAATTTTCTCAACTCATCCAATATTTGTTCGTGCTGCAAGAAGATTTTTACTTGACAATAAGTTGTGGTATGGTGTGGTGGAATCCCGTGTTGAATATCTTTAACCAACCCGAATCCCCTTACTTCCATTTTTATTCACAAACAACCTGCCAAAGGTTTTCTTTTGAAATCGCAGATGCTTGCTTACTTACTCCGATTACAAGAAGAAGAATAAACTTGCTTTAATATGCATGAGAATTAATGATTTCATTAAGATGGTGCTGGTAATGATTGTCGCTATCTCACTTCTCCTTGTTTTCGTTGATTTTCTTTTATGATAAATATTTAGATAGTAGTGAAACTAAAATATTTAGCGTGAAACTCAAAACTGCATCGTGAAAATATTAAAGCAAAGATTTCCACTTAATTGAGTTTACGTTGATGGTTGGAATTGAGTTTATCAATTGATAGAAATTCAATTTGCGGTATTTTCTTCTTTACCAAACTTCTCTTATCTCAAATAGATTTTCGTAATTTTCATTCTTCATCAAATAATCAAAATTAATTAAACTGTCATTGGGGATTCAGAAAGCGTCTTTGAAGAACATTTACTCTGTATTTATGTCAAGAAATTCTGAATTTCGGATAATTAATAAGCGGTTTTATCACACGTAGTGTCATTCGCGAATCTTTAATAAAATCAGAGTTGAATTGATGTGATGCTTTGAATGATTTTCAGATTAAAGAGGTAAAGTAGAATGCTTAATCTAACATAATTCGTATGCAAAGGTATTAAATGAACTTTCACGCACGCTCATTCATTTAGAAAACACGTGATGCTTGTGTGCTTGCGGGTAGGGAAAAAAGGATGAATACAAAAAGGCATGAGACAAAGACTAAAGTTGAAATAAAAATTCTCACGATTTATGATGAAAGTGTCAGCTTTTGAATGCTTAAATAATTTACTCGCTTGCTTTTGTCGTGTATCGCGATTGCGTTTATGAAATATTAAAATTAAAAAATCGTGTTCAGCATTGCCAAACGAATCTTCTTCCTCGGTCTTAGCATTATAAGCATTTAATCCCTTTTTCTTTCGGCGGATGTCGACGGTGAAGCCATCAGATGATAAGCTATGAGCTTAAACTTCTATTGTTTGAAAATCATATTATGATGTTGAGTAAAGTCATTATGACTGCTTAATAATCCTTTTAACAACAATACAATGAGTTTTTACCAAGTAATTTACATCACAAGAGTAATAATAATTATAATAAAGAGTCGGATGAGTGTATGTAAAGTTTAAATAAAAAAAGGAAAACGAGAAATGAAAACATAACGAAATCGTAATAAGTTTCATATTTGAGCTTTCTCTCGAAGCAATTATTTCAAACTGTAACATCGAATTAATTTGAGCTTTATTGCTGTTACATTCTAATCTTCGCTTGCAAATATAATACTTATTAACTGAACCAAGAAGACGTTTAATATGTAATGCATCTTTTCATATATTAAAATACATTTATGATGATACCTCTCTTGTATGAAAGTATGAAATTAAATTCATTTTAAGAGATAAGCTGATGAAAAGATTATTTTATGGTTTGGAAAAGATCTCAAAGAACTCGTATCATGTTGAATGATGAAATTTCTTCTTCTTTTCCTTTCATCTTAAAAGCTTTTCCTAAATAAAGATGCAAACGAATGAATTTCTAGGTACATACTTACTTATTTAAGATATTCATGAACATTCCGTTTTCATTCTCTGATATATTTTTTACGTATTTAAATAGCTCGAAGGTCAATGGACAGCAATTATGAATGCAATTAGGTGCAAGGCACTTCAGTAGGAAAATTAGTTTTGCTTTTGTTCAAATGAAGTAAGAGAGAAGTTAGTTCTGACAACTTTAATTACCTTTTTCAACCCAGCTGTGCACTCGTAAACAACGTTCTTCAATCACAACTTTCAGCTTCATAAATAATAAAATAGTGAAGCTTAGTAACCCAATAGAATGACATCTCTTAAAAAGTAAAATTGTTTTATTTTTGTCATTAATTTCTCTCATTAAAACTTTGTGCAGTTTTCTTTTCATTCGTAAGTCCGCTTTTTATTACAATTTCATGTCAAATTAAGAATCTTATTTCTCTGTTCTTCCTAGCTAGATTCATTTTTCTCGTTGATACATTTTTTTTATATTCAACGTTATTAAAAGTAAGAAAAATAAAAGATGATATTTTTTCAACACGAACCGTCTTCAAGAATCTCTGTACGAAACGAGTATTAAGTTTTCAACAAAATCTTATTTTTCAAGCAATGAAATTGTAAGCTAGACCGTTTGTTGCAATCTAAACTTTAGAAGCGCAAACGACGAACACTCGACATACAATGAAACAAACGTAAAGGTTTATTAAATTTTCTCGAATTCAACCATAAAATCAAAATTTTATTCGGAAAAGCTTTTAGTTGAAATTAAAAAGCTAGAATGTTAACTTCAGCAACAAAAACGAGCGTATAAATTTTATAGATGATTGCCGATGTAGTTTTATGAACTAGAAAGGATTAAAATTGTCAAATTTTGGTATTGAAATTTTATCATATTTGAAACGACAACCATTTTCAAGTGGATAAAAAATTGATTTTCCTAATGGAAATTTAGTCAGCCAGCATTCAATTACGACCTTTCATGTACGATTAACATAAATACACAAAGTTTAATGCATTTTGACGGCAATCATTACTCGAAACTACTAACTGCATTTAATATCAAGCTCTAAGCCAAAAAATGTAAAACTCAAAAATGACATAAACTGGATCATCTCCATCATAGATAAAGTTAAAATCTAGATAGACAAAGTTTTGCGAATCTTTATCGAAAATTTAATCATGTTCAAAATTGAATTTCTAGATGTAAATTGATATGATTGAACAGAAACCATTACCAATGATTATGAATTTAGCAGCTTAAATTGTTGGTTTCTGTTTTATTCTCGTTGCGAAAACCAACCGAAAAAAGAACGAAAAATCAATTTAATGACGTTATTGCATTAATGCAACGCTATCAACATTATAACACTTTCAATATTTTAAAGTTCACAGTGAAAATTGAACACAAATTTGCATCCTAAGCGACGGATGAAAGCAATTTTTATTAGATTTTTATTCTATTTTACTCCAGAGTAAAGCTCAGTGCTTGTCATCCTTCGAGTTTGTAGCATTTTATTTTTTCCCTTGCTTAAACTATTTTGAAATGATAACAATATAAAAAGCTAAAACTTTTTTTTGTGATGTCTCCTGAAACACTTTGCGTGACGTTTAAAGCACTGAGAGAAATAAATCAGAATTATTGTGAATTTGGGTTGAATTTGTCGTCACCACAAGGCAAATTGGCACAAGACGGATATTGAAACAAAAAAAGAAAGAAAAATAAATTTTAAGAACACATTAGAATCTGCTTTTAACAAATAACCAAAAATCCCACTGTCTAGTCAAACGACACCAAAACTCTTTCTCACAGTGAAGTTATGGCATTGAGGAAAAACTATTTTCCAATAATTTTTTTTCCCTTCTCTCCATATTTGATGAATTTATGTGTCACTTTGCAAAGCGCTTCCAAGTGATAAAAAAGAACTATAAAATATGCTACGATTTATGATTTGTTACAACCAACTGACTTGTTTTCGACTCTCGTCTCTTCGTCGTAGAAGTGATAAGGCGAACAAGTCATCTTTTACCATACTGAACATGCGACAGAAAGTTTTTGGCATCACAAAATATTTTCCATCGAGAACTTTGAAGAATTCGTATATATTCTTGTTTTTTATTTTATATTATATATTTTTTTTCTTTCTCATCTCTCGTCTTATGTCTGGAATTTAATTCACTGAAGTTAGTTGATAGAATATGAGTGAAACTTTAAGATAACAAAGGGAAAAAGTTGAATTGGCATTTGGATGATTCGGAGGTCATAGAGATGAGAGTGAGTTGGGTGGATGTGAGAAACATTCGTTCGAAGCTTGTCTACCTACCCACAACCAACCATCCACCCTCATCTATTCAAACAAATATCTCTTACGGCGAATGACTTCGAGGGGAAATTAAAAGAACAAAAAAGAAACTAGAAATGTTCTTTCTTTCAACTGACAAGAATTTCTGTACGAAATGTTGCCTTCTCGTATGAACTCTTCACCTCACCATTCGCTACTCTTCAAGACATTGCTATTTTATTTCCTGCAAACGTTTCGTGATTTGTTTCACATTTTCCTGACTGGAATGTTCAAAATGCTGTTCTTTTAGCTGTTCGTTGAACATAACATGAATTGAGTAACCAGTACACTGAACCAGCGAATAGCAATTCATTTTTATTTCCCTAAATCTCGGAGCTTTTTCTCATTCTTTTCTTTCATTCCATCCTAAGGAATTTGGCTGTCTTTTACAAGATAAATCCCACCGTTTCTTTCCTATCTCAGCCGGGGCTATAAGATTCGTGTTCTCTCTGAACTTTCTTTGGTGAAATTCCGATAAATAATTAATGTTGTTTGTGCTGTGAATTCCACAGAAGTTTCTAGGTAATACGAGATGAAGATGACGACAAATACGAAAATGTTGATGGATAAAGGAATCACTCTAGCAACTCTTACTTGCTTACTTATTAATTTATTTACTTGGGCCTTAAACTCCAATTATTCTTATCCTTAAAAATTGTTCCTTTCCTGTCGGTCTCTCATTAAAGAAATGCGAAAACGTGAACAGGATAAAGTTTGTAATTAACTGGCTTCATTATAATTTGTTTTTCATTTTCGCTCAACGCTGTTTGGCATAACTCAGTCGAATAATCCAAAAAAAAAAAACGAAAGGAAAAAAATGAAATTAAATAAAAAAGAGAAGCACTTGAAATGCTGTAATGGAGCTTTCATAAAATATTCAAAATTTAAAAGCTGGTCGTATAATGAATAAATCGTTGTTCCCGTTTCTCTCATCCCCTCGCTTGTTTTGTCTCTCGTTTGAAAATGATAAAATAAAAGACATTTAAATCTCAACACAACATAAAATTATTTTGCATGTCCACCCACCATGACTGTTAAATTCATTTTTCGTTGATCGAGAATGGCGGAATAATTAAAAATGAAAATGCAGAGAAAAATTACATCACAACACAATGAGATGATGAAATTAAAAGAACTAAAGAGATGAGCAGAAAAACGATTTTTTAATTGAAATTCATGAGCAATTGTTGTTGATTGTTATCGTAAAAATGTTTTCTATCATTCTTCAGAGGTTGGTTGATTGTTAGGTTGTTGGGTGTCTGGCAACAGCTGAATTGCAAATGGTTTTCTCATTAACACAGCAATGCAGTTTATAGACACACTGATTACGATGATGAAAGTTTTATTCATCAATGGAATTCAACTCGAGGGTATTTTAAATCGGAAATCGGTGCTTAAATAATAATATTGTGGTAGATATTTTAATTCAGGTTTGAGTACTTTAATTGACTCACCATGCTAACATTTGCTGTTAATCAACATGAAATGAAGTCTGTTCTCGTCAATTTTAATTGTTTTGCTTAACCGCATTTAAACCTTTCAACTTCTACTTTTCACGATTTCACAGTTTTCCTCAACAACATCAAAATAAAAGCCCGAAATTAATTTAATAAATTAGCTGCAATAAATTTTGTTGTAAACTTTTTGACGCCACAACACAATAAAAGGAAATTCATTGTTTGCTGTTATTTTCCTAAAATACTTTATTCAATCGAGCGAACCTTTTCTTATCTTACTTACTGCATTCTTACATAAAACATATTGATTTCTAATTGTACATAAGTAATATAAATGTTGAAGCATGAAATAGAAGCAAAAATGAGAATTCTTGTAAGAAGAATTGAAACAAAGCTTTTGCACAAACTGATAAGAGAAAGAAATTAAATTTTCTCATTGCTGCTTTCCTTCACCCTGTGATTGCCACAAAACGAGTTGAATTTCATTTTACGATCGTTGAATTGGATGGTGAGCATGTTTGATTGATTCGAACGTGAGTGGAATGGCGAAGAAGTCACTGACAATAAAATTAAATCGAAGCTTTGTAAGTTACGGAAAAAGAAAATTTTTCATCAACTTTTTTTTATTTTATTTCATTTTCTTTTAAGTCAAATTCAATTTTCAATGAAAAAGAAAGAAGAGGAAAGAAATATTAAGCAACAGATACAAAGAAAGAAATATTTTAGTGAAGTTTTTCAGCACGACGATTCACGGTAATCTACACTTCAAGTCTTGAGGAATTGTTGATTCACTTATTGCTGTATCATAAAGTTTTGGATATTTTCTGCTTAACGTTGTGATTGAATCAATCAAGTTTTCACGTACGTTGATTTCGGGAGTCTCGACATGAATCAGCATCGTATCAAAAATGGTTTTAAGAAGATTTTCCCACACATCTTCGTCTTCCCCTCCTTCATGTCTTGCAAGTTCCAAGTTTCCTAAACATTTCGCAGCCTTCTCACGAACTTCACTTCCTGGATCATCTAATCGAGTAAGAAGAGCTCGTGAAAGAATCGTTGTTTGTTCATATTTTAAGGGACCGACGTATTGTAGAGTCTTCAAAACATAGGAGCGCGTTGCAATGTTGTGATCATCAATCAAAGACACGAGTACCGTCATTAATGACTCGACAATTTTTCTTGCATGTTCCGGCGTCGTTCCCTGAACTAAAGCACACAACGAAGCTGTCGCCATTGATCGTACAGACTCCGCCGTTTGTCCCGCGTTCCATATCAAATGTGGTGAAATAATTTCTGTAACAACAAAAGATGAGACGAAAACTCAATTAAGTTCTTTCCACCAAATGTTGACTTTCATCTTTAAAAATCTTTTCTTTCTCGTCTTAATAATGCTTTTAAGAAAACTACTTAGAAGTCGTATCCCCTTACAAAACTTTTAAATGAATAAAAATCATCATTGTCTTTTGTGATAAACGAAACCCTTGAGAATGAAAATAAAAAAACATCCTAGAGATGCTTTTCACTCCTTTATTCCATCAAAAAGCATCAAAATCATAATCTTAGCGACGCCATTGCCTTCTTATTTGCGCATTTTCCCGATGAAACCCTTTCATCGTCAACATCTCCCCTCTTACTCGAATCTCTTCGTCACCTTTCAAACTCAATTTATTTTTAAAATAGAAAGTGTGAAAGGAGGAAAAAAAATATGTTTTGACGCGATGATAAGCCAATTTTTTTTTCATCTTCCATCCACCCACCAATTCGATGAATCTTTCGTTATCTTCATCTTGATTTAATTCTCAATCGGAAAGTGAAACAGAAGAAAGAAAATATTCACAAATTTAAATACTCACCACCGACAAAAGATGCCAACATCAAAAAGTTTTCTTTGGGATCATCCACGTCAATCGTTTGATTCCAATTTAATGATGCCTGTGTGGAGAGATGAACAAGGAAAAGATTTTTTCTCAGAAGGACAAATATCGATGATTCTACAATTTCCTTTTTTATTTAAAATTTCTTTTTCTACTCTTCTTTTAGAGAAATCTCTATGGAAGCATGAAAGTCTGTACTTTCATCATGACTCACCATTGCAATGCCACTGAAAATTTTTATCTTTCCTTCCGCTTCACAATGTTCCAATGCAGTGAGAATGACTCGCTTCAAATCGTCAATGAATGATTTCTTTTGAGTAAAAGAAGATTCGAAATGAGGGTTTGTTCGTTAATGATGTTTGTTAGATTGTGATTGAATAAAATTATTACAAATATTCAATTTTGAAGAAGAGAAATGAAGTAAAAATATGAAATAAAAAATTAAAATTGTACCTGAAATCCACATAAACAAATAATCCCGTAAAGTACAAGAACTTGTTCAAAGGAATCATCATTTGCAGTATCCAAAAGATCCAAAGTGTCAAGTGCTGATTTTAAGAATTTTCCATGCATCGCTTTCATGTCATGAAAATGAAAAGAAGAACTCGAAGCCTTTTCAACGAGTCTTTTTAATACTCGAACACCTGTTGCTCGAATCCTTTCATTGTCATATGAAACTGCTGTCGATTTCAGTGCGATGACATAAAAGTTCTTCTCAACAAACGTCTCATCTTCCTTTGGAATTCCTTCGATTAAACTTTCTAACAAACTCATAAGCTCTGATTGAAAAAGTTCTTCACTCTTCTGGCAAATGGATGTGTCCAATAGAATTTCACTCAATTCTTTCAAGTTCTCAAATCGCTTTTCATCTGTACAATTCTGATAGAGTGCATTCAGGCACTTCAATGTTCCAAGCTTATTCTGCCGAATTTTCAATTCATCGAAAGCATATTTGCTCCACGTTGCTTGATCCACAAAACGTCCGCAAAGCTTTGCAATTTCAAGTGCACATTTTCCAATAGGAATTTCAGGATCATGACACGTTTTGCAGAGAACAGCATTAATATCGAAATATTTCGTTGCTAAATGACTCTCACTATGAATGACAACTTGCATGAGAAGCTTTGTTGAGTGAAGACGAACATCTTCTTTCCAATCTTCCATCTCTCTTAAGATTATGTTGAGAACTTGAAGAGATCGTCGAACAATTGCCCGACAACCAAGACTTGGACGTTGTTTAATGAAATCCGGATAATTATCAGAAATTGAGTCAATTAAATCCAAGTTTTGTAATTCATTTTCATTCTCCGTGTAATATTTTGCTCCGGCTTTCATCCAAAGTTTTTCTATTTCATCTCGAACCTCAAGTGTTTCATCGGAAAGACTGTAATAACATTATCATTGAAGTACATAAATAACAAGTTGAGATGCTTGACTTACCAGCAAAGGACAAGTGGAAGAATTCTTTCGAAGAACGAGTATCGGTCACGTAAATCTATTAGAAATCTACAACCAACTCGTCCACATTCTCTTCGTACAAATGGAATTTCATCCATAACCAAAGGTGAAAGCGCATTAATTATTCTTTTAATTTGTTCTCCATTAGAATGAATGTTAAGAGTCACAATGCCTAAAGCTTCAATTGCTGCAATTCTAATTGTCGAATGACGATGTTTTAATAAATTTATGAGAGCACTTGAAAGAGTTTCAGCTCGATAATGGAAGCTTGTTGAAGTTGCAGCTGTTGCCTTGATAACTTCACAACTTTCTTTAAGAATTGCTGGATATGAATCGAGAAGACAAATCTTGAGAATGTCAATGATGTCGTTGTAAGTTTTAAGTAAGAGATCGTCGCCACCTCCACGATCATGAACAGTTCCTGAAGCATTCAGATCCTTATACTTATTAATTATGAAATTGAGCTGTTTTAATAATTGTAATCTCATCTCTTCACTCTCTTCAACTAAATCTTCAGTTGCTAGTCGCTTAGCAATGACAGGAACAAGTAGGCTAAGGTAATAATCATTCTCCTCAATATATTTAAGAATTTCACTCACAATTGAGCATGATAAGCTTCGGCACATCTCAAACTTATCACTATAGCATTTGATAAGAGCTAAATAGACAGAATCAAAGATGTCGACTGCAGTCTCACTTGATAAATTTCCTTCACTTGCACAAAATTCCAACATGGATTTTAAAGCTCTTTGACGAATCATTCGTTCTTGATTTTGTATTTTAACAACATACGATTCAAGTACATCTTTCTTTTCAGACATTTTTATATAAATATAATTAATAACTTTATATTTCACTCACTTTTTACTTTTTAATGTTGTTATGTTTGATCAATTCAAATTTTTGTTTACATTGGTCACTTGGTTACTATAATCGGACAAATTCAAATATTTCCGTTACGTTTTTTGTCGTCACTAAACACTTTCAAAGCTCACGAAAAAAAGGCGGGAAATGTGAGTTGCGCAACAAAATTTCAATTTTCATTAAACATTCCTGATTTTAAAAAATTTTCAAATTGTTTTGAGTGGCAAGGAAGGTGAATGTAAATTATGCAAGAATGTCGTGTCTTGCATACTGTAGAGTGTCAATTATTTTGAAACCTGAAAGCCTACAACAATTTTCTCTCCTTTTACCACAATTTCCTTCACAAAATCGTCCTTTAGCAGCACTTAAAGATATTTTACTTGAATTAGGATATTCTCATTTATTTATTTATTTATATACATTTTTTCAATCAGCATTGTTTTTATTTAAAAATTTTCTCCTTTTTTTTGTATTAAAATTTATCCATGAATTGTACAAATTAAAAAAAGACAAAATTAAGCTTAGAATTTATTTCACGTTACTTTAAAGCGTTCTCTGAACCCGATTTCATTCTTTTTTCTTCTATGTAATTTCAGAATTGCTTCTTTCTAACTTTTTTCTCTTTTTTTTCGTGATGATTGGCTTAAACATCAAAATGCTAACGACAAATTATATCCTTCGTTGAGTAACTACGACACAATCATGTCATTCATGTTGACATTTGCTGTTTTCAGTGAGTCGTTAATATCTCTTCGGAACAAGCTAAGATTTTGTGTGAATCTAGGAAACGAATGGATTAAGGTTGAAGTTAGAAAGTAAATCATTGATTTTTATGTGCTTTCACCTGTCTCTGCTTCGAGTTAATAAATTACGTTCAACCCCTTCCATAAGCATCTCAAAAAGTGACGTCATTTGTTGTTGTTTATCTAATGGTTGTGAACGGATAATGTTATCACGAAGTTGTCTAAAGAAATTCATAAAACTATCAAATAATTCACAAATTAAATCAAACTTTTACCTGAAATAATCTTCATAAAGAAGAATTAAGACAAAAAGTGGACGTGACATTGACCACTGATTCTTACAGTCTTCAAACATCACAACATTTAAAAGAGTCGATAAAATACGCTGTAGAATCTCAGGATGTCTTTCGGTGACTTCCAAAAACATATTCGATTCAGTCTCAGCAACTTGACGTAACTTTTTTGTTGGGAATGAAGCTTCCGCTATTGGATTTGTAAGAATATTCAATGAATTCAGTTTTCCAATAATATCAAACTCACTTTTCTGTTTAAAAATGTAGGAAAGGATGTTATCTAATGTCACACAACAACCGGAAATTATCATCAAGTCTGTGGATAAAATAAAATTTAATTAAAGAATTTTTTTTAAAAAAGTTTTTCTTCAATTCTCACCAAGTGCTTTCAATCCTTCGGAAATGCTTTCAAGAATGTAAAGAAAAACTGTTGGTTCCAACGTTGACAAGAATTTAATGTGATCCTGAGCCAAACATTCGAGAAGAATGTAATAAGCTGTGCTGAGTTTTGGATATTCCTGTTGTTGAAGTTTTAAATATTAAAAAATGTCAATTGAAATGAATTTTAATCAACTTACCAACAAATCCTTATGTGGAATGGACAAGATCAACTTTGCAGCTGTATTCATCACCGAATCAAATGCATTATCACCATAAAGCTTAAAGACGCCTAAGTTTACATAATTTCCGCATAGGATCGACTTCAACATAAGAAATGAAACTGAAATTCCCTTGAAGCGCATCTGATACATTTGATCTTTTGGAACGTCAATCGTTAGGATCCGACTCCCGTAACAGCAGATGAGCTTCGATGTTTCACGAAACAATAAATACCCGTTTGGACTAGACACATCAAACACCAGACGTTGCGAACGATTCTGTACAAGTTCACCAAAGAATTTCAACACTGGCGTGGTAACGGATGGATCGTGTGCCCAAATCTCAACAGCACGAATGAGAATTGGAGAATATGTTGGATAAATCCAATCGAAGAACATCATGTATGGTGTTTTTTGATTAAAGCTGTAAGCCAATCCACGAATATCTCTTGCAAGTCCAATCAAAGCATTTTTTACTTGTTCACCTGGATCGATGCTGTTCATCATCACACGACCGATGGAATCGAAAGCATCTTTGGGAAAAGAATTATTAAAATAAGAGAAATTCTTCATAATTAATTAAATTTACTTGTCAATGGCATCATAAAAGTCTCAAAACTTCCAATATCTTCATTCAGATCCAGAATTAATAAACGTCCTAAACATGTATAAAAGATGCTTCGATTTCTTGTATTTGCCATGTTACCAGATCCAAGAAATGAAAAATATTCGCTCTAAAAGTATTTTCAATTAGCAATTGTTGAATGGAAAGTAAAAAAATTTACCGTGTGATTTGCTAACATAAATTGAATCTCTTCCAACTTTACAAGACGACGAATTAAGCTGTACGTGAGTGTTAAATCGTTAAGTAAATTGAGAGTTTTACGAATAATTTGTTCTGAATTTCCCCAAAATTTCAAATTTGTTATAATCTTTCGACTTATCATTCCCAATAACATCATCGACTCATCATCAACACCCAACACTTCCGACAATCTTTTATAAACTTTCAGCTTTTGTGTGTGTTCGTTTATGTAGATTTTTCGTATCATTTCAAGGAAGTTCATGTAAGCGATTTCCATCTTTTCGAATCCACCTTGCGGCAATCGTGAATCGGTGAGACTCATTAGCTGAAGAACTCTTATTATCAAATCACCATCTAACGCATCATGTTCGTCTGTTGCTGTTGAACAAACGCGCCCACCAATACACGACCCAATCACATAAACCAACCACGTTAATTGATTGTTAACAATTTGTATTTCAATGGTACTTGCTGTTGGCATCGAAATAATCTCCTGATATTTAGCAGCAGTCTGATCAAAGAGATTGAAAATCAAAGCGCAGGTTTTTTCATATTCACATCGTTCGATTGTCGATAATTGTTCGAGTTGTTGCAACACCATTCCTAAGTCATCGAGTGGATCATCGAGACCGTCACGTATAATCGGCGTCACTGAATCAAGACGTGATGTGATGTAAGCTTTAACAACTTCGGGTGTGTAGGAGTTGAGATAATGAGGCTCAGGTGCTTTAACATACGGCACTGATGTCACCATTCGTTGCCATAACGACATCAAATAATGAACACTGTTAGGAGCAAACGACCACATTTGCAGCGACTGCACGGTAAACTTCGCAATGAGTTGAATTGCTTCAGCATAATTATCGACCACAACGAGTTCCCCAAGTTGGTAATTTGATTTTAAACGCGCTAATAGTCGACAGAATTCGTGATAATTTTGTGGTTCACTTAAACCGTGTGACGTTTTTAAAATCTCAACAGCACCAGCGACCAAACAATTTAGAAACTTAATGCGTTCACTGTTACTAAATAATGATCGTCGTATTGACGTTATTTGAACAAGACACGTCAGAGCTAAACTTGAGATGCATGGTGGCAATATTTGATAGAGATCGAAGAAAAGTTTCAATGAATCAAGCTCGAGAAGCGCTGAGCGCCAATTTGTTGGCACTTGTACTGTCGTCATGTCGTCTGTCGATTCATCAGCTGACGTCCCAATGAAATCAAAACTCAAACAATTGGTTGCTAATTGAAGTAAATCCGTAATCAATCCTTGTTGTGTCTCATCTACTAAATTTAAGCTGTTACTGTTGTCTCTTGCTCTTGCCAACAATTCACATGAAAGCAAGAAAATGTCGAAGAGTTGAGTGTCGCGAAACGAGCAAGCGATCTTCCTGTGACGTGTGAAGGATAAATTGACATCTATGTCCGCGATTTGATTCATCTCGCTTGTTAATTGTGATAGAATTTTGACGCCAATCATACAATGTTCGACGCTCCCTTTCAGAAATTCTTTCACATCCAAATCAATCTTTCGAAATATGAGTTCGTCTTTGTAGGAATCAAACCAGCCGTATTTTGTTATCTTTGCTAAAAGAGCGATGAGTGCTTGCGAAACATAGGATTGAAGGTTGAGTCTCGTCGCAAGATAATTCAAAATATAATTTCTGGAAAAATTTAAAAACATTGAAGAAACTTTCAAAAATTAAGTTAATATGTCGTTTCTCACCTAATATCAACTCTTTGTTGTAAGCTCAAACCTTGAACATTTCTTGATACTAATTTTGTAAGTGTGGTCGCTGCAAGAAGCTGTGAGTAAGGTGAATCACCTCGATCCAGAAGCATTTGACATTTAGCGAGTGCATCGGGATCGTCAAGGAAGTCAAAGAGAATTTTCTCAGCTTTTGTTCGATGCAATGGATCGGTGCACTCATAAAATTGTTTGCAAAACAATTCTAACTGTTGTACTTCCTGTAATATTTAAAGAAATTATGGAAAACATGTTGAAGAAGAATCTTATTTTGTGATCTGGATGTGGCGAAAAGCGAAAAAAGAAACACTTTAAAATTATCGACAAAATACGTCAAAATAATCGCCTCAAATTGCATTCCTATTAAGTCGATAACATTAGTAATGCTTTCCCACATAATTGCCACTAATTGAAGTATAAATTATGTTAAAATTTTAATAAAATAGAGTGCTCACCATTTTTTATTTCTTTTTCTCTCAACACAACAGTCAATTAATGTCGTTTAATAACCTGACTAAGTTGATTGTTTACAATCCTGATTGAACAAGTTTATATTTTTTAAAGCCTTTACTGAATAAATGAAACTTTAAGTCAGGTTCAACTTTTAAATTTTCATCAATTCCTTATCAGTGAAAGAAGAATTAACATGAGGTAAACAATTAAATAAATTAAGCCGAAACTGGCCGAAAATTTTTAGTTTCCACTCTGAATTCACAAATAGATGGCGCTGTATTTTTTGAAAATTTCGCCTAACGATTCAATATCGAAAATTTCATACAAAATTTATTTGTATTTTATATTTTCATAATATATGCATTACTGAATATTATTAGCTAGAAAAAAAGTTTTAGAACGTATTAAAAAGTCGCTTACGCGAGTTCGCCGAAGAAGAAATAATTTATTGTTGTTATTTTGAACGTTCGATATTTGCATATTTTCCTCTTTGTTTGCTCGTTTTTTATCTGAAATTTATAAGATACGCAATTTAATCTTCACATCACCATCAAGAATGACAAGACACGATTTAAATTTAATACATATTTTTCTGATATTTTATTATTTCATCATTACTAGTTTAACAACAATTACAGTAAATAGTCTAAATAAAGCTATTGAAACGAAGAGGAAAAAATATAGATTATGATTTTTCTTTCATCATTCTGGATCAACTCAATGATTTTTCTCTTTTTTATCTCATTTTTTAAAAAATAAAAAATATACAATTAGTAATTTTATTGATTTATCTCACTTACAAGTACATATTTCTTAATACACTACGCATCATTCTATCCACGGTCAGTCACTGCGTGCGATTAATTTTTTATCATTTTTTTCTGCAAAACTCGATTCAATCGAATGTTATTTAAAGAAAAAAAAATAAACATAGCAGTAGAGGAGCTGATGAGACAAAGAAAAACAAAATTAAGTGACAGCTCCCGATGTCACTTGATTTGTTTAATTAATAAAATCGTCGAGTGACTGAAGATTTTTAAATTTCAGTTAAATTAAACCTAAATAATTCATTAATTAACTATCATTCCTTTCCATTCTAAAAGATCCATTCATTACCGATTATTAGTTTACATCATTTGCATTTTTTCTTTTAATCAATAATACTAACTTCTACGAAAAAAAAAGTTACTAAGCTTTTTTCCTTTTCATCTTCCGTTGACATCATTCATTTCTATTCCATTTTTGCTATACATTACTGTGGGCTTACTTTCATAAATCTTATCATGTTTCTATCCAAACGTTATCTCATCTTTTTTTTGCAGTGAAATAAAATTGATCATTTAAAAGAACTTCATTTAATTTGTAGTCATCGATAGCAAGAACTATTTTCATATTATTTTTGTTTGTTTTTTGTAATTTTTTCTTCTTTTTTTTTCATAAATATATGCTTTGCTTTGCTTACTTATGCTCGTGAAAGTAAATAGATTAAAGTCAATTAATCGTTTGGAGTAGTCAACACACGCAATCAGATTTGAAAGACGAAAGGGAAAAAAAGAAGTTTTCGGTTGGTTTTTGTTTTTTGTTTTCTTTTTTTGTATATATTGTTGATGCTAATTCCGTTGTGAGTTGGTTACAATATGCAACAATGCCTCGAACAGCAACTGCTGGAACCTCCTTTACTTTTCTGTCGCTGGTCTGAAATGAAAGTAATAAAAAGAAGGAAAAAGAGAATAAAAATGTTAATTTCATTCATACAAATGTTTCAAGTGAACCAAAATTTCCTTTTCAATTATATTTTACCTTGAGAATTAGGTTCGGGTAGATTATCACGTGGAACCAAATGCATCACGGTTGTTTTCCCTAGTGGAAGTCCCAGAGCGCCTAAAGTAACATTGCAGTGTAAGAAACGGCCTTGATAGATAAGTCTCAAAATTTCTGCTTTATCAACTGCTTCGGACTCCCAATCTAGATAACGAAATACAAGGTTTCCGTTTAAAAAAAGAAATGATTGAAATGAATGAGTCATTAAATCCTCACCTTCGGGCCATTGTTCGAAGACAATTTTTGCTATTTCACCAGCTGAATCCGAGGGACTGAAGAGAAATTCTTTAGTCTTTCCGCTGACTAAAATCAAGCGTAAATTTATCTGTAAGAAACAAAAACAAAAACAAAATAGAACACAGTGCGAAGGTCAATCAAAAATGTTTTTAATAATTTAATACAAAAGAAAAATATCAATCAATGAACCGTAGTTAAAGCGTAGATATTTATATATTTATATACATATTCCTTGCAAATATCAGACATATTCATGTGAACTGATGTCATTTGACATCCGCATCGGGCACAAAATCAGTACAAAGAGAAGAAAAAAGCAAATAAAAATAATTTCGCGAAGCCTTGCGATAATGACATTTTTTATAAGAACATTTAGATGACTCGTTGAGTCATGTTCGGACATGTTTTCCTCTTTTCAAGACCTCCCGAGTACAGAGACAGAAAACAAACTGTCGAGAGACGAAAATAATAAAAAGAGTGATATGAAACATATGATCAAATGTTTAGAAGTGAATTAGGTCAAATTTTCTCTCAGCTATTGCATCATCATAAAGCAAACAAACGAGCAAGTAAGCGAAGCAATTAAATCAATGATAATTGCGTGTGAAAAATTGCTGATTTTGATTTCTATACCAACCAACACAGAGGAAAATTCGTCGGTGGTTAAGAATTTTACAGTTTTGCGCTTGACTCGTTTCGTTTTCTCTTTTTTCTAAGTTTTCAATTTATTTCGATTTTTTTTCCCTTTCAAGGCTTCAAAGGTCAGGCGAAAAATGTGGTGCAACAACAAGTTTTCGCTCGATATGTTTATAAATTGAGTCACTCACAACTGGTGCTTTAACTCAGTTCTAGTTTCGTTTTCATTTAATTTTTTTCTTTATTTCTGTTGCTCGCGATAATGTGAACACACTTGATCCCATTATAGAAAGAAAAACTTTGCGCGGACCTCCTTTAAGCAGTTTTATTTTTAAAAACGCTTTCCGCCACTTCAACAAAACGTGTGCACTTTGTCATTCATAAAGCGAGGGAAAATATCGAGTGAAGAAACATAAAGTTTATTGATTTTGGATAAAAAATAAATACAAGAAACATTTTGATGCATTAAAGCGCATTTTCGGGGTTGCTTCCTTCAAGTGCCACTTACGTTGAAATCGTCTTACTCAACATGTCATAAAATCAACTTCCTAATGCTTTATTATATGCACATGTAGACATTAAATTCTTTAAGGGGAAAAAAGAATTGACATGAAATGTTTTTTTAGAAAACTCCAAAGAGTTACATGATGATGGAACGTGGAAGATGAATGAGAGATATAGATGAAGAAAACCAATACAGAAACGATTTTTTTTCTTTTTTTTACATTCGTTGAATTACCATCGACAACTTTCTAATTCTGTTTTTAATTCGTTCTTCATTTGAAAAGGAACAAGAAAACATTTTCGAAACAATCGAAATAAAGATTTATGCTCAGATTTCACAATCTTACATTATTCTTCGCTAAAACTTCTCCCGTGCTCATTTTTTGTTACTCTTTTTAAACATTAGAGACCAATCCAAAATATAATAAACAACAACTACGCAGAAATAAACATTTTTCTGCAAAACTTTTTTTCTTCGTCTCTCGATGTTTTCGTAACAACACAATAGACACAGACGTGATGAAGAAAAACTTGAATTTTTTGGGCTGGAACAGGCCCAATTAAATTATTTCTCAATTTGTTACAAGAGTTATTACGGTGGACATTTGGTGCTATTTGTTTACCTTGTCTGATGGAATCATTTCTTTCTAATTAATATCGATATCTCCTAGTTTGATTGTGGACGTCTGGAACTTGATTTGTCCTCTCTAAGAACACTACAAACTTCCACTCACTCAAACTGTTTTCTATTATTTTTACAATCAAAATCGGTGCTTTTTTTCTTCCTTTTCTATTAAAAGGTTTATTTTTATTGTGTTGTGTTTCTTTAGTGACGACTTTTGTGAACGTCAAAGAAAAAAATTTAATTTAATTGATTTTTGCACATTATTGTTCACACAATGGTGTGGAATTGATTCGCGCATGAAAACATTTATTTGTTACACGTTCTTATTGCATTTGATTTAAGCGTTTCTCACTGTAGCCAACATGCATCCATAAGTGCAATGATGGAATTTGAGAAATTCACTGTCTCGAAAAGAAAAGGAGAATCATAATAACAATGGCGAACTGAACTTTTTAAAATCAATTTAAAGCTATTTCACAACAAATTTTGTCACCACAATTCACTATACTTTTATGCGTTTTTAAGTTTTGTTGCGTTTGATGTCATTTTGGACGTTTTTTGACCAATTTTAATGCATAAAGAAATAAATTTATTTTTTCTCTATGATTCCATCACAAATGATTTTTTCCTTCTTTTTTCTCTTCATTGCACACCCCTTCGACTCATATAAGCCCTTCAGAAGCTACAACAAATTGAGGTTGTCGACAAAAACTTTGTAACTTCATCATCAATCTACCCACACTCCATCGTCATTGTTTTTGTCACCGAAATTATCAATTTATCTTCATAAAAGAAGCAATAAACGTGAATTAAGCATTTTGAGAAGTGAATTTAATATTTACAGCTTCACGTGTATCAATAAATAATGGAAAATTTATCATGGGATGGTAAGAAATGAGTTAAACAATTTATAATTTTGGTGACCTCATCAAAGTTGAAATTTATGCATATATCTTTGTATTTATCTCATGTTTATTCTAGATATCCGTAAACGGGCTCGAAGCCTTGAAAATGATATTGATCTGAAGTTGGTAGCTTTGAGTAAAATAAGTTCTGGCTCAATATCAAGTGGAGAATCGAGTCCCTTAATTTCCAGTGAATTTAGTTTTGATACGATCTCTTTGGAAATTGAGGATATGTTAAGCAAATTAAGTGAGATGAATGAAAAAATGGCAAGTTTGCCATCATCGGGAGCTGCAATGATGCATACTCTTACAAGACATCGAGACATTTTACATTCATATCGAACAGAATTTAACAAAATCACTCAAAACCACACGATTCAAGTGGAACGTGAAGAATTATTGAGAGGTTCCGGTTTGATGAATACATCAAGCGGCTCATTATCTCGTAGAGATATGTACGTTAAAGAGAATCAACATATTTCCAAGTAAGACAATTATTTTAATTCACTTTTTTTAATAGTACTGAAACTTATTCCTTTAGTTCCCATAATATGATTAACGACCAAATCAGCATAGCAATTGAAACACAAAAGTCTCTTAAAGGCCAACGAAAGAACTTCAAACGTCTTCAAAATCGTTTCAATAATCTTGCTAACAATTTTCCTAGAATCAATTCACTTCTACAACGTATTAATATTAAGAAACGCAAAGATCAATTGATTTTAGGTGGTGTCATTGCAGTCTGCACAATTTTAATGTTATTGTATGCCTTCCATTGAGTGTTGATTGTTGATATTAGGGAAATGTCAAAACTGGAAAGTGTTAATTATTAAGTGAAGTTTTATAAATAGTTTAACGAACGATGATATCATGAATGCTATTAATGAACAGGTAAATAGACTTTGTGTGAAAAGAATTAAGAGAAAAAAGATAATCATTAACATATTCAAATTATTCTATTTAATAAAAGTTATGTGATAATAAAATTTAATCATAAAGAAGTCTTTTGTCAAAATTTTCTAAGCTTTGTTTACATTCACACGCCCACACAGGTAAATCAGCAAGTTCGGAATTTTTCAATTGTCGACAAAATCGTCAGTCGGCCAAAATTGTTCAATCAAAATAATTTGCAATATTCCAGTTAGCTTTATCGACTGCGAAGGATTTTCATTATCTTCCAGAGAATTTTAATTTAATTAAAGAAAGCAAGTATTAGTAAATTAGACTGAAAATATTTATCAAAAATGTCTCTTCTTGAAACGGAAAATGTTTACTTGTTCATTCCAAATCTCATTGGTACGTTCTTATATGCAAACATAAAAATTGCGTATTTTGTTGATTCACAAAAATTTCTTCTCAGGATATGCAAGAATAATTTTGGCAGTCATCTCATTTTACTTTATGCCAACAAACTATGTCATTTCCAGTTGGTGTTACATTATCAGTGTGCTGCTTGATGCTCTTGATGGACATGCTGCAAGAAAATACAACCAATGTAAGTAATTTAAGCTCTTATCAATCGATAATTTTGTTATGTCATAGAAGTTTATTTATTCCCCAATGTGTGCTAATATCGATTTCATAATTTTCTTTGAACATGATTGATCATTGCAGCAACGAAATTTGGGGCTATGTTGGATCAATTAACTGATCGTTGTGGAACGATGGGACTTCTTGTAACGCTAAGTTACTTCTATCCAAAGTACATGTTCTGGTTCCAACTATCAATGTCAGTTGATGTAGCATGTCATTGGTTTTACCTCCATACGTAAGTCAAATTAAAAGTACATAATATAAAAATTTGGTAAGAAATGTTTCTTCATAGAACAATTTTGCAAGGAAAAACTTCACACAAGTTCATTGACATGAACGAGAATCCAATTATGCACATTTACTATACAAATCGTAAAGTGTTGGGCTTCATGTGTCTATTCAATGAGTTGTTTTATGCGGCTTTATATTTATTGTACTTCACACCAGGACCGACATGTAAGATTAAAAATATTAATTGAATTACGTTCTGAAGTCAACACTTTCTTTTATTTTAGTCCTTGGAATATCACTTTTCAAATTGATTGCTTTAGTTTCCGCACCGGTTGCTATTGTCAAGACATTGATATCAATTATTCATGGAATTGTCGCTTCAGTGAACATCACCACAATTGACACGAAGGAAAGAGAAGCAGCAAAGAAGGTCAACGATGGAAAGAAAGCTGAATAAATTAACTGTCAAACAATTCCTTAATTTCTGTTGTACAAATGAGTACAACGAGCTTTAAAACGAATTCATTTTCTATAATGTGTCATCCCATTTCATTTTTTGACTCATCATTCAGAACAATCATTCACGAAACAAAGAAATTCCAAGATTTTATTTTGATACTCGATTTATAAGAGAAAGAAACAAAAAATTTGTTTATTGTGCAAATGTATTAATTTTTATTATATTTTAGTTGTTCGATTTTCAAAGATTTAAAGTGAGGAAAGAAAAAAATTTACTTTTCGCGTTATGAAGCGCTAAAGCCAAAGTTTGTAATTTAAATGAAAGTAAAGATTAAATTATAGTTAATGTTATGAAACTCTCTGTTTTTATTCAATGTGGTAAATCTTGATGTGAATAATTAAGCAATGACTTAAACTTCCTGTTGTATTCATAGCTCAAGAAAGAAAATGTGTGTTAGTAGAGAAAAATTATGATGCAAAAAAATTAATTAGAGTAAAATAAAGTAATTTATCTCAATTCTTTGCTTTATCCTTTCAAACTGCTCATTCCAGCCCGCATAACTTCATCAACGAGAAGCAGGTTACTTGCGATGACAGTGCAGGAGTTGATGATTTGTTTCTTTACGATGTAATTGTCATAAATTCCTAAATCGACAGGTTTCATAGGTTCACCAGTTGAGAGATCGAGACCAATAGGATCAGGAGATAATTCAGCTTCTTCTTGTAATCTCACAATCGTATCTTGAGCATCGTAACCTGAGTTAACTGCAAGGACTTTTGGAATCACTAACATAGCGTCAGCGTAAGCTTGAATAGCCAAACGAGTTTTTCCTTTCACGGTTTTTGCATGATCTCGCAATTTGACATAGGCACGAACTTCAAAAGCTCCAGCACCAGGAATCAAAGCTTTATCTTCTAAAGCGTTGTTGATTGAACGAAGACCGTCTCTAACAGCGTCTTTGATTTGCATTAATGTATGCTTGTTGGGACCTTTCATCAAAATTGTAACCGATTGTGGAATTTTGCAGTTTTCTACGAATGTGTATTTGGTTTCACCCAAAACATGTTCATAAACCAAACCAGCATATCCAAGCTGATCTTCTTTGAGTTCGTCAAAGGAATTCATTGCAGTGCCGCCACATGCAAGAGCCAATCGTTCCATGTTACGTCTCTTTGCACGACGCAATGCCATAATTCCTTCTTTTGCCAACATGTCTAAAGATTGTGGATCGATTCCCTTCTGATTAATGACAACGAAAGATTTGTCTGTTCCGTCACACAATTTCTTCTTCAATTCAATGACTTTTTGCACACGTTGAGTGATGAAATCGCGTTCAGCCATGACAAATTTCTCACGTTCTTCGGCGGTTTTATAGAAGAATCCTGAATTGACTTCCGATTTCTCATACTCCATTGAAACATTGCATGTAAGGATGTAAGCGTTTTCAACACGTTTCGGCATGTCAGGATGACGGGATCCATGATCCATGACGATTCCTTTAACCAACTGAGTATCTGTCGCTGTTTTATGTTGCATTTCCATCATTTCAACCATATGCAAATCGACAGGCTTATCATCCTTGTAAATTGTCAAAATGGCATCAACGCAAACATCTGTAAGCAAATCAGCCATTTGAGCATTCAATTTAGTGCGCAATGATGTTCGTGCAATTTCAATTAAATTTTTTCGATTAATTTCAATTGGATGTTTCATTTCGTCTAGAATTTTAATTGCTTGAAGACGAGCTTGATCGTAACCTTCAGCAATGATTCTTGGATGTAATCCTTCAGCAATATATAACTCAGCTTGTTTGAGCAATTCTCCAATAATTAAAACAGTTGAAGTTGTTCCATCTCCAGTTTGATCATCTTGTGCTGTACTTGCACGAGCAATGAGTGAGGCAGTTGGATGTTGAATTTGCATTTCATGTAACAAGACATTGCCGTCTTTTGTTATCTTGATATCTCCAGCACCACTGACAAGCCTTTAAATGGAAACAAAAAATGTTCTAGAATTATAACCCTACTTAAATTAAACATTAATTAAATTCAGGCGACTGTTAAGTAATTTAATCAAATTCATACGTTTATGTGCATATTTTATAGCATAGAAAAAGTCTTGATTTATGAAAATACTTTAAACTTTAAAGTTTCAAAGTAAATTGTAAAACATTTGTCACATGGGATAAATTTTTTCTTACATTTTCAAAGTTCCTTTCGGTCCTAAGTTAGTTCTCATTACATCTTGAATTCCTTTAGAAGCCGAGATGTTCATCGACAGAGCTTGTGCCGCACGAGCGAACTCGGCTTTTGGATTTAATAAACTGATTGCAGCCATTGCGAAATAAAATGAATTCAAAAAACACTCAAAGAATATCCGCCAAAGAGTGACTAAGAAAATTATGACGAAGCGATTTTAGAGGTTGGCGAACGTTTGAAAATCGAAGATGCAAAAAAGAAACAGTTGTCCAATAAATTGCAAAAAATAATCTTTTCACTGATTTATCTTATTTATTTCTTTATTTCAATAATTCTTATTTAATATTAATGATCTATTTAAATACAAATAACTTTCAAATAATATTTCATAGTTTCACAAATTGTCGACATTTATTTGGATAACTTTTGACTCATAAAAAAAGGGTCGAAATGAGTATTGCGTCAATTTTAGCCCAACCGTCATAATCGATTTGTTACAATTAGTTTGAAGGAGTATAGCAAGAAAAATGGATTAAAATATGAAGCTTAATTAAAGTGTTTTAATTGTTGAAAATATCGTAATCATAAACTTTAGAACCTAAAAATCATAAAGACATTAAAAATTATTAGAGGAGCGACGTTTAAAGTGCAAAACTTTCGATTTCTTTTTATTTCGTCCGAAGTGATTTTTTTTCTGTTCCCTAATTCGATGAGTTTTTAGTGTAGTTAATGGCTTCTGGTAGTTTCAATGACAGTAATTCGCAATTGAATGATTCAATCGATACAATCAGCAGCAAGATACTTTCAAATGAGCAGGAAAAAAGCTTAAAAAATAGTCAAATGGCTACGAAAAAGTTATCAAATTCAATTGATGTGAAGGTGAGTTGATGAAAAATGTCGCAAAAATAAAGAAAGATAATAGTTAAAACGTGTGTCATCATATCATAAGAGAATTTAAGATAGTCGTAAAAGAATTCAAGTTGTCACTTGCAAAGAACGATGCATGAAATTGCACATTTTTACAAAACGAAATTGCTTTTTTTCGCCATATTTTCTTTAACTTTTTCTTCTTATTTTCTGTGTGTCGGGAAAAGGCCAAAAAGTCCACACTCCGAACATCTCTCTCCCCCCATGACTATGTCATTTTTCATTGGTCAATTCAAGTTAAAAAAAAATTGTGATTAGAAAATCGATCGGATCGGATGTCGGTGACTTTTGTTAATACGACTTAACCACATCGAATATTTCTTTGTATAAAATGATGAAAATTTAATGGCTGAATTTCAAGCGAAAAGTTATTGTTCTAAAAAAAGATCTTTAATTTGCGAAATGTTCCAACATCATTGATTTCAATCAACAATGTTGTTTATTTCGTTGCAATAATCACTGTTGAAGGATGATGATGATGATTAAGAACTGCGAAAGGCCTACAAAGTCATACTCATTGTCATTTATTTAAGCCCAGTGATACTTACTCACTAACACAACCACACATAAACTACTTTTGCAGTCTAAACTTGAGATATAGAATGCGAGGCAGAACGAAATGTTTTTTATTTTCCCCTTTTAGAATAGCAAGTGATTAAGTTTGTGTTTCTCAAAAACTATCGAACATAAATTAGTTCTAATAACTTTTTACTTTATCTCGCTTATGTGTAAAAGATTAATATTAATAATTTTTAAAATTGTTTTGACGATCATTACAGCCGCATTTAGAGGACTTTGACGAGACTCAGTTGAAATCTTTGTTAGATGAAGCATTGGACTATAAGAGTCCTCGTGATGCTAACGACAAAAGTGATACGTTCAAGGTACGTTTGTGCTGTTTTTGTCTCTATTTTTGAATCTTTTATTGATGCAATGTTTGATAACGTTCTAAATTTATGTTTGTATTTTATTGCAACACAATCGTTAACAAATGACAAATTCACTTTAAATGCTTTACAGCAATTACTTAAGAATGTTACGGAAGAAGATATGAAGCATAATGAACGGTTTAACTTGGGGAATTATGGAATGAAACAAAGCAATTCACTTCAAAATCTTTTTGACGATTCTCACTATCAGTTGAACAGCCATCAATCTCATACATCAAGTAAGAAGCATCATCAACGTCGTAAGAATTCCACATCAGTTTCAACAAGACGTCTTGAAGGTGGAAGCTTACCAATTGACATGCATCATTCTTCAGCCATTCAATCGCCACCAGATCAACCATTCTTATCAGAATATAAAAACAAACAGAAGAGAAAGGAAAAACAACAACAAAAGGAAACTGTGATTGATATTGGCGAAGACGAGACTGATGACAGAAAGTTAATGCAGCGTCATTTTGACTCCAGCAAAGATGTACGTCTTTCTTTCCTTATTTTATGTTTTAATTCCATTGAGACTAATTTAAATTAAATTTCCAGTACATTTCATCATCATATCCACATGATGGAATCGAAATGAAATCGATAAGTTACACAAACACTGTTGACTTGCAAGTTCAAGATGTGTCTAAATATTCTTCAAATCCAACATCAATAACTACCATTTCCTCGATGACAGCAGCAGGTGGTCCACCTTTAGCAACAGCATCAATCATAAATCCAAAAGTTACAACATCAACTGTTACAAGTTCTGCAATACATAATGTTGACAAAATTATTGAATTCCCATCACTTGTCGAAAAAGCAAAGTCATATCAACCACAACATCAAATAATTGATGTTTGCAGTGGCTCCACAATAAATCACAACAATAACATTGTTCTTGCTAATCCAGGATTGAACTTTGACGCATCTTCAGGCGGAAATGGTAAATTAGGTGCAGCATTACAATTAAATTCATCATATAATGCTGTTGCTAGCTTAACAAGCACCGATAGATTAGCTTCGTCCAAAGCTTATCTTAACAAAGTAAGATTTTCCCACGAAAAAAATCCAAACCGCATTGTGATAACTAATTTTTCTATTTTTTCTTTTAGCATGAGAACACTTCAGCTCAAACACTCATTCAAACGGCTCCAATGATTGCCGCAGCTCATAATTCAGGCGTTGTTGTTAACTCAAAGGAGGCCAAATCAAAAATGAAACGTACACCGAAGACAAATGAAACGACCGTTGATGTGAAATCAATTCAAGGCTTTCGTGGCACAGATGAGATTGAAGATTTGCTGAAATATATTGAAGATGGTGGTGGAAAGAATCAGAGATCTCATCCAAAAAATGGCATTGTATCAAGTAATCAAGCGAGTGATCATCTTTTAAGTGCCGAAGATAAGAAGAAGAAAATAGCTGCAAAGAACAATAAAGTGAATAAGTTGAAGAAATCAAACTCAATGGATGAATTGTGTTCAACTGGACGTCAACAACAACAACAGCAGGAAAAGTCTTCGTCGTCATCATCAACAGCTGCCAATAAAATTATTCAAGATGTTACATTGCGCTCAAAGAGTAGCAATTTAACAAGTGGTGCCAAAAAGGAGATAAAAATGAAAAGTCACAGCAAAAGCGTAATGAGAGACGTTCATGGGGAACGGAAGGCTTGTGGTCGGAAGCTGGTGTGCAAGTTGAATCAACTCCATCGCATGATAATCAACAACAAGATGAAGGACAGGAAAATGAAAGTTCAAGTTCAAGCAGTTCTAGTGGCGTTCAATCAGATAACCTCACATTGACAGATACGACATTGACTTTCGTTAATAACGCTGAGCCAGCGAATGCTGTCGTAAGTGAAACAGAATTTCATGTAGTGACAAAAAAACGTAAAGTTAAACGGAAATCAACTGATAATGTTGATTTAGTTAAGACGTCCAATAATCTTCAAAGTTATAACATGAAACGCGATAGTAATGCACGTCCTGGATCATCCAAACCTTATAACGATCGAACAGATGTTGGCTCAAAGAATGTAAGAAACTCAAAACCATTAAATCAAGATGCGAAAGCATCAACGGGTAAAAATCGCCGTAAATCAACCTCATCTATGCCTCCATCTGATGATGAATGTTCATCAGATGGCGGTGACTCTGTGCAATCTCTGCCAATCGAAACAACAAAGACGACTTCATCACAATTATTGTCGACTACAATTGTTGCTTCGGCTGATCATAACAATCCGTCATCAACAAATAACAAAAGTAATAAAAAGAATTCAAATCATCCGTCGTCAAATCATCATCAACAACAACAACAGCAGCAGCAACAACAGAAACCTGCAACATTTTCCTATGCCGACATAGCCAAAACGAATGCAACACGTAACAGTGGCAATAATGTCACAACATCATCAACCGAAAAGTGGCCTTCAATATCAGCATCAACAACATCGTCTTCAACATCAACATCAACAACGTCCCACCAAAATAATAATAATAACGTCATCATCAACGATCCATTCTCCATTGCGAATTTTGATGCCGTCGTTAGCAATTCCTTGAGCAATCATCATCAGCAAAAGTCACAACAGAAATCAGCACCAATAATCACCACAAATATGATGTCGTTCCCTGAACTAGTCGAAACAAATAATAATAAAAATAAGCAGTTAAGTAGTAATCAGCAACCTCCATCATCGTCATCATCATCGTCATTAGAAAATAATTCGAGTGGTGACAACAATGTGAATGAAAAACCTGTAAATGGTTTGGATGCGGTAGTGATGAAAGCCTTCGACACAAATAATAATAATAACAATAACAACAAGAATAATAATAATAATAATATTAATTCTAATAGCAATGCTTTTGTTGAAGTTGATCGCGTTCAAGATCGCACCAACAACAACAGCAATAGCAGCAAAATTTCTTACTCGCAATCATTACTTGAAAATCATCAAGAGTCACAAGATTCGAATGGTAATAACTTGAAAATCGACAACACTAATCCGTCATCAACAACAAATGGAACTGTCCCAAAAATGACGCTCACAAAGTCAAAGAGTGTTGATCACAATAACTTTTCGTCGATTGAACAATATCCGGCATTAGAGAAAGCACAAGTGACACTTGGTGAAGTGTTTTCAAAGCCAGCTGTTACATTTGAAACATTTTCGACAAAATCAAAGCAGCAAAAGCAAATAAAAGCAGGTGGAGGTGGACAAGGAGGAGTAGGAGGAGCCAGTGAAATGAAAGGAGATGTTGATCGAAAGCCTACAAAAAAGGAAAAATCTTTGAAGAAATCACTTTCAGTTCAAAATTCTCAATATCCATCAAATCAATCGAATGCAATCAATTGTCGACCAGCTGTCATTATACTCAATGATAATGTGGTGAAGCCAAGCGAAGCTGATTGTGGAATAACATTTGGCTTTGATATCAATGAGCATTTGTTGTTTGGCCATCAAAATGGCGAAACTTGCGTAACCGAAGTTAGCTTAGATACTACTAATAATAATAACAATAATTGTGATATTATAAATACTAATTTATCAAGTAATAATATTAATAATAATTTAACTAATCAAACGTACGGACTTGAAATGTACGAGAACTTCATAGCGCCACAGAACATCGTCATTGGTGACAATCATATGATGACGATAAGCCAATCATCACCGAAACAACAACAAAATCAACAAAAGCAGCAGCAAAAGCAACAACACCACAATAACAATGCTCTCGATATGTCAAATCAGTCGTCATCTAATGATATGGGCTATTTGTCTTCTTCGTTCATCACAAGTTCAGCATCACCCGCAACACAGAAATCATCGTCATCACCATCGATCAATGATGATGGAATTGAAGCAACATTGAATGATTCCGCTGATACACAACAAAATTCTTTGGACAAGAAGAAACGTATCGTGAAGATTGAAGAATATAATCTTGTGCTGCCAGAATTTATTGCGCCGCAGCCAGTGAAATTTAATCACGATGAGCTTGTTTCGTTTGTCAGTGACGGTGAGTTTCCATTCTCATTGTTCTTTCAAAGATAAATCATCAAACATTTACAATGATGTTTGATTTAAATCAGAGATTAAATTCTACTTCATTGTTCATGTTTGAGGCTTTTGTAGATCAACAATTCATAAACTTGACTAATTTTAAATTTTCTTTCTTTTAGAATGGACCAAAGTTGAACGAAATGGCGTTTATTTCAATGGCCAGTAGTTTTTTGTCATTCATCAACCGAAATGAAATTATATTGTTAAACATTTAAGAGTTTTTGATTCAGAGCATTGATAAGGAAAGTTTTTTTATATAATTTATGAAATTTACGTCAGAAGAATGTTCTCTTGGATTTATGCTGTCAATGATTGAATAAATCATCGGTAAGTGTTTGAAATAAATTTATTTGATTAATCGAGGGCTTTTTGTTTGGTTGATCACATCAAATGTATCAGAATAATTACATAATTAAACTTCACTTCATATGAAACAATTGTCAAGTACTCTTCAGAGCGTTGAAGCATCTGTTAAAACAACTTCTTGTTGAGTTCATTATTCTTAATGAATATCAAGAGTTCAATTATGTGCTTCAGTTGGAATTCAATCAGATTCTGACCACAGAAATTTCCATTCTATCAATTTTAATTTTAATTATTTATTTCTTTTCATCCAACAGATTTTCGCTTGATAAAGGAATCTTATTTTAAGTGAACTAAATAAAAAAGATTTAATCCAAGAGTGATTCATTGATAAATAAGTAATTGCTAACTACCTAATAATGAAGAAAAAAAAGAAATAAAAAGAGGAACATAATGAACAATACTTAAAATGCGATAAGGAATTCGAAGTTGTTTTGTTGTTGAAATGTCACAGAAAATGATGAGTGTAAAAAAAGTGAATCATAAGAAAAAAGAATATTGAATGAAGAAGAAAATAAATTTTAAGAGAAACTCTTTAACTATTATAGTGGTTATCAAAATGAAAAGAAAAGAAAGAAATAATAGATAGCTAGTTCATAAATAACAGAGAAAAATACCTTAAAAGAATCACAAAATTATTTCTGCATGTTTGAATAAAAAAGAAAACGCTGCAAGAAGAAAATTTTGTGCTGATCAATAGATTCAAGATTTATGTAATCAAAAAGAAATCAGCAAGTGTCGTGTAGTGTTATAATAGTCGATAACAACATTCTTCAACATGAATCGTCACGCTTTAATAGTGATTACAATAAAATAAAAATAATAAAATTAATTATAATAAACATGAAACAAAATAAAAGATGAAGGAAAGATGATTAAATGGAGAAAAGGAATAATTAACAAGCAAAGATAAATGGATTACAAGAAGCAGCAGTAAATTAAGGATAAGATTTAATCTTCACTGAACAGCGTTAAAAAACATCGATGGATGAATGATTTGATGAATGTAAACAACCAAAATAACTCTTCTGTCTCAATTGAAATTTATTGCCGTCTCCAGGTTAATCTCTCTAAAATGGTGAATTAATTTAAGCACTTTTATTATTTTTATTTTTTTCTCTCTTTAAAAAAATCAATTTAATTGAAGTTATCAAAACTTCAAATTTTCACAGACTTTTTGTTATTTTTTACATGAGAAAAGAAGGAACGAAAGTTTGTCAAAAATTTCTGACATTTCTTGAAAGTTAATTGAAACAGCTTAAAGAAGTTTGGAAAAGCAACCGTTGGAATGATTGGCGAGATGGAAGACTTTTTTGATACTTTTCTGTTTACTTTTTTTTCTTCTTCCAATGTTAACAACAACTATGCTAAAATAAACAGAAAGTCACGAAAATGATTGCAAGTTTTAATTGATTAGAAAAATATAAAGAATGTAGGAATAACTTCCAAAAATAATAATAATAGTAATAATAATGATTCAGATCAATAAATACAAGAGAAACGAGCGAAAACTTTTATTTTTCTTCTTCTTTATTTTTCTGTTCTTCATTTAACTTGCAAAAAGTTTTTTCTTTATGCTGAAATATTGAACAGCAAAAGCAGCAATATGTAAGCAAGACAATTCATAAAAAGGAAAGTCCTCGATTTATTTCGATGTAGGATTGAAGTTAATTAGACATGATGGACTTTTGAATTCAATTGGTAAAGCTGAGTACGCGATAATTACAATTTTGACCTTTTTCTTTGTTTTTTAATTGAGAGATTTTGATTCCATTGACGCGTTAAATAAATTCCTTCTCTTAAATATCACGCAATAATAATAATAATTAAAACTGACTTGTTTTTCCTTAAAAGCGACTATCATCCTTGGTTCGTTTTTGTGGTTAATTATTCAAATTTAATGGAACAAGTGAGTCATTGTTATGATGCAACTTTTCTTAATACTTAATGTAATAGTTGTAGACATCACAACGCGCGCCCCTCTCTCTTTAACATCCTTTCTGTTGTAGTCACGGGTGATCTATCTCTGTGAATGACCAAAAGATGAAAGCAAGAAATTAATGTATTTCGTTGTGGTGATGTCATAAATCCTTAGATAGTCATCGAAAGATAATAAAGCTAAAAAATATTACACAAAAAAATGATAAAAATGTTTATTAAACGATGTAGAACTTAATCATTAAGTAGATGTCCAATGAATGAATGATAAAAAAACTCAGTTTGATGAAACAAACTTACAAGATGTAGAAGTAAAGAAATGAAATAAAAATCACGACAAAAATGATAAGAAAATGAAATTGAAATAAAATCATACTTAGGTACTAAATAAAACGTGAATTAAAATATTTTGTTGCATAAATATTATTGTCGAATTCATTAAAAATCAATTCGCTGTACATTTTAATGAGATATCAAGATTAGTTATAAAATGTAAATGATTCAATATTATTTTCATTTCTCTTTTGCTTTTCATTGTAAATATATCTGATCAAATTGCAATTCTTAATGAGTTGTACATAACGAAAGATATATGCAAGTGGGTATCGAATTAAAAGAATTTTTTTTAAGTCATTAAAGTTTAGAAACATCAGCAAGTAGAAGAAGAAAATATCGTCTTTCATTCTTATTACTTTACATTCAAATAAATAAAAATTACATTTGACGTTCAAGATTACGATCTCAAAATAAAAACATCATATTTTCTTCTTTCTTGCGTTTTAACAACAACTTTTGGTATGAAATCTTTGAATTCGATTGTTAAAGGACGAATTTTGTGTTTACCTTCTAAGAAAACTTCTACCACATTCTAAACGTTTGAAATCTTCAATCTCTTACTACAAGAATGCCAACCAAGTTTTCTTTTATTTATAACGAATTTTATGTCAACATATTTATTGAAGTGGAATTGAAATTATGCGCTGGTGGTTTGAATTCAAATTAAAAAAAAAAACGAAAATAGAAGTAAAGCAGTTTGGAATTTCTTTCAACCCACCGCTTTTCTTTTTCAACAGGATCTGTAAAATTTAAATGAAACCAAAAAAAGAAAAAGTTTTTATGTCTGCACCACATTGCAATCGAATTCAAAGTCTAAACAAAAAGAAGAAATATCAACAACATCAAACCCAGTAAAACTTTACAAAACTTTTATGTTGCTGTTTCAAAGATAACATAAATATTAAATTTAAATATATTTAATCTTTATTATTTGAAATCACTCACGTTTCTCCCTCTAATCAGTAAAATTAATAAACACTAAAAAATATGACGAAGAATGTTGGATGTGGATCAAGAATCAACAAAGAAGTTTAAGTTAATGAAGATGTAAAGTTAATAAATATGTTAAGATAATAAAAAAAAAAAACACACACAGATAATTATTAAATGTTGAGAATAGGGGCGAATGAAAAGATCGAGAGTCAAAGATTGATTGAACGAATGGTTATTGAAGATGATGTTCAAGAACAGAGCATAAAGTATTCAATCTTAAACAAGCAGGGCCGACAATTAATACATGGCATCCCATTTTTTTCTTAGAACTTAATAGAGAAGCTCAAAGGATTTCTCTTAAGAGAACCAACTATACATCAGCTTATAAGTAAACATCTGCTCTTGAACTCACTTTGAACCATACGATGAGCGAGAAATCTTATTAATAAATAAACTACATAAAAATATATAATAAAGATAAAGATAATAAACAAACAAACAACCTATATTGAAGCTTTTGCTTTTGAGAAGTGTAAACAAATGATTAAGGAAGTAAACTAAATTATGTGTAATTGGAAAGTCAAAAAAAGGAAAGAGTGTAAGAAGGAAGAATACATATTAAATATAACACATATTCAAAACATATTTGAGTCTTAGAAAACCGACAGCAAAAACGAAAAAATAAATCAAAAATTCATTAGAGCTTGTGACATTATGAAGAACGATACTAAACTTTAATTATTTATGTTTCTTATAGCTCAGTCTGTTCTTATTGTTCTTTTATTTTTCATTCATTTCTTATATCAGACAAGAAATCTGTTACGCAATGTGTGATTGAAAGAATTTCTTATTAAATGAGACAAAGATAAAGTAACACAATAAACACATTCATATCGATTTTCTTTCACATTGACATTGTCTATCGCTTCTGTGGAAATCAAGGCCAAATGTTTCCATCAATTTAAAAAGGAGTGACATGAAACATAAAATCACTTTCTTTGACGTTGAACAATTTTCTTTAACAAGCATTGTTTCTCATTGATTTAATATAGAAGACAATATAATATCAATTTGAGCTTTGAGATGTGCATAAAAGCGGCAATTGGAGAACCCAATCAATGTTATAATGAAAAAAATATCGCAACGCTTCTGCGTACATCAGATAAACATCAAGAAATCTTTTTTTGTATTAAATTATTTTGCAGTTTAATTTCTAATTAATTAATTGTATCACTTCACAATAAACATGCATGATTGTTAAAAAACATGTTCAGATTACTATCTAAGAATGGTTACAAATTCTTAAACTACAAAAAAAGAAAAAACTAATTAAAACGAATACAATGAGAAATGTAATAGGAAGCATAAAACTAAATGAATAAAACAGAATCTAACAGCGTAAGCATTATTGTATGCAAAAAAGAAAAGTGCAGTAAAGAAAAGATGAAAAATAATGAAAAATAAAAAAAGTCGAGAAAAAAATGAAAAGAAAATCTTTTTATGCTTTAATTATGCTAAAATTTATGATGTTTACTTTCAGAAAGTTTTTGCTTGAAGTCCTGAAGTTTCAAGGCAACAAAAAATTGAATTAAAAAGTGTGAAGTAAGTGGAAGTGCAAGTTCAAGTACAAAATGAACAATTTCAGAAAGACTTCAGAAGTGAAATTTCCAAGTTAAGAAAATTTGAAAAATGTTCAAAGTACTTTCAGCTAAAAATAAATTCCTTACTTACTCTATTCCATGAATTTTTAATAAGCAAAAACAACTTTTAAATACTCCTCTTTGCTTTTAAGGGAATAAATATTTAAATTTCAGAGTCTGGAATAAAAAATTCAAACGGGCAAAGTAAGTTTCACGAATATTTAATTCTGTCTAAGTTATAATGATGGAATATAGTAATAAAATTGGTTGATCCACATGAATTTAATATGATTTCATGACTAACCGGAAAACGGAAGGCCTAAAACAAACAACTAAACAACAACAAATAGGATTTTAATTAAAAAAATATTTCAAATCCATCTGAAACAACAAATTTGCTTTACATGCTCATTTACAAGTTTCTTCATCGAAATCATACTAAATTAAATCACTGCTAGTGGCTAAACTTTCAATGAAGATATTTTCATGGAGTAATTGAATAACGAAACTTTAAACAATGAAACACTCCCACGCTACCATTTAATCTAGTTTGGTTCCGGAAATTTGCAACGAACAATGTTGAACATTGTTGATGTTCAGTTTTATATTCTTTTCGATGTTATAAGCGCATTAAAGAAGTTTTTTCATAAATCTTTTTTAATATTAACTGACAAGGCTTGCAATATGAACTTTTTAAATCTTTTGAACAATTTGTATGTAAATAACATCTTACTGATGCTTTCAGTTACTGGATACGAGATTGCAACGCGAACGCCAAGTTTTTACGTTACAGATTTATGATAAAAAGCATCGAGATGAATTGAAATAAGTATGTAAAGGCAGTGAAGCATGATGATGTTGTGAATGAGAAATGAATGGTAAATCGTTACAAATTCTCCGTGTTGTGATGATCCACAAACTCCAAATCTAAATACACCAAAAAGGAAAAATTTATGATGAAAGTTGGAAATGACAAATGTAAAGTTAGCTTTCATTTAAGCTAAGGAAATCTTCATCCTAAATTCATGATTACAATGATCGCCAATACAAACAAAGTAATCGACTATCCAGTTAATAAGTTTTAGTTATGAAATGATTGACTTTAATTGCTGTTACTTTGATAGAAGCATCTTCGCTTCTGCATTATTCATCATTCCACTCCCAGCAAAATCTTCTTTTCCTTCAGATACTTCTCCAATAAAAGTCAAACCCATTTGGAAAAGTTATTCACTCTTAATTTTTAGAAAATTTGAAACAAAAATGTTTTAATAATTGACGTCAGTAATAATCTTTTAAAAAGTTATTATTGAACGATTTTCAGTTCACCTACGGATTTTTATCAGAGATTTATTTTGGCTCGATTTTGAGATGACGGCAGATTTAAGGATCATTTCAATCATACTCCTTGTACTGATTAAGTTAAGAAAGCTTTATATTTATTAAAATATCTTTGGAATTAAGAGATGGGATTTGTGACTAATAAGTAAGCGGAATGAAATTAATTTAGATAATTTTTAAAAATTATTTTTACACATCTGACATTCTGACTACGAAATCTGTCCTCTCAACTTGTCACAAGATCTTGTCTTTTTTGAAATGGAAATGGGGAATTTATCTTCAATTATGCAGATAAACATTGTAGCCAGAAGTTTGAAGATTTCATGAAAACTTTCAAGGAATATCAAGGAAATCGCGACGTTCTTTTTGTATCAAAAATTCATGAAATCAATGTTGAAAACAGTTTTGCTTTTTTTAAATTTTTCGGAGTCAATCATTCATAACTTTGCCATTTGCTGAATTCCCAGGCAACACAGTTTGAAGGAATTTCTATCAACAAACAAAGGTTGGAATTCTAGAAGTAAACGGGGGACGTTCATTAGAAGAAGTTGACTGCTGTTGATATTTGTCAGTGGTTCATAGCAAATGTTTTTAACTTCACCGATAACTGTCCATGGATAACCCCTTATGCATGTAGCGATGAGTAAGTACACAACAAAACGTGTCATTCTGTTTAATTTTATCCAACCTTCTGAAGAATTATTAATTAATTAGACATCAAAATTTTATTCTTCTTGTGCCAGAAGCATAACTTTTAAGGAACATAATTATTACTCTTAATTTAGATGTTATTATGTATCACAAAACTTAAGCTATTTATTAATGAAAATTTTCTTTGTATTTGTCTTGACATTGTGAACATTATAATTAAATTTTGTTACAGCTTAAGTATCTTGATAAGTCTAAAGTATTTATTATTAATTAGGTATTTGATTATATTTCACATTTTCAGATTTGTTGTTATTTTCGATATGGGAAAATTTTCACGAGTCATATTGAAATGAAAATAATTGTGGGGTGAATTTATGAGTAGCAATTAGAAGTTAAATAACCTTGCAATAAAATAGTCGGACTGCAATTCAAATGATATTTCGCAATTTCAATTTTCAGTTTTCCCAAACAGTTTAAACTTGATGGTTCTAAATTCAACAAAAGAAAGAAAATAAAGAAAAGAAAACTTTTTATTAAATTTTATAGAAAAACATTGTTTGTGCTAATTGATTAAGCAGACTTTATTAATTTTCTGTACAATTTTAAATTTTAAGGATCGCGTTTTATGAGAAAATCAAAGAAAGTTTTAATGAGAAAGCAAAACTTTTAATTTCTCTTCAGTGGACGACTTAAGATAAACTAATTACCCAACAACATTTAAGTTAATCTTCTTAATTATCCATTAATTTAGATTTAGCTATAAAATTCAGTCGAAATGAAATTTGATAAAGAAAAACTTAATAATCTTAATTTTAAGAAAATAGCTTTAATATCGTCGCTTTCCCTCGTGGGTGCGTTAATCTTCTCATATGGTTTGTTTCCCCCAATTTTAAGATTTGTACTGAAATTGGTAAGAAAATTTGAAGAATTAAGAAAGCTGAGATATAAAAAACTTAAAACAATTACAGAAAATGCAACTTAAAAAGGGTTCCCTAATGCGAACGATGTTTGATGTAATTCCTTTCCCACTGGTTTTCAAAATACATGTTTTCAACATAACAAACCCTGACGCTATAATGAGAGGAGAAAAGCCTATTGTTGCTGACATCGGACCTTATGTCTTCGAGTCAGTATTTAATTATTTGTTTATAAATAGATAAAGAAAGAAACTTTTTGATTGACGCTTTCAACAGAGAATGGAAATTACGTGAAAACTGGGAGGAAGATGTCGTTGAAGATACTTTGACATATGATTTTAAGAATAGATTCATATTTCGTCCCGAGTTATCAAATGGACTAACTGGAAATGAAATAGTTCAGTATTCAAACTTGGTTTTGCTTGGAGGATTGATGGCTGTGAAAAGGGATCGAGAAGCCATGTTGCCTATGGTGACAAAAGCATTGATGAGTATATTTAAGAACCCAGACTCAGTTTTCATGCGAGCACGTGTCATGGATATCCTTTTTGATGGCTTAAAATTCGAATGTAAAGGCGATGATTTCACTGTCGATGCTGTGTGTTCAGCAATAAAATCAGAAGCCCAAGGGTTAAAAGAAATTGACGAAACAACTCTCTCCATTTCGATTTTCGGCAGTGTAAGTGAAATGAAAACATTTAAAAAAGCATCTTAAGTCATCTCATTTGTCATCTTCAGAAAAATGACACAAGCTTTGGACGGTTTCATGTACTTCGGGGGGTCAGAAATATCAGCGAATTAGGACAAATTCAAACATTCAATGGAGAAAGGAAAGATATAAATACATTCACTCACTCATTCATTCATGGTGCTATGATAAGTATTTGTCTTTTCTTCTAAACAGCATGCAATCTGTCTGGGATGGGGATGAATGTAACAAAAACATTGGAACTGACAGCACACTTTTCCCTCCTTTCATGACACAAGACATGGGATTGTGGACATTCACGCCAGATATATGCATGTCGTTACGAGCCCATTATCTAGAACCATCGTCCTACGCTGGAATGCCCACTTGGCTTTATTCGTTAGATTTCGGAGATTTTAAGGTAAAAAAAAAGATTAAAACAGAAAAAGTGAAAAAAAGCCTAAAACGTTCCTTTTCAACATCATCAAAAGAATGAACCTGAAAAGCATTGCTTTTGTTATGACCCTCCAGATGATTGCCCACCTAAAGGTACTATTGACTTAATGCCATGCGTTGGAGTTCCAGTTTATGGTTTGTGAAATGTAAAAGGAAACTTCCACTTATCTGATTACTAATTCTTCAACTTGTTGTTTACATAATCACAGGTTCTAAGCCACATTTCCTTGACACTGATCCAAAACTTTTAGAAAATGTTGGAGGATTGAATCCCAACCGAACCATTCATGATGTGTTTGTCAATATTGAAGGGGTAATTACAAATCTGAATAATATTCATGAAAATTACGTCTTGTTCTTCTCCTTCTGAGACGAACATCTGCAAAGTCGAAATTTCCGGATTTAATATTGACGCAAAAGATTGAATATTTTTGAAAAAGATTTCAGGAACAATTTTTGAAGGCTATAAACGATTCCAACTCAACCTTGCAATTGAACCTATTGAAGACTTTGAAATGATGAGCAAACTTCCAAAAGTTTTGTTGCCGTTGCTTTGGCTCGAGGAAAGCGTTCAATTGAATAAAACCTATACAAATATTCTTAAATATCAATTGTTCTTGTAAGATTTAATTCTCTTCAATGTCTTTGATTGATGTTTAAATCGCTATCTAATACTTATTTCTTTTTGATGACTTCTATACTTAAAAAATGTTCAGAGGGCTCAAGTTTAATTTTGTTGTGAAGTGGATGGGAATTGTTTGTGGCACAGCTGGAATGTTGCTTTCAGGATTCATGCTTTACCAACAACAGCAGCAGCAAAAACAACAATCACCAACGACAGTATCATCAGCGACGTCGGCAATCGACGACGACGACAAAGTAAACAAGAATATTGCCAACAACGTAAGATCTTATAGTGTTGGAGTATCGGAAGCTGTCAAGTAAAGTGACGGCAAATGAACAAACAAAACATTCTTACACTCTTCAATTAAAAATCTTTTTCTTTGGAATTTCCATTTGTTAATTGAAGAGATTTAAAGTTAATTTGACATTGATGTGAAAATCATTCGATATTACGACGTTGGAAAAATATTTACTTAAATTTACTCAAGTACGATAATGCACATATTTGAATTTAATTATCATAGCACAAAAATTAAAGGTTTAAGTGTAATTTGCTTCGTTCGAATATCTAATTTATGTATAAGCTTGTATGTAGAATAAAATCCTAAGAAAATTCGCTTTAACTCACGCCAAACAAAATCAAGAATTTTTTTCTCCCTTAATCTGATTTCTAGCCATCGAGACAAGAAGCAATTATCTAGTCCGTTTTCTTCCGCTATTGTTTAATGTTTCAGATCGTTTTAGAGAACATTTAAACTCATTTGATCAATGTCAATCAGTATTTTGAAATAATTATGCGTCCACTTAGATGCCAATGTGTTGACGTCACAATTAACAAATCTTGTTGACCACTTCGTCAACCTATGCTTATGTAGACTACAAAAACTGAAACAGCTACGCTTTATAATCTTGTCTTAGGATGTTTTCTTCCTTTTCATTTCAAGCTCTGAATAATTAATGTAAAAGTAGTTTAATAGTTGGTGCCATGATCGTTGGTAATACCCGTAACAATGCTGTTCAAGTTTCTAGCTCGTCTTGACCCAGTTGTTGTTTTTTTTCGATATCTGACAAAGGTGATCCCAGCTTATCATATAAATCATTAATCTTAAACCATGTAGGTGAAGAATTCAAGCCATTGAAATTAAATTGTTTGTAAAATTGAAGCAAAGCTTTTGAGTTTCTTTACATATCTCTTGAGTGATTTGTTAAAAGGTAATAAACAAGTAGGTACTTGGAATTTCCTTTATATTTTTATTTCCTAGAATGCTATGGGAGCCAAAATGTTTACATCACGATATTCCCGCACGTGTCACTCTTACATTTGAGTGATTCTGCTTTAAAAGTAAATTAACACTCTCTTGAGTATTTTAAGCGAAAAGAAGCGCTTCGATGGTGGTAAACATGAAACGGCGTGAATATTTTTTTCTTTCTTTATACCCGTCACTTTAATATTGCAGCATGGTCTGTAGAGCTTTTTTTCCTCGTGAAATTATGACTCAAAAATAAAATCGAGAGAGTTGTGGAAGAAAAAAACTTGATCGAAATATTTTCAGTTTAAATTTTAAGAGTTGTTAAGCGCGCAGTTTAATTTGAACAGCGCTGCATGAAAGTCCAAAATAAATTCCGTTTTAAAACAAAGAAGAAAAATTAATTCGGGAAAAGCGTGAAGATCAGAAATATTCACAAAAGGTGCAAAAAAAATTAAAGTTTTGTTTTTTAATTTTATTTTAATTTGACGGAAGAAAAACTGGAATAATTATTTAAAGTTTCGTAATTTGAATCATTTGGAAATCAAATATTCAGTGTATTGATACTATCACAACATTCATCATTATAAAAAGTTATCATCATTGTCATCAGTAATTTTCCAAAATAAAAGTAGAAATCATTTAACAAACGGAAAGCTTCCATTGGCGACTAAATTTTCTGAACCATAAAATTGCGCGAAACTAAAAAAAAAGTGATTTAAATGTGAAGTCATTTACCAGTTTTCGTGACTTCTGGTTACAACAAGACTACTTCGGTGCTTTTTATTATCTTTATTATTTGAGAAAGTTATTAATAAACATTCGCCTCTAAATTTGTTATATTTAAGTAAATCAGTTTTAAAAATTGAAAACAAAAAAAATTATTATTCAACGTGTGTGCATTGAGAAACCAGTTTGTAAGTAATGTTGGCGATTATTTTCCATGTAAAAATAAAATTTTATGTGCATCAATCGATGCACTTCTTATATGTATCTCATTTCACTCGATCTTTGTTTTCAGGGCTAAGATCAACATCGAAACGAAGAGATACAAGAAATACGAAGACAATCAATATATTCATGCATTTATTTTTATTTCAATAATCAACGTAATGTTTCGGAGTGAAAGTGGTGAACACTGAAGAGAGGCAACAAGTTATTAACATTGCTTGTTTGCTCGCTCTTTTTTTTCTTTGCATTGCTTGATGGGAACCGAAAATAAAATAAAAAGTGAAAAATATAATAATTTTCTACGATTGGCGATTCGATTCAAAGTAGCAAACAGCAAGTGGATGCTTTTACTTATTTACTTCGCATGAAAAACTTCATTGATAAGCGATTGAAACTTTTCATCTGTTAAAGAAGCCAAAACCATTCAATTGTACTGTTCATCATTTTATGTTTTTCAATGAAGTTCTGATTTTTCGTGCATTCATAAAGTCGTGATAAAATTTATAACTTGAACTGTTTGTAAACAATCATCAAGCTGTGAATTATTCAATCTTAAAACTGAATGAACACTATGCGTTTGACAAAACTCGATGAGATAGAAATATGAAGCAAGTTTGCAAAGTTGAAAGAAATGATGATTAATAAATCATCCAAAACACACAATTTTATGGTGCTCCGTGCTAAAAAAAAACAATATAATTAGGTAATTTAATAGTCATGTTATAAAACACCGCGGGATGTGCTTAAATTTCGTTATTTTTCTGAGTCAAATTGTTCATCAAAGAGCTTTTACTTTAGTTCATTGCGCAAAATATACAAGATTGACGTTAAAATTAGGAGTAGACTTGTCATGTACCAATTAGAAAAAAATTAATCATAATTTTTGACGTTGATCACAATTACGCGGGCTAAAATTGAAATGATATTTTTTCACTTTCAATTAAACATATTTTAACTTCAATAGACGTTATGAAACTTTTATCGATAATTAGAAGCTGATGATATAAAGTGAAATGAACTCAAATTAAATCACTTTAATCGCATAAGAAGAAACCTCAAATATTCAATTTTGCAACAAAATATTTTACGTTTTTTCCTTTTTGATGAAATCGCATTGAGACTATTAAAGTTAGTTTAAGTTGCTGTTAAGTAGCGTCTAGTATAGTAAACACTCATATGGTTATTTATGCAATTTATTGAACATTTAAAAAAAGAAATATAAAATTGTTACATCATATACATTATGACTGCGCTAACACATGACGTGATCAATTCCTTAATAGTTTTCATCTCTTCTTTCTGCATAAATTTTTATGTACTCAATAAAAGCAGAGAGACTTAAAAATGTCCACTGCCAGTGACACAGTCGCGTTGAAAACGAAATTTTCGATGGTTGATCGTATCGATTTCTTGCTTGTCTCGTCTCAAGGTTTCTACTTAATATTCAGATGAATGTTGGTACAAAAAATAATCTCTCTTATTTACATACATTTGGCCAACCATTTGACAAAATCACATTGAACTTGAATGTAGCTGCTGTTGAAATCTTAAAATAAATTAATTTTGATTTGTTTCGCCGTTTCATTCCGTTATGTTTTCCTACATCAATCTAAAATTTAAACTTCCTTGTAATTAAGCAAACAATGTAAATAAGAAATCGAAAGGAGCTTTTTTTTGACCTGCATTTAGTTGACTTATTAAACACATGCATAAAGTTTCGCACATTTAATCTGCAAAAAGGAAAAAAAAGAAAAAAAATAATTAAGCTTTTTAATATGCAGACGAAATTAACATAAACTTCATGAAGTTTTTGTACTGCACAAGTAATTTTCAATCCACCAATATAACGTGATAGAGCTAAGCATGTTGTTTTAATTCTAGCTAATGCGTTCGATTAAAATCTAATATTGTGTCAAGTGGTTTAAAAATAACAACAAGAACATAATTACAAGTTTAAAAGGCACTTGTACCTTTAATACGTGTTTGAAGCTGCACCAGTTTGCTGAATAAAACGTTTTAAGAATCAAGGTCGTTGAACAGTTGAGCAGAAGAAATCCAAATTCTGCAACTTTCTATTGAAAAACCCCCTCGAAGCTTCTGAATAAAATATTGGTTTGGCTTCTTTCTGTTCTTTTCAACTTTCAACGAAACCTTCGAATTGTTGTCGTTGTCGTAATTTTCAACCTTGTTCGTTAAAAAACAAAACATACAGAAAATCCCAATCTTGACAAAGAAAATTTGTATATAAAAAGCCAATTTAACAATTTCGTTATAAACTCATCATGGTTATCAACAAACGAAGGTCACTCGCATCAAAAACATTCCTCTGGCAGTAGAAGGAAAATACTTCTCTTACCTGTTCCCTTAAAGCTCTGTTGAGTTACATGAAATGATTGAAGTAACAAACATTTGTCAACGAAACCTCAATCAAAAATCATTGATCAAATGTTAAGCTTCGTTTGAGAAGAAAGTCAAGTTGAACAATTTACTTTCAGAGTTCTACTTGTTCTGCTACAATAATCTCAAAATTCTCGTGACAAGTTTGATTCTCTTCAAGTTTCATTAACTTGATATTTAATGCCGTTAGTTATTTTCCAAAACATTTATTACTTAACTTTACGACAACAAAAACATAACGAAGACTATTCAAATTTCAAGTTCAACGTGTCCATATGAAAAGAGAAAAATTTCCAAAATTTTGTGCAATAATTTTGTTTGTCTGATTCATTTCATCACTGTTGAAAATGGATACCGGTTGATCTTTTATTTGAAGGTTGATGACTACATATTCACAAAATTCACTTTAACGTTTAATTTTTCAATTCATCTCAGTGTAATTTCTCATTGTTAAGTTCCCTTGCAAAATTGTATCGAATTATCTAATAAATTTGCGACAGCTTAGAAGAAACAAACAATTCATTACGAAATTTCGTTAAGGAATCCAAAACAAAAGCAAATCAACGTTGAGATTTAATAATTTGAGCAAAGACAACAAAAAATCCATTATTAATGTTGTCAGCTTGTATTTCAATATCAAGTAACAAATCCAATTACAAGGCTACTACTGAAGAGTATCGTGACTTAAGAAAGATTTTTAACATCTCAAGAGACAGCGTGGAAATTTTTTAATAAGAAAATCACGCAATAAATTCACTCGCTTTGAATTCATTACGCGTAACTTATGTTAAAAATGGAAAAAATCTTTGTTGTTTCAGTTTGTTTATCCTAATATTCTTTATTTCAATTCCAACAGAAACAAGTTGTAGAGATTATTTTTCTTATTAAAATGAAATTTGCACTGGTGATAAAATGAAGACGTCGAATAAAAATTTTCATCATCGCGATTTTCTTATTTCACGCTGCTCAAATTAAATCATTTGTAATTTGTATTCGCAGTCTTTTGTCTCATTTAAATAAATAAATCTACACAGAGTCATGCGAATTACATAATTAGGTAATTTTCAATTATGCTTCAAGCCCTGTTGTTGTGCAATTTCTCTTCTGTAAGTTTATATGAGTTTATGGACTCATGAAGGCAATGAAAACGTAAATAAACAAAGAGAGAAAGAAAGAGAGAAATAAAGCCGCGAAAAAAGAAATCAGTTCTGCGCGGCACACGTTAAAGACTGTTTTTCGTTTGAATCGCACGATTTGTTGAACAACAACAAAAGACATTGTGAAGAGTACCGGCACAGACGTCGATGAGTCAATAATCATTTTGTCGCAAATTGTTGAAGTCAACACTGTGTATGATTTAAATGAATAGCAGTTATTTATTTATATTTCATGACTGACCTTCAACTGTCAGAATGTACCCGAAACGTAGGTTTTCATTTAACATTGTAAAGTTGATAAGCAAGTTGACATAAATTGGACTTTTATGAGCGTTCCTTAAAAGGGCCTTTAGGTCATAAAAATTTTCATTGCATTTTATATTGTGATGCATTCGATGCGCTCGCTGTCAAAACGAGCAAAAAACCACAAAAAGTTGTTAACCTTGCTGAAATGTTTTTCACCAACACCCAGCAATGTTTTTGTATCACGAGACTTTTAAACTTTTATTTCTCTTCTTAAAATAGCTTTCATATTATAAAGCTTAAAACATTTTACAAATATATTTAGATGCCGTACAAATAAATATTTGAAAGGAAAACATTTCCTGTTTGCTATTTTTTGTCTAAGATGTTAAGTAAAGTTTCAAGTCATTTCGTGTGTTGCTTCATGAACACAATTTTAGTCGTAAAAAAATTATTAGCAAGTAAAAAATCAACTGACTTAACATTCTTTACAAAATGCTTTATTTATAGCAATTTAGAGTAGCAAAGTCTTGTTGTATCCAACTGACTATGCTAACATTTTCTCAAATATTACATGAAGTGTGCTAAACTGTTTATGTCGATATTAAATGATGAATATATTCAATAAGTACTGAGTGATTAAACGTTAGTGATCATGACGAGAAGAGTTGGAAATGTAGCTTAAATTCTACTCAATAAATCATGAAATGTTGCTCAAGAGATTAAAAAGTTAAACAATTTTCTTCCAGATCTTCAAACAAAATGAAATCCATGGATCATCGTTATCAGAAATATCTCATTACGATTTTCATCATAGCATCAGGATTAACACAATGTGCTAGTGAAAATATTCTCATGGTATGCATTAATGGAATTAAACTTTAATTAAATAAATCTAAATCCATATTTTTCAGGTTACCATGGGTGGAACAAAATCGCATAAAATCCCTTTCTGGGAGCTTGCAAGAGGATTAATTAGTCGGTAAGTATCATCACTCATATTTAAGCTCATAATCCAATTTATGAATGTTAAAAAACACTTAAAGTGAAAAGTTTCAACTCATAAATCAAAACTTTAAGAAACTTCTTTAGACAAATTTGAAATTTATTTATTCATGTTGAGAAATTTGACCAACAAAAACTTGAAAATTTTCAATAATTAATACGAGAAAGTAAGAAAAGATTCCGTAAAAGTTCACAATTGCGAGTTTATTAATATTTAAGCAAAAATTCTTTTGAAACTTCTAGCGGCCACAACATTACATTCCTGAGTGGTTTTCCGGCTGATTTTCATATCAACGGTTTAGTCGAAATTACACCCACAGGCTTTGTGCAATACATTCAAAATTATACGAACTGGGATTTATTAGGTAAACAATCTAAAATTCCTAGAAAACTAAATAAATTTTCTTTTTCCAGGTCGTCGAATGAGAAATCAGCTTCCTGTGCCTTTACTTGACATAATGCGATATCCAATCGAAGTATGTAATGCGATCATTAAGTATCCAAATTTTCGATATCCAAAAATAATTTTTATCGCTTTCAGTCATGTGATGCTTTACTTGATGACCATGAAACCAAAGATTTGATGAATTCTAAATTTAATTTATTGATATTAGACGGCGCATTTCCGGAATGTGCTTTAGGCTTGCAATATAAATATAAAGTTCCATTTATGTATATAAACACTGTTGGCTATTACACTGGTTCAACGTCGTTGTCGGGGTCACCAGCACCATATTCTATTACGCCTCACTTCACTCAAGCTCTCACAGATGACATGAACTTCTTCCAACGAGTTTTGAACTCTGGAGTGTCAGTTCTTCTACAAATTATGCATATGGTATGATTCTTACTTTCATCAACACTTTTATAATCTCGACAATATTAAGAAGCGTTTTTACATACAAAACATTTTTGAGATAATTATAGACACAACAAGAGACACTGAAGGTTTTCATTTTCTGAATAAATTTCTTTTGTATTTAACAACCAACCATAAAGGTGACAGTTGGATTACTTCAAAATGTGGTTCGTAAACATCTAGGAGATGAAATTCCACCTCTTTACGAGTTATCAAAGAATGTGAGCTTTATTTTGCAAAACTCACATTTCAGCGTGAGTTATCCTCGTCCGTTTATGCCAAACGTTGCAGAGATTGCGTGCATACATTGTAAGCCAGCACAACCTCTTCCAAATGTAAGATTTTCCATAAGAATTTCTTCTATTGTGTAATAAAATATAAAAGAATATTTTTCAATCAGGATTTGGAAGATTTTATCAACGGATCTGGTGAAACAGGTTTTGTGTATGTTAGCATGGGTTCAAGCGTGAAGGCCGCTAATATGCCGGAAAATTTGCGTCAATTACTCGTGAACACATTCGCCAAATTACCTTACCGTGTTTTATGGAAATATGAATCAGCCATCAGTCAAAATGATCTACCGTCTAATGTCAAAATTTCACGTTGGCTTCCGCAACAAGACATTTTGGGACACAAAAAGTTGAGAGCTTTTATCACCCACGGCGGTCTTCTTAGCTTATATGAGACAATTTACCACGGAGTTCCGGCAGTTGTTATGCCTGTTTTTTGTGACCACGATTCTAATTCAGAAAAAGCAAAAGCCGATGGCTATGGTAATATTTTGAAAGAAAAGTTGTCTGGAAATGATCTCATTTATGTTTCCTATTAGCTCTTAAATTGCATTTGGAAACACTGACATCCGAAAAATTATTTAAAGCAGTCCATACAGTGATACATGATAAAAAATACAGAAGAGAAGCAAAGTAATGTAGACAACATGAAAAGCGAATGATTGATTATAATTTAATTGAATTTATTCACTTCTGTAGATATCGACAGTCATTATTACGCGATCAGAAAACATCGCCTCTAGAGACAGCGATTTATTGGACAGAATATGTTATCAGACATGAAGGTGCTTATCATTTGCAAACACCAGGGAGATACATGGGGTAATCAATTCATTTCAATCTTTAACATTTCAGGAAATTGAATATTTATCTTACAATTCTTAATTTAATTTCCAATCAGATTCTTCCAATATTATTCCTTTGATGTGCTGTGCTTCTTCATACTTTTAACAATTTTGATAAAGTTTACCTTAAAGCGGTACATCATCAAAAATGCCGGTGAAATGAACACGAAATTGAAAATGCAATGAGGCTTTTGGTTGACTTTAAGAAATTCTACACGAAACATTGTTTCATACACAATTTGTAACTTTTTAATATTTATACAGATGTCATTGGTCTCTCCGTTTTGTATTTCTCTTAGCGATAATTTGTAAATGTTTTCACAATAAAATAAAAAGAAATAAAAATCAAATTTCTAAGGTTCCAGATGTTTATAAAATTATAAAAAGATCAAAGTGATGTCATTTATTCGTGAATAAATATTAACGTTGAGAAATAAGGATAACACGAGGTTTTTTAAGGTCTCTGTTATTGACAAAACGTTGACACGACGCCTCCAGAGTTTTTTATTATTATAATTTTGAAAACAATTTTTTCCATTATCGATATAAAAATTGTCCCGAATAATATTTTATTGAATAAATTTAAATTTTGCAAGAGTCTCATATGGCATGACTTGAAAGAACTTTTCTCTTTGAACAATCTTGAATTGTTCATGAAGCACTTCGAAGTTTAAACATTGAACCTAAACAATATTGAGTACCATGAGGGAGAACTTGTGTACATAGCTAACATTAAAAAAAACATGAGAGGAAAACCTCGAAGAAATGTGAACCGCAGATATTAAAGATTCAATTTTCCATAAATAAATTTAAATTTAAATAAGAATTGATCATGCTTCTTATTATTTCTTGAATATAAATAAATAGTTTATGCAAAATTTTCTCGAAATTATGCTTGAAAAATAATTGCTCTAAGAAAGTATTTTAAGAAAGGAAAACTTTTTTCTGTACATAAAGATAATTTTGATGATAAGTTGTAAGTTAACTTTAACTAACTAGCTAATTAGTAAAAACATAAGCATTAATTTTATTTTATATAAGAAAATATGTTGGTAACAAAAATTTTCCACATACATTTCAATTTTCCTAAGCAATGATGTCACAATGTATTTAAAACAACGAAACATTTCTAACGATTATGATTTTACGCATTTCACAATGAATGTTAGTGTATAGAAAATTAGAGAAAAATATAAAAATAAAATCTATTCGTAGAGTGAAAAGGTGTGAGCGAAAATGTTTATTTAGTTGAGCGAAAAAAGCGGTATTAACCATATCTATCTAAAAAGATCAAGAAAAGTTTTCGTTTGAAAAGTCGTAAAGAAAATTAACACTAACCCAGTTAACTGGAAGTTTATGTCTTATCAAATTGATCTAATTTCATAAAAAAGTTGGGAAGTAGTTTCGTTAAAACAACCAGTCAATTATAATTAAAACGTGATAAGAAAATCGATCAAAGCAATTCAAGGTCAAAAGGGTGACTCTGTGATTGGATTAAGTTATAATGAAAAAGTATCCAAAGAACAATGAATATTTACGATATTGTTGATTTGATTCTTGCAAAATTAAGTAGCAATCCCGCACTAGATATAAAGTTAGAAATTGACGACGATATCTTTGTTCGTATAAGAAACTTGTTAAGTGGATATAAATTATTTCCAAACTACGAAGCTTACAATCTTGTGAAAATCGACAAATGTGATGACTTAGCTCAACAATATCGTGAAAAAGGAAATGATTTCTTTCGAAAACGAAAATTTTTCAGTGCTTTATGTGCTTACAACAAAAGTATTTGCTTCTCGAAAGCTCATTCTGAAAATATGGGACTTGCCTTTGCAAATCGTTCGGCCGTGTTTTACGAAATTGATGAACCTCATCTTTGTCATGCTAATATAACGCTTGCCAAACACCATAAATATCCAAGCGAGAAGTTATTAAAACTTGAAGAAAGGGATAAAAAATGCAAAGCAAGCAATAGTATTAAACCAAAAACTTCTAAACTGCTTCAGTTAACTCACAAAGTGAACCCCAAGTATCCTTTCATTATTAATTGCTTGTCATTGAAACTAAATAAAGAGTTTGGACGTCATGTTGTTACCACAAACATATTGAAAGCTGGAAATGTGATTGCTATTGAACCACATTTCAATGGCATTTTGTTGTCCGATCAAGTTTTCAAAAGATGTACAAATTGTCTCGGTCAGTTCAACCTGAACTTGCTTCCATGTGAGCATTGCGTATCAGGTAGGTTACAACCAGAAGTAAATACAAATCAGTCGCTTCTGGGAATTTTTAACAATTTCTCGAAACTTTTCTCATAAACGTGAGCGAGTAAACATGTACATGAAGAAACCCTTGCAATTCAAGTACTTTTACTTCCTTTTATAGCAATGTTTTGTTCGCAACACTGTAAGGATGAAGCAAACAAAAAGTTTCATAAATACGAATGCGACATGAATCTCGAAGGAATTGGAAAATTTTTCACAGTTGCTGTAAGAGCATCAATGAGAACTTTTATTGAAGCTTTATTTATCTTTGATGGCATCGAAAGACTTAAAAACTTCCTAAAAGAGCACAAAGACATCGCTTTTACCGCATTTGATGTTGATAAAAGTTCATCGGATCAAACCTATCACCAACAGCTTTTCATGACTTTATGTTCGCTTTGTTCAAATGAAGAGAGAAGATCAACGGTTGAGAATTTCCGCCGAGCAATTGTTTGCGTAATTCTATATGAATATTTAATTTTAAATTCATCACTGCAAAATATCTTAAGAAGCGATGAAAATGGAAAGTTTTTTATGAACTTTATGTTTAAACATATTCAAATTGCAGAATCAAACTTTCATGAACTTTACTCATTAAAAGCTGAGAAAATGGAACAAAGTAATGAACAATTCGGAGTGGGTAGTTTTCCATTCGCATCACTTTTAAATCATTCATGTCTACCAAATGTATTCAGATTGTCTTCGGATGGATTGAATTATGTTATTGTTGCACGTCATATAGAAAAAGGTGAACAAATATTTGACAACTACGGGTAAGTATGCATGTACGTGGGCACAGTTTAACTTTTATCATCCTAAAAACTGAAATACAAACAGAAAAGGGATCATTTTCATGATTTAATATTGATCAAATATTTATCTACCAGCTTCTAAGAATATTAAATAATGTCGAAGTCTTTTATTCTTCATTAAAGTTATCATCATTCAATTCATACATTGCAACAAAGACGAAATGGATTAGTTGATCGATATCAATTTAATTGCTGTTGCGACGCTTGTGTTAACAATTTTCCACTGTTTGAAGAACTTCTAGAGAAAGACAAAGACTTTGATACCTTCATCTCAAACGATTTGGAAGAATTTGAGAAATTCAATACAGAAAAAGCTGAACGAGCCATCAAAAGGTATTCAAAATATATTGAAAATCACGACAAAAATATTCCATCATATGAAATCACTTTGATACAAGAATGTATGCTTCGATGTTTCAGAATACTTGAAAGAAGTAAATCAATGTTCAATTTAAATTTTATTGAAACATGAATGTGAAATGTTATATTTTTAAAACAATTGAAATACCTCAAATCGATAAATTTGGTCAACAAAATTTTTGCTATCTTATTAAACCAAAATGGGAGCTCGTGCTTCATATACGCAGTTTGTGCAAAATTGCATTTAAGCTTGATATAAAGCACTGCTTGTGAAAACAATGGAAATCAAAGCACCCCGTAGACATTTGGTGCGAGTAATGCTAAACATTTTTTTCATAGGAATTTGTTTTAATGTTTGTTGCAAGAAAGAAAATTAAATTTATTTGACAGCAAAGTTTATTTGTGTTGAGAAATTTTCGGTGACAATACCTCGTGGTATGAACCAATGATTGTGATAATACCTTTGAAATTCAAGAAAACATGAAAGAGAAAATGTTAATTTACCATAAAATAAACGGAAGAATTCTGAGAACTTCTAGAATATGATATGCAATATCAAAATCGCTCTAACAGATACTTAAAAGTTGTTTATAAAATCTTACTTTTCATGCATATATTCATAGAAAAAGTTTAACACAAATTGGTCTTTAATTCATTTATTTTTAACAACGATGAGCTTCTGTGAACTTAACTTAGCGTGAAGCATAAATTAAATAGTAGATGCAAAATATTATAAATGTAACAGCAACAACAATCTTCTCAAAAAGAGATGAAGAGAGAAAGTAAAAGTTTCTTGCAGCAATAGAAGCTTTTTCTCCTGTGAGTTAACAAAAAAAAGCTCACAGCTTCCCATCCATGCTGAGAGAAAAACATTATAAATGTAAATGTTTCAATGTTGCACAGTTAGTACTCCTCAAAAGCTCGCACTGTAAAGATCTGAAATAAAGAAGCGCAATACTTCTTGATTTATTTATAAATATAAATTGTAAGAACTTTTTTTCTTGAATATTGATCATAACAAAGCTAAAAAATCCTAAAAAGCTTATCTTTGCATCAAAAAATGAGAAAAATTTGAATTATCTATTTAAATTGTTAAAAAAGAATATGAAATGTGAATTGTGGAATGTGAATTGTGGAATAGAAAATAATAAATTAAAAGATGAAAAGCTTTATCTTATTTACACAATAAAATCAAAAAAAAATTCAAATGTGTTTCATCTATTAAAAAATCATTAAGCCTAAGTGGATAATAAAACAAAGTCTCATCTATTCTAAATTTTTAAAAAATACTCTAAAATCTCTTCGTCTTGGTGATCTATCGATGTCAATAATTATCAAAGCTTCATTGAGAAATCTTTTGTGACATATTTTTAGAACAAATTTAATTAATGACAGCAAATGTTGAGGCTTAGACTCATAATTCTCCTTTAAAGATCAAAGAATTAGAAGTAAAAGTGAAAAAAGAAGCAAACGTAGGTAGATAAAAATGAGGAAATCCATTTGAAATAATTAAATTTTATGAAATATCTTCATAAATTGAATTAATTTATTTTTCCACTGACGTGAAGAAAACATTTTTTTTTATAATTTTCATCAAAGCGTTTTCGTTCTTATCTTTTCCTCCTGTCAAAGGAAATAAAATAAAACATCGCTAATGCATGATAATAATTTAAATTGGTTCTCGTTTTAAGTTAATATCATAAATATAACATCTTATCCAAGAGGATAAATATCATCTTTCTCTGGAGCTTAAAAAATTAGTCATCATAAAAAATTCAAATTGATTAAATCTGTCTTATTTTAATCACCATTAAAATATTTATTTTTTCAATTATCAAAATATTTTGAGTTTTCAGATGGGTCTTTATTTTGTTTATTTTGCACCCTGAATTGATGTCGATTTATTATTCGTTTATAGTGGTAACATAATATTTATAAATTTCTGTTCAATCAGGGAGCTGATTAGCATTTTCATACAAGCTCACAAATTCCATTAAGTAGAAATGTGACACCGAAATTAAAGTTAATGAGATCTTTAAATTTCATAAATTAGACAAAATAAATTAATTCCATTTATAAAACTGTCGTAATTCAAAGTCAAAAAGACATGAATTGAATAGAAAGGAGGAAAAGTTTAAAGGTGCAAAGTTGTGAAGATGTGAAGAGAGCAAAAGAAACTTTTCATTTATTTTCACGTGTAATTATGATGAACACATTGTCAGTGACGCATGTTAATTCCGTGAGTTTTCAACATGGAGAAAATTTGCTGGAGCTCACGACGGTTTCACCACATGGAGAAATGCCTGAATGGGGCTACATGGCAACAGCAACAGTATTGTTTTTCATAGGATTTTTTGGATTCTTTTTGAATTTCTTTGTGATAGTGCTGATGTGCAGAGATATCCAAGTAAGTAATTAATGTTTCAGAATTTAATATTTAACGTGGGATGATTAAATTTAAAGAAATTCTTCTTATCAATCAAGTTGCTTAGACTTAAATGGAACTTATTCTGCGAGACAGAAATAAGTTAACGAAGCTTAATTGATTTATCATAAAACTTTTTGATTTCTTCTATTTGTATGTTCTTTACAAATAAAAGAAAAATGAGAGAAAACAAAATGAGATGAAATTTCTAGCTGGTTTGATTCCTTCTTAGAAAATGATTGTACATATAAAAATTCATGAAAACAGCGGGAAAAATAATTGATCTGTGGACTGTGAAAAAGAACATGATTAGATGTTCAAATATTTAAATTAAATTTATATTTTCATATCTTTGATTTTTCAGATTTGGACACCAATGAACATAATTCTTTTGAATTTAGTATGTAGCGATCTTTCTGTAAGCATTATAGGAAATCCAATAACTTTGACCGCTGCTTTACATCATGGTTGGGTTTTTGGTGAAACTGTTTGTGTTTGCTATGGATTTTTCATGTCTTTATTAGGTGAATTGACGAAACAATCTTCATAATGTCTATTTTGTGGCTGAAGAACTTTGTTAATTTATTGGTTCTTAATTCTAATCATTCGCAATCATTTGTTTTTTGACATTAATTAGACGACCCATAATGCTACTGACAAATTTAGTAACAAATTTTTTTATAATTTTGATAAGAGATATTTGTCCAATTAAACCAAGCCTTTTGCTGATGTCAGTTCTATTTATAAAACATAGTCAAGAATATAAATCAACATATTTTTTGTGGAGAATCTCGTGAGACTTCAAAATGACAGCTCACTCGCTTCCACTGTCACAAAATTTGTATGATGGAGAAATAAAATGATTTCCTTAATATTAAATTTTACATTGATAGATGCAAATTGTGTTATTAGCTTTAAGACTTTAAGTCAACTATAAGAATTATCGAAACCTTAAAAGACCCTCAAATACTGTTTAAATAATTGACTTATTTAAAAATTAAAATTCGGTCCGCCGAATTTATTTTTAATGAGAAAAGTCATGCTAACCTTTTTTGATTAATCATCGAAATGTTCTTTGAGTTTATCAAAAGGTAGAGGAAGTCGTAAAAGAATAAGACATAAAAATGTCTACAACCGGCTTTTTAACCGGTGCAAGCAAAATAAAAGTAGTAATAATTATCATAATAGTAATAACAACAAGACAAAGTTCAGCTATTAATTCGAAAACTTATAGAAACCTTAAAATGAAATTGAAAAGTAAAGAATTATTAATCATTCTACAGGAATTACGTCAATAACAACGCTGACTGTTTTATCATACGAACGATATTGTTTGGTCTCATGTCCGTTCTCATCGTCACATCTGACAAAAGCAAGTGCTAAAACAATGGTTGCCTTTATATGGCTTTATTCTTTGACTTTGACTACGCCACCATTGTTTGGTTGGGGAAAGTACGTCAACGAAGCAGCCAACATAAGGTGAAAACTTATGAATTCTTAATAAATGTTTATAAATAGATTACCAGCTGAGTACATTAAAGATACTCAAAATAATCTTGTCAAGTAATGTCATTTATTTTGAATATTAAAACTTAAAACCATTAGATAAATCAATATCAAAAAACGAAATTCAAACAATTTCTCTCAAGAGAAAAAAAATCAAAAATTGATTATTTTGTTAAGCATACTTCAGATGATTAAATCAGCATTAATTCAATCTCTTGGATATTACAATCCAATCACTCCTGACTTTTCTACAGGTTTCAAATTGATTTTTAATTTCATTTGACAGGAGAAAAATTTGAAGTTGCTTTTATTAAAGAAACTCTTACAATTCGTTTCTTCTGATTCTTCAATCACTGAATTTCTCATGTTGGTAATACATTTTTAATTTTCTTAACTTTTCCTTCGAGAATTTAACATGAAAATTGGAAAAACTTTTTAATTTATTTTTTCAAGAGCTTAATTTAATGGAATTTAATCGCTTTTCTACATTTTTCTTTTCTTTCATTGTTTTAGCTGTTCTGTAAATTGGGAAACTAAAAGTTTCAACGCAACATCTTATATAGTTTTTCTTTTCGTGTTTGGCCTTGTTGTACCTCTTATTGTCATTGTGATTAGCTATATCCGAATACTTATAACACTGAGAAAAAATGCATTACGTGCCGGACGTGTTAATAAAGTTGAGAGTAAAGTTACAAACATGATATTCGTGATGATTTTAGGTGAGTTCAAGTTATCAAAGTTTAATGATGAAAGCAAGTTTTGAAAATTTTCTGACATCTTTTTCTTATTTTAAATTTATCAAAACAGCTTTCTTCATAGCGTGGACGCCTTACAGTATTTTTGCACTGAGCGAACAATTTGGAGATCCTGATTTAATAACTCCAGCGTTTGCTGTACTCCCAGCATTGATAGCTAAATCGAGCATTTGTTATAATCCTCTCATCTACGTTGGAATGAACTCTCAGGTGAGCTCAACATTCATTCGAAATTATTTCTCTTATCTGATTATTTTTTAACATCGCAGTTTCGTGCTGCTTGGCGAAGAGTCTGTGGAAAAGAAACGAATACTCAGGCTAATATTAATGACACAATAATAAATCAAATTTCTTCAGACGCGAGTGCTAAAGTGTACATTGATTGTTCATTTACAAAACCTACTAAGAAAAGAAAAAATGATTCCAAAGAGAAAACAAGTCTGATGAATCTGAGTGCTATGAATTTAAAAACAACGAATGAGAATTTGAGAAAGAAAAGTACCATCAACACTAATATCGTGATTACTAAGAACATCGAGGTTTTCAAAAGTCCAACACAAACTTGTAACGAATTAAAATATTCTGAAAGGAATTCGTTTATTTTCCAAAAAGATAACAGAATAAAGGAAAATCGTTATGAATTGAGAATGTTTTCCAGTGAAGCTAATATTTATGGCAAAGCCATTAATCAAGTCATAAGAGCAAATTCGTATAAATCAAATGTTTGCTAAAATTAATGTTCATCAAAATAAAATTTTATTTGTAAAGGAATGAAGAACTCAAGGAATCATTGCATTAGTACAAAAAAATATCAAACTTATAATAAGAGAGTTTGCATTATAATGTCATGTAAGGATGAAAAATCATCAATCTTTGGATTTGTTTTCCTTTGAACTAAAGACAATTCAGAACGTATGAAAATATTTAAGAAAGAAGACAAAAGAGCCCTTAATCTTCTTTCATAAATATTTATTTTTCTTTATCATTAGGCAGGGAATGCTTCTGTAGCCATAAAAGCAGATTAAACTTCCCTTACCACTGCTGCCAGGAATGAAACCTGACAAAGAAAAAAAGAATTTTAAAGGTATTAGAGTACTTCAGAAATATTTCGATATTAAATTTCAAGTCATTATCTAAATGAAAACTTTGAAAAGAATCTGAGTACAAGAGGAACATAAAGAAATGTTACACAAATGTGTACAAACATAAATATTTTATTTTTGATTCGAGCTTAAAGTAAGAGAAATGATTGAAATTTTTTAAAGTGCTTTCCAATGAACTTCAATTTAGAGAAATTAATTTTCAGTCATCAGCTGGAATCGTCCCACATCATTGAATATGTACAGAAATCATAAAGAGAAGACAAATATTTTCATATCAGCCTAAAACTTTTAATGATACATAAACTAAAACTTTACAGCAGAAATTGTGAGAACATTTGATAAAAGGCTAAAAAGTTTCGAATAAAATAAAATAAATATTCCGAAGGGGTTAAGGTATTTCATTTTAACTCAATTTTCTTCTCAAGTTATCCTAGTTTCATCTTGAAGACGCTGAGCTTTTGTTTCATTCATTTCTGTTGACCTTGTTGAAACTTTGCGAACTTCAGAACATGATTTAGCAAGATAAAAGTTTTCCTAATCATTCTGATTTACTTTATTCTTGATTTACTAACAAATTTCCGATTTTGGCTTAAAGCTTACCGACTAATTACAGTCTTCATTGAAAATATTTTCCTATCTGGAAAATGAGGAAACCGAACAATTGATGTTGAGATAATTGAATTCGAATATAAGAAATTTGGATTGAAATATTTTAAAATGAAATTACCGAAAATGTTCAACAAAAGATTTTGTTCCTTTATCCAATCAGAGCTAGTTAAATTCACTGGTTTTAATCTGTTATGGAAATCGAATTTATAGAAAGACCAGTAATCGTAATTGGATCGGGAAGACAAATTGATGTTGTAATAATTGAAATAATTGTTGTATCAGATATACATTGATATCGAATTTCTTTTTAATAATCATATTTTTATAATTTGGTGGAAAATAGTCGATTTACGATGTAAAGTTCTCTGAGAAATGTTAATTGTGATATTTTCCGAAAGAAACGTAATAAATGTTCAAAAATAAAATAAAAAGGTTTCACTTCAACTTACTCTTTTTAAATATTGAAGTACAGTTTTATTGCTAATAGCATTAAGTATCTTGAAGCTTTTCATTTCCAGCAACGTCTGTGTTTTGAGGCAATTTTAATTATAGAAATCTGTTGTCTCTATAAATACGAATGACACTCAACCTTTAAACCTTTATGAAAGAAATTAAGAAACGAGTTCCAATATTCGCATCACTGATTTGGTTTGAAGTATTTACTTCGAATTAATCCTTAATACTTCATTTATCCTGAAATGGTTGTAAACAACTTATGCAATGTGACACTTGTTGATATATTGTATGGAAACATTTTCTGATTGTTGATCGTTGATTGTTTCCATGGAATCACTGCACTTGTTTATTGACAGTTAGTTCTCAATATTTTTACTTATAATATTTCTGTGATTACTTTTGAAGTTGCTTAGTATCTTATGACATTAGTTTAGTGATGTAAAACTAAATTATTGGATAAGAAGTGTTATTTGTCTAATTCTTGTTTTGGTTGCGAGTTACATGCTTGCAAAAATCAAAACCATCTACAAATAAGTTTAGTGCTTTCAAGTGAATTGCATAATACTTGATTATGTTTAGGTAGAAATTTATATTTCATTCTTTTAAGAAATGGTTTCGGTAAACATTTCAAAACTGCACATATCTGTGTAATAATAATTCAACTTATTAAGAAATTTAAATACAAACTGCAATGTTTACAAAAGAAAAATCAATTTTATATGAATTCATTAAGCATTAAAGCAATCAGATGGCTAAAGGTAATAATTATATCGAGTGTAGCGAAAATATTTGATATTATCTGATCGATTTGACGTCTGAACGAATTTAACCTATTTAAGCACAAAAAGTCAATTGAATGTGATGTTTATTTCAATTTGAAGTTTATCTTTAGGAATAACAGATAAATAAGCTAAGTCAACGTGATCTGTTAAATGCTTGTCACTATCGTATCAATTTCTTACAACAAATAAATGGCAATTCGTGAATGTCTTGATAAATGGAAAGCGAGCTTTTCTTGGATAAATCGAATCCCACACATTAAAGCTTAATGAGTTGCCTTTTTTATGTATTGCTTTGTGTTATGTCCATGTATTGAATGCATGTTGGAGGGTGAGCGGACAATTTTTCTCGTATCCAATATTTCAGTTCATAAATTCTGATTTTTTTAGTTCATCGCGGACAATGCTCGTGATTCATATCTTTATATAAACGATTTCAGTATTCTAGTGAAACAAATTATTTCATATCAGTTTTATTTTTACCAACGAGTGTCTTCAACGTGGCTGTTATGTTTATTCACTTAAATTCAATAGAATTTATTTTGTTTTGTGGTTCACTCTTTACCACGCTGTTGTGGAGTTAATTACTGTTGTTAAATAAGTAATTTTACAATAAATGAAGAGTTAAAACAGTGACAATCATAGAATTTACTCAAACCTTCACAGTAATTTAATACTTAAAAGTTATCATTAGAACTATCAACTGTGTGAATTACAAAAAATTCTTCTATTGACGCCCACACTAAATTAGATTTCTGAAATTTATGAAAATTCATTTATTTTGAATATTTAAAGTGCTAAATGTAAAATAACTTTTTAAGCTCCCTAGAGAAATTTTATGAAGCGTTATCTCATTTGTAATCACAAATGCAAGGTTTGAAGTTATGAAATTTGATACACCTATTCAAAGTGATATTTATTTAATATTGTCAGATCACAATTTGTAAACTTTTAACAGTGAAAAATTCCATGCTTTTAAACCTTAATAGTTAAACAGAGACCGGAAATAATAGACTTTTATGAAGGTTTCTATTATTCATTTTATGTGGATTAAATATGTAAACTTTGAAGAATTCGTCAGCAGAATTTTAAACACCATCAACATAAAAACATCTGCTTCAACATATTTCTTAAAATATAAACGAAAACATTGAATATTTGCAGAAATAAATTAAACGAGAAGAAAAATGGAAGCTGACTCAATAATTTGGACATCTTACAGTTCAAATTCGCTTGGTAAGCAATTCAAGTATTTTTAATTAATTATTCAATATGTGGGTTGACAACCTTTGAACTTTCAATTTTCTATGACATGTAACATGAATTCATTATTTTCTAATTAACATAATTTCAAGCTTTTAACGTAATCATTTCATGTACACCTAATTCCAGAAACATCTTTAATTGCTTGAACTTCGTTTAGGTTGTAAATATAATTAAATGTCTGCATGAATATTCATTTAACTACTTTACGAGCATCTGCCTGGCTTATTTCGTTAACATGCGATAAAAAAAATTGGATTTCTTATCTTACTTTATTAGTCACATCTTTTCTACGTGATACACTTTTGTGTCAATTTCATTTCTTTTATCTGAAAAGTCAGAAATATTCACTCGATCGAATTGCAACCCCTGAAGAAATCAAACGTCTTTTATCATATTTTTATCGTTTGACAATTTATTATTTTGGGGAATGAAATTATGAAAAAATGATTCCAATTCATGGTTTTAGTGGATAATGGTCAACAGAACGGTAGCCATATAATCAACAAAAATGAACATATAAAGGATTCAAGCCTTGTAGGCGTACAATCGAGGTAACGTTTACACAAATTATGAAGTTGTGTGATTCTTGTCGCAAAGCCTAATTGTATCAATATTATGCTCTCAGATTTCGCCGTAAATATTATAACAAGCTGGTGAATATTCGAACGGTTGATGTCATTCTCGTCTTGATTATCCTTTTGTTAATAATTGCTGTTATTGTGATGGCATGCATGTGTAAGTGGGTCTAAAGTGCTTCTTACTAACAAGCTTTTGAAGTGTAACTTTCGATAAGTAAAATTGAAACATGTCTAAGAGCTTCAAGTAATGCTTCAGTAACACAAAAGCCGATTAAGTTTGAGCTTAGCAATAGACCAAGTATAACTCTTTTCCTTTTTTAATAGGGTCAACTTCTGAAAACATTTGTTATTCTAATGGTAATAATTTATTGCACGTCAGGGAAATATGAGAAGCTAACTTCTATTTTCAGAATGCCTCAGGACTTCTTCAACGTTTCTACAAAATATGGATTTATCCGCACATCCTTGTGAAGATTTCTTCCGTTTTACTTGTGGAAATTTCGAAGTCGAACATCCACGACCTGACTCACAGACTTCACACGACTGGTATTAAAAGATAAATTGAAATTTAAGACGTGGAGAAAAATTTATCTTGCTTCATTTGAAGGTTTACAGAGAAGCAGTCGAAAGTTTTACGCGATATAAAGAAGAAGCTTCAAAGCACTTCAATAAATTCGGAACATAACGATGAACCAGATGCTGTTGTTAAAGCGAAAATGTTGTTCAAAAGCTGTTTAAACTCGGCTTTAAACGATAAGCTTCAATTTGATCCGTTATTTCGCTTACTGGGAGATTTTGGTCTCCCAAAGCTGCCTTCAATTATTGAAAATCCCACTACAAATGATGTGAAACTTCAATGGATTAAAATCATAGCTAAAGTGAAAAGATCTTTAGGTGTTGACATTTTGATGGGTTTTGACGTTTTTACAGATCCAATGAATCGGACTCATCAGTATTTAGCTTTCGGTACACCTTCTCAAGAAGACGGATTGCCTTTGTAAGTGAATCTGAAAAAGTTCAAGTTGAAAAGCATCATCACTTTCGAGAGTCTTTTACAATGAGAGAGTCTTAACCTCTTGACTTTGTTCAAGTTGTAAAATAATCTTTCATTGAACAGTCTTCAAATGCTTCTTTTCCTAGAAAAACCTTTTTGTGTGTGACTTTAATATATCTTAAATGATAAAATCTTTTTCATTGCTATTTACAGAATTGACGACATTCTCGCAAAGCGACTGAGGAGAGTTCGACGTAAGATTTCATCATCAGTTGAAGCGAAAAAACAAGAAAGCAGTGATTATGAAACGGAAGGTTCCGAAGTCGTTCTAGCGGCATACGCAACGTACATGAAAGAAGTAATTTCAGCTATAACAATGAAAACAAATGCAGCAGAATTATACGCGGAAAATATTTTGAACGCTATAAAAGTGACAATCGACATTTCAAGAGAAGTTTTTATTTATGTTGAACGTGCTGAAAACGCATCGAAAGCCGAAATTCGTGGTGGAAATGTTTCCGAATTAGTTTACATAAAGGTTGCCGACTTACAAAAGATTATCGACGATGATGTGTCGTCTCCTTCTTCTGTGCTTGAAACGTACTTAACAGAAATTCTAAGCGGAATTAAAGAAGCACAGTTTGATTTCGACAATGATGTGATATTGACAAGCAAGGCTGACATACTTTATTTGAAGCTTGTCATGAAATTGATTTATCAACTTCCGCCAATACATTTGGAAATGTTCATCTGGTGGAGTGTCGTTGAAGATTTGATACTTTACACGACAACAAGCATGAGACATCTTTACTATGACTACTCAAAAGCAGTGACGGGAGTAGATGGAGCAGTTTCTCGTCAGAGTTATTGCTCGGCAACTGTCAATAAGCTTATGGGATTTGCTGTAAGTTATCTGATTCTTGAAGACGATTTCATGATTAAAACAAAGCCAAAGGTTGAAAAGATGCTTCATAATATTCGAATGGCGTTTGAAAATCTTGTACGTCATGCTACGTGGATGGATTTAGAAACAAAAGAAAGCACCTTGAAAAAATCTCAAAGGATGAAAAGTTTAATTGGTTTTCCGGACTGGATTTTGAATAAAACAAGTCTTGAGTCACATTATGAACCTGTAAATTTTCTATTTATATTAAATAACACTAACTTTTGAATCACGTTCATAGTTGTTAATATTTTCCTTCCTGTTTTTAATTAGATAAAAATTAAAAACGACACGTGGATGAAAAATATTGTCGAACTTTTAACATGGAGCTTTGTTGAAAAGTTATCAAAGTGGCGCATGAAGCATGAATTCGAGTGGGCAACAAGTCCTACAAATGTTAACGCATTTCATACATTCCAAGCCAATGCTATAAGTAAGATGAAAAGAAAATATGAAGTTGATTTAAATCATTCGATCCCAAAGGGTGAATGTGAATGTTTATTTAATTTCACTAAGTGTTTTTGAAATATTTTCTCCTAATACAATGAAGTGTAAGACGAGAGATAATCTAAAAATAAACGAAATTATTTACATTTCAGCAATTCCTTTGGCCATACTGCAGTTTCCTTTTTATCAGCTAGGATTAGAGTAAGAACCTTTATTCAAATTGCTAAAAAGCTTTCTTCACCTTTATTGTTCATGAAATTGTCTCAAGCAAATCCCATTGTTTTATTTCCTTTTCTAAGACATTTTTTCATCTTAGAATTTGAAGAGCACTTGCAATTTATTTAATTTGATTGATATCATCTGACATGTCATGGCGTAAAAATTTATTTTTCTTCAATAACAATTTTTATATTCTCGCAGAGCATTGAATTATGGAAGTATTGGAAGTATTCTGGCTCATGAACTTACACATGGTACGAATGTTTACGACACATCATCAATCATAAAAAACTTTCATAAATCATGATTTTTTTTAATGTCTTTGATTAAGGTTTTGATGATATTGGAAGGCATTTTGATGAAGAAGGCAATAAAAACTATTGGTGGACAGAAACGACTGTGAAAAATTTTGTTAACAGGTAAACACGTTAAGTAAAATTGCGAATCACCTCACTAAACATTTTCTTCCAGAACTGAATGCTTTAAAAAGCAATACAGTAATTACATCTTACCTGATATTGGAGAATATGTGAGTTGTTAACCTTTAGATTAAAGATTACCTTCTACAACCTAATTAGATATCATTTCACTGAGCTAAGAAATGATTAAACTAATTAATAACATTGTAACAGATTAATGGTGAAACAACTTTGGGAGAAAATATTGCTGACAACGGGGGTGTGAGGGAAGCTTATTACGCTTATAACTATTACGTTCAATCAGTTGGAAAAGAGCAAAAGCTACCAGGTACTAAGTAATAGCTTAGCAACAATTTTTTCCACCTCAACGATTTTAAATTACAATTCCATCAACACTTTGTTAAATCGCTTTTCACGTCAAATATTTTTAGCCTTTTTAAGCTTTAAATCTTTTCTTTTTTCGACACGAAAAATGATTTAAACTTTATAGAAAATATTCATGTGACATGATTTGTTTTACAGGTTTCGAGTCTTACAGTCATGAACAAATGTTTTTCATATCATATGGCAATTTGTGGTGTGAGACAATGACTGAAAGTGGGCTGAGGTTTGCTCTTGACGACACTCATTGTCCAGGGAGAATAAGACTATTAGGAGCCCTTTCGAACTTCAAAGAATTTCATAAAGCCTTTGAGTGCTACCCGGGACAAAAATACCATAAGACAAAAGATGAAACCTGCATTATTTGGTGAATTATTTTTAATGAACCCGTAGAACAATTTTGAAAACGTGTGTGATATGCTAGACAATGAAATATTAAAGGAATTTATTTAGATAATTGAATTTCTTTTCATTTTATTTCTTATGATTAAATCTAAAAGTTTTTATTTCATCTTTGCTATTTTTATTTATTTATAAAAATGTTTTCAAATCCTAAACCCCATAAAGAATAAATGTTTAAGCCTTAAACACAACCCGCTTGCTTGCTTGCTTGTGTCTCTCTTTTCTCTCTCAGCTTGGCTTGGCTTGGCTTGCCTCATTTTTCTCAGCTTGCTTGCTTGGCTTGTGATCCGGATATCTCTCAGCTTGTTTTTACGGCTTGCCTTGGCCTTCAGGATATTTCAGCTTGCTTTTTCGGCTTGCTTTTTTATCCCGTCACTCTGCATTGTCCCAACTTCTCTTATTTAATTAAAAAAAATTTTCAAACCGGGATTCGAACCCAGGACCTCTGGCACAAGTTCTTGCACTCGTACCTCGAGGCCAAATCCTTCTTCTCAAACGAATGGCAAATGTCCTATATAAACTATTATTGTTTCCAAGTGAATTTCAAAAAAATTTTCTGACTTCAANAACCTCTTCGAAGGTTTTTTATATCGCTCACCCACTTTCATTCAATTCTCGACCCAATCATAGAAAAGGTTGAAAATTCTCATGGAAAATTGAAAATTAAATTAAAAAAATTCGTTTCAAAGGAATCTAAGCTAAGAAAAACCAATTTTCACAAAATTGTTAACTTAACATTAAAACATCTTTTTTTATTCAATTCCCTATAAAAATATTATTTTCAATTGAAATTTATTTTTGATATCATTGATCTCATTTGCAGTTTGTTAGCCTTTTAACATTTTTATTAAAGAAAAGATATTCCAGGAAATTCTGCTTACAGCCATTCATAAACATAAACAGCGAAACAAATTTAAGCTGCTTAATTTAGAACGTGATCAATTATGTACGAAACAGCTTGTCTAGCTAAACAGAAAAATTAAAGCATAAGTGATGGATGAATACTTTCGGTCCGAAAATATAATCTACAGGAAATTAACTTCTATTAGGTCCAGGAAAACATTTCAATGGAATCATGCAGTTAAATCCTTTGTTTTATTTTTCTAAAAGAATAATGTAAAAGTTGATAACCTTATCAATTAATAATTAACCTTTAAATCTTATCATTAAAGTAAACATTTAAAGGCATTTAACTTTCATTTAATTGATCGATGTGGATGGAGAGGCATCGCAAATATTTTCACATTAGCATATTATAAGCTTCATCGACCAAAATCCATCTAGAATAGACGCTTTTATCCTTAATCAAAATAATCGCCTAGCTAATTAAAGTTAGAAAAAATATATTCAAAAAAATTTTGAAAAACATCNCTATTAGGTCCAGGAAAACATTTCAATGGAATCATGCAGTTAAATTCTTTGTTTTATTTTTCTAAAAGAAACATGAAGAAGTTGATAACCTTATCAACCAATAATTAACCTTTAAATCTTATCATTAAAGTTAACATTAAACTTTCATTTAATTGATCGATGTGGATGGAGAGGCATCGCAAATATTTTCACATTAGCATTATAAGCTTCATCAACCAAAATCCATCTAGAATAGACGCTTTTATCCTTAATCAAAATAATCGCCTAGCTAATTAAAGTTGGAAAAAAGTTTTATTTTATTAAAATAACAACAAGTACAAAACCAACGAGAAATTTTGTGGTTTTAACTCTGCCTTTCGTTTTGTAGCGTTACCCTTGAATATTTTTGGATGTAGGCTACAAATAAATTTTATTTGAATAGAAAAATGTTTAAACCTATTAAAGTCAACTTGACCTTCATTTCTCCTTTTTGAATCCACAATCTAACAGACTCAAGTGCTTTTTGACAACTGGTAGGTTTAAAAAATGTCAGAATGAATAATCGTCCTTAATTATTCATTTTGGCAAATGTGACTTACAGAAGATAAAAATGTGATTTGATTAAAATCTTCACATCATAAAAAGCTTTAATACAGACATTTAGGGATTCAGAAGAACTCGGTTTATCCTACCCTTTGATTAAATCACATCCAAAGTAAATCCTTCACATTTAACATGCTTAAAACTTCGGTAAATAAATGTTGTAAACAAATAATCGATAAATGGTAATAAGTAAGACGATCTTTTTCACAAATTTATATTTCTTCTTTTATTTAATAATTATGTTCAGTTTTCAATATTATTAGAGCATGACAATAGAACTATTAATTATCCTTTCAATACATAATGGATTCTTTACATAAAGAAGCATTATTTACTTTGATGGCATTGGATGTTTGCAGTTTGTCTTTTGCTTTGAAGGTTTCTTTAATCTTTTCTACAACAGCTCCTCTAGGTACATTTTCTAGGATATGAAAAATAAATTTCAAACGGGGATTTTTCTTCATCACATGTGGCGAAAGTAAGAAGTGCGATGACAATTTGACGTTGTATAGATTTTTAAATTTTTTACAGCTCAAACATTTGCTTTTATTTAGCCACAAATCAATTAAATAATTAATAATAAATAGTTAACAAGAAAACGAAAAAGGAAAAACAAGAAAAAAAACTTTTCTATTGCACCCAATAAGCTGGCGCCCAAATTGATTCATTCTCAGCGCGAGTCACGGATTTCTCCAATTTATCAAATGCTGCATCAAGGTCATCATTAATGATAGTGTCATCAAAGAAATGACCGTAAAGAAATTCAATTCGATCAGCTGATTTAATCATTTCATTAAACTCGTCATCCTTTATGAACAACAAAGAAAAACAATTTGAAATAAATTTTATTATCGAATTTACAATCAAATAAATTCATTTACCGTGAATCCTCGAGATCTCGTCTCATCATGAGTTGAAATAGCTTTCGATGTGAGTCTCGACATTTTCAACTCTTGGAACGCGGGAGGCTTGATGTGAATTATATATGGCTTCAGTTGTGGTGTTCTCAATGCTTTGATAGCTTGATAATGTGGATTCAAAATGCAAACTCCTCCAACATTCATAATATTTTTGACACTGTCAGCTGATGTTCCATATAATTGACCTTTAAACTCTCCATGTTCAATAAATTTGCCACTTGCGATGTCAGCTTCCATTTTCTCACGTGACACAAAAATGTATTCACGTCCAGATACTTCACCTTGGCGCATTGGTCGCGTTGTATCTGACGATGAATCAATTAAATTAAGTTTTTTTATACAAAATTCTAAACATTTTCATACTTACAAGGTACTGGAGAAATATATTTTTCTGAATCTTTTGTGCTTAGTAAACGAATAAGTTCATTCCTGCCAACACCAGGTGCACCGATCAAGACAATTGGACGGTAAACTCCTGGTCTTGGAAACAGCTTAGCAACTTCCTCGTAAGTTGGAATCAACTCACGATCAAAATCGTCATTTTCCGCTAGATCATACATAATCTTTTTAGTTTTAGGACCTCGACATGAACTGTTTGATGGATATGGACTGCCAGGTGGAGTGGAACAGATTGATGTGCATGAACCTTTGATGTTTATGATTGTTATTGGTTTTATTAGGTTTTTACGAGTAGTTATGTTTATAATTCATTCAATGATGTGTTGTGTGTTAATATGGAGATAGAGAAAAGCAGTGAATGTTAGTAATGGAAAAGAATTTAGAAAACATCTGAAGGGATGGAAAAAAATTGACTTTTGTATTATTCAACTCACTTTTTGATTCACTTCCACTTGTATCTTTAGAGATTTGATTTCTCTCATGAATTATGCGACGTTCTTGTAATGCGCGTGAAGGGATCAAACCTGCACGAGTAGTTTTGTCAACTTCCTTTCTTGCTTGCCACCAATACGCGTCATCCTATGATAAAAATTGTTTTTTTATCTTTTAAATTTTCTTAATAAATTTTACAAACCTGTGAAACAATGTGCAGAATATCACCGCGATTAAAAGCAAGTCCAGCTTCTTTGCATGGAATGTATGGATCGTTGTCGGGATCATAGTCAAAATACGCTTTAACTCGTACTTTACTCTCACGTTGACCCATTTTACCATCAGTTGGAACGAGCTTGAATGTTATTATTCCACCAGAGTTTTGCTGATGATAAAGTTTAAATGATCAATTAAATTAACATTTTTAATCAAATAATGAAATAATCACCAAAATAGTTAGAACATCAGCAGGTGTTTTGCCTTCTACATTAATGTTGTTAACTTCAATTACTTCGTCGCCGACATGAATCAGACCAGATCTGTCGGCAGCACCACCTGAAGTGATTCATTTAGAAAAAAGAAAATGATAAAAAGGAAATTTTATAGAAAAGAAAACTCACCATGCATTATCCGAGCTATGATAATTTTTCCCGTCTCTTCATCAGTTTTAATGGTTGCGCCCTTCATAGAGAAATTTATGATTGTAAGTTAATAAATTGGAAAGATTTATCAAATGTTACAACATACATTTAGAATCATTCGTATTCAGAGTTTTCACATCTAATATAAAAATTTACTGAGAATAAAATTTGAAACAATACGTTCACATAAACATTTCTAAGAATTTTATCTAAAAACTTAAATTGATATCTATACGTGGAAGAAATTATATTTTAACCTAAGACTTGACCTATACACCAACGAATACTTACTACAATAGGCTCCGCACTTTGTGATTGTGCGCCATTCTTTGCAGCAATTTTAATTATTATTTTGAAAAATATTTTTCTATTATTTATGCAGTTAATTTCATTAGTTATAAATTTTTGTTTTCTGATATGTTTTATATTTCAAAAAGAAGAGAACAAAATTATTCTTTGAAATTAATGAAAGCTATCAAAGACATTGAAAATTAAAGTTACAATCAAATGAATAACGAAACGCTTTTAATGATTTTGTAAGTGAATGTTTGAAAATAGAGTTAAATGAAAATCTGACATGTACGAGTAGATCAAATAGCTGAGATTGAATAAAATTCAAATCTAAGATATTTTGAATAAAAGAAATGATGAATTTTAATTCATTGGTGTATGGAAATATGTAGACAATTAAGAAAAATTGTAATGCGAATAAAAAATTTTCTTACCAAAGGCTCGTTACTTTTGACTAGTTGAACAATTTTTATAGTTTCTTCATCTTCATCCATTTCAACAGGAATTTCAGGCAAATGTGGATAAAAGTCTTTTTGCGCTACAGCGTCATGAGCACACATCAAGCTCTGTAAAAGAATGATATAAATCAATTTAATTAATGAAGATTGTCGTCGAGAGACAAACCTGTAAGTGGGGTGTTTGAAGTAAATGAAAAAGTTCTTTGGCAACCGGTGAAATATGGCACCGGGGAGCTAAAAGTTCAAGAATTTCCAAAGCAACCTAAAAAGAATTTTCAAATATTTATTATTTCTCAATCATTCATAGCAAATTATTAATAATATTTATTAAGTTATACCTGCATAGAGGCTGATAAAACGGGAGCAATACGATCATCTTTTCCAATTTTGGCAACTTTGTGGTGAACATTAACAAGTGCATTAATCTCTTTCGACTGCAAAAGTGATTGTAAAAACTGAAGTTCTTGTTCTCCAGAAAGTTTATTGTCAGCTTCGTTCAAGGAAGTCAACAGCTTCGATAAAACTGGGAATGAAATGCCATTAAGTAATCAGCTTAATATATTTGTAGCAATTTTACCTGGATCAAATTCGGAGGCCATCATATTTCCTGATAATCATTTATGTTTCGCTTCAAGCCCTTTATTCTTCCTTCGACTTCCTTCGGTCGTAGATATTTCAGGATGTTTGGAAAACAAAGTAAATTAACTTTCTTAGTCAACGTTTTCTTACAATAATTAGATTTTCGTTTCTTTTTCTCTTCGAATTTCAGCTTTAAACAACAACAACAACAACACATCGAACATAAAATTCTTAAAGAAGAAAAAGAAAATTTGACACAAGAAGCAACGTGGTTGGAATTTGAGATGAGAATAAATTAAAATCGGCTGATTAAGTTTTTGTTTATTTTATATAAAAAGTCATTATTCGGAAATATTATCTTGAAAAATGAAATAAAGCAATTTAATGTCAGCTAATTCGTTACAGTCGGTAGTCCAATTACAGATTTACAATGAAATCAATTAAAAATGTATCGAACCTTGAATAGCACAATGTCAATTAGCATTGAATTTATACAAACAACATTAAAATTCAGTCTATAAATTCTTTCACTAGGTTTCCATGGGATTTTCTACATCACAGAAATTTCCTACCTAGAACAATTTTTTTGGCCTTCAGGAATTTATGGGCCGCGGAAAATTAATTTTCACAGGAAAAGAATTTTTATTCAGTTTTTCTTGTTTGTTGCAAAATAATAATTTTATGAAAACTGCAGTGTTTGAATAATCGTATTTAATTTCAAGCTGATATCTTAAGTGGAAATGTAACATATTCTTGTAATTTTTGTTTTATTATAGAACGTCATAAGTATCAAATTTTTATTTTCTTTTTCATTCCCTTTTCATCTTAAAAAACCACTTTACTTGTCTTGATTGACGCCAATGAATGAATAAAAGTGATTTTCTCATCTTTTATTTTTATATTTTTCTAAACAAAAATAGATTCGAGAAAAATTATGCAAAAATTTATTGCAAAATTATAGTTTTTCACAGGATATTTTGCGATCCTTAATCAATAAAGATTTTCCTGAGATTTTTTCTTTTCTTCACTGGTTTCTGAATATTTTTCACTAATTTTTAACTCACCTTGCCGGGTTTAAATTGATAAATTTTGTTCAAAACTGCAAGAACCAAAATTATAATTTTCTCGTTTTTCACTATACCTACATTTCCATGTACATAAATAGCACGGAAACATAAAAATATCATGTTGACAAAACTTTTCGCGTCTGTCTGTCCACGAGAAAATTGTCAAGTTGAAGGAATTTCTTCACAATCAATTTATTAAATCTATCAAGTTAATGAGTTAAAATAATCCTACCCATTAAATTCCCATCGCATTACTTAACATTAAAAAATTACAAAAAGGGTGTTTGTATAAAAGGTTTTCCTTTATTTTTATTTTCAAAAACAATTTTCTTACTGATTCTAATTTAAAAATTTCTACTTTCCCTTCCTTGACAATTTTTTTTTCTTGATCGGCGTTTCTTTACTTGAAGATAATGCACTTGTCATTTCTTCAGCTTCAATTTCTTCTTTTACTTGTTTTCGGCCATGATATAAGCCCGTATAGTACCCACTCATGTACCAAGACATAAGCATAGCAGACATATATTCAGATTCTCCAGAACTGCTGAACATAGCTGGTGGCATCGGAGGCTACAAAAGATATTAAATAATTAGGAACAAAATATAACTTGAACAGAAGTATTCAGTCACCATGGGTGGAACTGGAAGTCCATCACGCACACCTTGAGATTTATTCAAAATAAAGTTATGGAGACCTTCGTGGTGCTCTTCTTTTTCGCTTGATTCATGTTGATCAGCTTCTGCTAGAATCTTTTGTTCTTCACGAGCTTCTGGTCCCCATGAAGCTACTAAGTTTTCCATACTGACTCGCTCTTCATTTCCATATCCTATGTACCTAATAATACAATTTCCATTTTCATTTATTGAGAGTATTTCTGCTTCGTAATCTACACCATCATCAGCAAATGTGCAACGAACGTAATCACCAACTTTGAAATCTTCATTACCAGATGTTGATGCTGCATCGATGTCACCTTCAACATCTGATGATTCCACCTCTTCGTCAGATTTTTGTTTTTTGTTTGTGTTCATAGCAAGCTGTTTTGCAACTTCTTCTTTTTGAAGTCGCACTGATTCTTCATATGCCTTAATAAGAAGAGTGTCATCCCAGATATCATCATGTTCCGATCGTAATGAAGCTTTCTAATATGTAAGAAAAATGTAAACAAAGGTTTTGTACATAAACGTATAAACAATTCTAGTTACCTTTCCTTTTTTGAATAAGGTTTGTGGCATTCTGATTGCTTTAAGCTAAGGATAGTAGCGTGTAATTTTTTCTTAAATATATTTGTTAAGGTTTTAAATGATTATCTAAATAAGATTTATTTTTTAACAATTTTGTTTATACCTAGGAAGATTTAAAACGCTAGGTAGCATTATTGAAATAGCTTGAAACCTACCATGACGGACTGTCAAATGTGTCTTGGGTAGAATTTGAAAAAAAAAATAGCTTGTTACCCCTCCAATTTTACCTGAAAAATGTACAGGGTTTTTGTTTATAATGTTTCGAGATAATTGCCTCGTGCCCCGACGGTTCGCGCGGATTTGACCTTCCATACAAAATGTACATGGTTTTTGTTTATGATGTCTCGGGATAATTGCCTCATACCCCGACGGTTCGCGCGGATTTGACCCATCATACAAAATGCACAGAAAAAATTTCTCCGTGCACGAGATTTTCTCCGTGCACGAGATTTGCGATGGCAGCGCCGCCAATGATTAAAACTCTAAAATAAATTCACGATTGAACTTGGAATGAATGAAGAAGTGTTTATAATTTAATCTGTTTAAAGCTCTCCCGCGTTATTTTTTGTTTTCGTTCTTTCTCCCTTTCTCATCGCTTGATACAAAGCCATCATAAGTAAGAACGAGACTGCTTTTTAAAGCAGTGCGAGTTTGGTTTAACAGCAGATCAGTTCGAACTGACAGCTCTAAGCTTTAACACATCAAATGAAAACGTAGTGCGGTGAAGTAGAGTTTTTATTTTACTCTTTTATAAACAATTTCCGAGTGAAACATTTTATCGTTATCATTAATTTAAAATAGTAAACTAAGTAACAAAACAAAATTTGGTGTTATTTTAATTAAAAGTAGATGAACATTTAATGACATCTAACTCAATAAGAAGTACAAAAGTACAAGTGGTTACAGATTAAAGTCACATTTATTGTAATTCAACGTGAAAACTTAAAACAATGGGATTAATAGGCTGGATTAAAAAGTAAGTAATAAACTCGATATTGGATTCAACTTTTGAATATTTGAAGTGAAACAATTAAAGAAATATTCTGTAAAATATTCCATTTAATGGTAACACATTAAAATGGCTTCTCCAGAGATACATTTTCATTCATATCACATTTCCGATTTGCAAATTTTTCCGCTTTATTTTCATCATTGAAATTTCAAAAGCGCTTTTGTTAAGTGTTTTGTTCATTGTTGAGGTCTGCAGACAATTTAACCGTTCGACAGTAAAATAACATTAACAACAACAATGACTCGGGATATTAGGTAAAAGATGTTGATGATGGGAATTTCCGTGGATGATGCGAAAACTGTCTGCTCTATCGTGTTTCTTCATGTCGATAGAGCGTGCATTACCTGCTTGATTGACCCTTTCATTGAGTCCAATTGGATTCTTTTTAATGAGTTTAATGAGCGGGCTTGGTTGTTGGCATTCTGACCTAAATAGGCATACATGCAAACATTGTTACGATAAACAGTTGAGATTTCAAGATCACGTATGATTACAATGTATAAATAAAAGAATAATAAACTTTTCATCTGCCAATTTGTAATTCATCTGCTCTAGAAGCTTCACGGTTTCAGTAGCAGTTCAGTTGACCACCTATGTAATGAGGAAGGGAACTTTTCAATGCCATTTTTTTCTTATTACTCAGCATTAAGCTTCTTGAATATTCACTTCAACTCTGTAAAATTGCAAACGTGAAAGGTAAAATTCACCAAGTAGAAAATATTTTATATCAGGTGGAGGCACTGAAGCATATCTCCAGAAAGAGCAAAATTTTATGGTAAAAAAGAGTGTATGACATACGAAAACAGATTAAAGTTTAGTTGATGGTGTTAGTATAGTCTCATCTTATGTCATTCACTTGTTAGTGAATTGTTGCTTGTTTCCCATCAGTGGTCATGCGAAAATTTCATAACTTAATCGATTTATTGTACCTTCGTCTCATTTAACGAAGCAACTTTTGTTACAAGCTATAATTCATCATCAATCTACCTGAACCGACGTTGATGATTGATTCAACAGCTGTAAGATTTAAATGCAAGTAAAAGAAGCGAAAGTTTTCTAAGAAAACTTTATGATGCCTAAAAATTTTAATTTACTTTTAATGATAAAAAAAGAACGAAGCTCATGTTCGAGTGCCACAAACAATGTTTCACTCCAAATACTTCTCGGTTTGTTTTCGCTCTTTAATCTCAATTCTCGACTACCATCATTCAACAAATTCCACAAAACTTTTCATGGTTTTCTTTTCTTCATTTTTTATTTTTGTTAACATTGAGATATAAATTGAATTGTTGTCTGAAGGAGAGAATGAATATCGGTATAATTGTTGGGAAGAAATTCTTGACAGTAATTTATCAAATTAAGAAATCTAACGGTATTTTAATTAATTGAATGAGAATAACAAATTAATACTCAAAATAGTTTAACACGTTTTCTTATTCTACTTATCTACGACTATCGCTGACTGAAGTCGTCATTCCACTTAACAAAGCAAAAATTTGTTTTGTATTTTTTTTTGTTTAGTTTCAAAGTAATTTTTGCGTTTTCATATCAACTTTCGGATCAATTGATTTCAAAGAAACCGCGAGAATAGAAAAAGTGAAACGAAAGGCATCAGTCGAAATTTCCATCGGTCCAGGAAATGAAACTGAATGAATGTTTGAGAAAACAGTTGAGCGAATCGTGTAAATGTTTTTTTTTCATCAATTTCTTTCTTGCTAAGATTTCATAGATCGATGTAATGAAATTCTTGATGATCGTGAAGAATTTTTCTTTGGTTTTTCAAATGTTCAAAGCCGATTGCATGACACGCTTCATTAGTTCATTCATCAATGTTAAATTTCAAAAACAACAATGTTAATCAACTAATTAAATTTACCGCTTATAATCTTGCCGTTCACCTCAGATAAAACTCCACAACATAAAGTAATGTTCATCGTTCACTAAAATGTGATGAACTAATTAACTCTTCCATTCTTTTATGTTCACTTGTTCAAGATATGCTGCGCTTACTTTTAAACCCACACATGCATTCCGTGATTATCTGATTTCTCCGGTGATCTTAAAACTCTTAAAACTTTTCTTTTTCCTAAACATTTAAATTGCAGAACAATGACTTGTAGAAATCGTTTGATTGTTTTGCGATTGTTGATGATGGAGATTCTTAGAGATGGAAGTTGAAAAATTCTAATTAAATATAATAGCGGGAAGTAAGCAGTTGTTTTACGTTCATTCGATCTTTGCTACGACGTTCCGTTGTTGATGGCGAGTAAATGTCAATTTTAAAAGCGGAAATATTTCTTAAATCGTCTCTTGAGCGTCAATGTTGATGATTGCAGTACGTAAAGACTTTCTTATAGCAATCGTGAGTTAATTATGATGCTTCCAATCGTAAACTGAAGTCAAAGTGAATTTCATATTCGTGCATCGCATTTACAGATGATCGGTAATAAAGTGTTCGTTCGTTGTTCATATTTAGTCAATTTAGAGTCAATCTTAAATCCATAATTACGCTGGAAGTTGAAACTAACATTATTCTTTCATCGTAATATTTAATAACTTTCTCGCGTGTTTTTCTGCTTATCATTACGACTGATGATTCAAAATAACAAGTGTTGCTAATGTTTTGGTTTTGAAGTGGATTGTCTATTTAAAAATAAAACTTTTGTAACCATTTTTGGAGATCATTTTTGACATCGGCTTAACTGACTGCTCAAGCAATAACAAATGAAGAAACATGCAAAGAAGAAGAAAAGAAGTTAAAGAGCTTTTCTCTTCTTCTTCTGTTCTAACAAACAAGCATTTAACACGATAAAGTCAACGATACCTTCAATTAGCAAGTGTATTGAACATCACGAAAAGCTAGGCTCGATTCTCGAGAACAGCAAAAATTAGTAAATCATTTCTATTCTTTTTGTGGCACATCGCGTTTGAATAATTTCCCATGCACAACTTCATGTGAAACAAAAGGCTCTAAAAATTTAGATTAATTGCTAATTGAAAACTAAGAAATTGTTTTTTGCTTCTCGAGAAATTTATGAACTGAATGATCGCATTCCTGAAATCTAAAGAAAATAAAAGAATTTCGTTCGCTCTATTATTTGAAGGAATGTTATTGCTGCTTCAACAAAGATTTGAAATGAAAATTGATGTAAAAAATATAATTTAGATTGCAAGATTTCTTCATCAATAACTTCAAATTTAATCCACACACTTAGTGAACAGCAGAAACTTACATTCGAATAATTTTCCAATACAAATCGATTATTTGAATTGACTTCGTGACATTCTTTTACTTGTTGTTGATGGAATTGTAAATTACAAGTGGTGATCACGACATAATGTTTTCATGCTTAGAAATTATGATACAATTCAAATTTGTAACATGCTATTTAGTAAGTTTATTAAGTAAGAAATATGAAGACAAGAGTAACATATTTATTTAATCACATCGTACAATTAATCCAATTACGAGGAATTCAAATCCGTTTGTGTTCTTTGATACTTACTCATGTCATGAGATTAATTTGTATTTTTTTATGACAAACAAGAGAAGTAATAACAAGAGCAATTAAGATCGGTTAATGTCGGCGCCAAAGAAAACCAGCGTTTTAATTGCCGCTTCTTGCTTTTTTTTGCTACCTCGTTGAATTATCATGGTGAGCAAAGCGTGTAATGTGCATACAAAACAAGTACACAACAGGAATTTACTCTATTCTTCTCTATTTTATATTTACAAGCAATGAAATTATTCTTGTTTGAGTTTGTGATTTGTGATTCATATTTATCATTATTTTTTATGCTTTTTGGTAATTTTGTTTTTGTCAGTTGTTTACATACATTAATGTAGATTTTTTTAGAGAAAATAAAACCTGAAACAAATCATCACGATAGATTTTCCAAACTTTTATTGTTCCCATCGAGAAATTAAAATTTCGAAAAACGTTAACTTATAGAAATTTGAATTTCCTGATCATCTTGAAGTTTAATCAAAAGAGCCTTGAAGTTCAAAACAAGAAATTGAAAATTTCTAAATGCCATTCAATCAATGACACCTTTGATAAAATTCAGCCAATTGAAAATTCGAGCATTAGAAAATAATAAAATATTCATTATTCCTATCTATTACATTAATGTAAGTTTCTGATACTGAAAAATTGGGGATTTGAAAGATCCCAGAATGTGGGCAATGCACTCGTTTGCATCTTTTGCCCGAAACTTCAAAAATGACTGCTCTAGCTGCTTGCGCCATTGAAGGCTTCTTTTTGCTAACAAATTCCATTTTCTCATTTCACAGGGAGATTGAATCGACATCACGTCAACGGCGTCAAAGTGCACCGCCACCAACTTCCGTCGGTCTTTCGGGAGCAAATAATTATCGCGATGAAGCTTACATGCGAGCAATAAGCAAGTTCAACGAGTGGCGTAACAATCAACGTTTCGAGCGTCTAAGTGAATCAAGAAATGTCAGCGGAATCACTCAACCTCCTACAAATGATCAGACTATTATGACAGACGATTTCAGTCTCCTTAGCGATGTGTTCATTGACGATAGCGAAAAGCGAAAACTCATTGAAATGCAACGTGAAAGAAAAAAGAAAGAATTCGACAGAAAACTTGAACATAACGTTTGTTTCTACAACACTGCACGTCCAAAGAATCATCGTTTATCACTTCCAAATATGAATGAAGACACTTTAAATCGATCACAAGTTAAACGACGTAGCAAGAGAAGTAAAGTTCATCCCTCACAGACAATTGATGAGATTGAGGAATTTGAACAAAATCACTGCCATAAGATTGACGAAGACTATTCGATTCAAGTAACAAGTCCACCGAGTAAGTTTTATCGTGACAATATTGATCCTTATGGAGACAACAAACAGTCATCGTCAACAAACAAATCAATTCCAAAACGACATAGTTTAATGGGTCGAAACATGTTGCGTCGAGCGAAGAGTCATGGAAAAGAAAAAGCGCCACAGCCACCACAAAAACATGCTGAATCAGAAGCTTCCTCAAATTTTCAGAACGGAAATTTTAAGCATTATGAAGTCAACACGTCGTCAGTCTACAGTGAATTTGTCAAAGCTTCAAATGCTTACAAAGTCAATATGAGGAAACATGAGCCAGAAAAAGTCAATTCAGTTGGTGAAAGTGCAAGCAGTGGATCATTGTCGTCTGATGTTGAAAAGAATGTCAGTTTGAAGAATCAAAGAAGACTTTCACCGCCTTACCAAACAGTTATTAACAAGCATGGAGATGAAGTTGAATATGCTTTGCCTTACAGTGAACGTGAATCATTAGTGAACATTCCACCACTGCCCACAACTGCACCACCTGATGCATCAAGAATTTCCCAATCAAAGTTCGAGCAAATTATCAATGAAAACTTTCAATTTCTCAACTCAAACATCGAATTTTTCAATGCTGAAGAGTCGATGTTGAATCGTCAAATGGCGGATGCAGCTTTCGAGCCAATCGACACATCATTCTCAGATATTCGTCGAAAGAACCTTCAAGTGACAGATTTGGATAAATCAAATGATACCGGACTCGTTACACCTTTGCAAAGCGGTGACATCATCAGAGAACTTGACACGCTTTCGAAGTGGACGAAAAATTTGGAGAATTGCGAAAAGAAATTTGAACAAAAATCTCCTATTGAAGAGTACCAAATGATTCAAAGCAATGTGAAGATTTTCAATCCACATGACATCAAATATAAGTCGGGAATCTTAAGAAATTCCTTTTCAACGCCTTTAGAATTCTCAAATGGATATTTTCATTCAACTCCTGTAACACTTCGAAGTACATTGCCAAACTTATACAGCATTAACAGCTTTGCTGATATCGCTTGTAAACGAGAGTTTGAAATTTTATCGTAAGTTGAATTTGAATATTTTTTTGTTATTTTTCTAATTTTTTTTTCTTTTTTATTCAGGCAAATGAAGCATCAAAGTATTGCAGTGTTGATAGGAATCTGCCATGATAGTTCTCTAAGAGTTATGTCATTGATATTGGAACCTTTTGATTACACTTTGAATCATTATTTACATCAAATGGTGAGAAATTTTGTGAAATTTAATGAAAGTCAGAAATTTTATATTTTTATTTTCAGGATCAATATTTTGCAATTCAAGAAGTCGTTTCGATTGTTCAACAAGTAGCAAGTGCGACGCAATATCTACATGAAAATGGATTTATTCACTCAAATATTAGCAGTCATGCGGTTTTAATTCGTGAATGGCCATTTGCTGTTCGACTTTCGTCGTTTGAACTCACCACAGAAATTCAACCGCGAGAGTCTTTAGGTTTGCGACTTTTCAAGCCAGACAATGTCATAAATAACGATAAAGATCTGATGTTGAAAGTTCCAACGGAAGCAGTGATCGCTGAGAAATATTACAAGCTGTCAAAGCAACATTTTTATAATCGCACGTCATTGCCGATCTTCAAATATGGCGATGCAGATTACGAATTAGATTCTCATCATCCACATTCTGTTGTTTATCGAAGAATGTTCTCGATGCATTATTATCAACCACCAGAACTTCTCATCCCATCAACCGACAACAAACTGAAATACGTTCTTCCAACAAAGAAATCTGACATTTTTTCTCTCGCTTTGCTATTGTGGGAATCGCTGAACCATTGCGTTCCTTTTGTCATCTTTAATCACGATGAACTCATTCATGCTTACAAGCAAAATGAAGCGAAACTTCCATTCTTAGATAAGACTGCAACCTTATTTATGGACATTTTCGATACTTGTCTTCGCGCTGATGCTGATGAAAGAGTTTCACATGTCACTGAGTTCATTTCGATGTTAGAAGAAGTTCGTGAAGCCGGGGAAACAAGAAAAGTAAAAGAGTCAAGTTTTTCAGCGAGTTTTGATCCACTTTTCACACGAAAGGAAATCGAAAGAAGGAAAAACTATATGAATGTGAAGTTCCATGAAAAAGTTCCGGAAAAAATTTACTTTTCAAGGAAAAACATTGAAGAAATTGATCCGCAAAAGAGAATGGAAAATGCGATAACAGCTGAGAATTTGTTGAGTATGGGCGTTGGTCACAAAGATACTTCAAAGGTGTCGGAATCAATGAAAAGTTCTGAGATTGAAGCACAAATTAAATCTTTTAGTCATCAGCCAGGAATTCTTCGTGATAACGCTTTGGAAAGGATCAAGAGATCAGTTGAAGAACAACGCGTCATTGCACCAAAGAAACCAAGTCGAAAGAAGGATGAAAATCATGAAGAAGTTTTTGACCATAGCAAACGTTCATTAAATGCTGACTCAACAATGTATCAAAGCTTCTTCGACTTCAACCGTTTACACACTCCAAAAATCGACAAAGATGTGATGTACGAACGAACCAGCACATTAAAGAAACGATCCAAAGTTCCAACTACTGAAAACCAAAAGAAATCCGTCAAAGGATTGTTCGAGAAGCAACAAACAACAACAGCTAAAGTCGATGCGTTTGAGAAGATGAACAACGAGTTGAGTCAAATCTCTCAAGAATTCAACAAAAATGACTTTATGAACGAAATCGTTCAAGAACTTAACGAGCGTCAAAAATCGGGACGAGACGATGTCGGATTAGGTTCGTTTTTAAATCACGGCATGTCGAATACAATTCCTGATCAAAGTCGATCGTTTGAAGAATTGCCAGCAGATAAATCAAATGAGATTGAAATGCCAAAAATAAAGAGAAGTGAGAGCGATATTGGGAATAATTATCAATTTGCTGATGACGATTATTCATCACCAAGAACGCCAATTGCACTAAAGAACAAGATCAGACGCAATGCTTGGCTTTCTGATAGTAAAAAACCATCTGGAGGAAGAATTTCCGACTTCGATGACTTCAAACGAAAGCAGAATAAATCGTTAAACTTTATCAACTCGAATGATGATCAAAGAAAGCTCAATGTTAGTATCAAAATTCATCATAATGATCTCGATGTGACACCAAAGCAAAACAATATAAATATTGATCGTAATTCATCAATCAACATTCAATTGACACCAAAAGATTTACAGAAGTCATCGTTGATGAAGATCAACAATATTGATCTCAATAATTCTCGCTATCCTGAAGATATCAACAAGAAATATTATCCAATGATGCCGGAAATGCTCAGCGATGTGATTCAAAATAAACGCGATCGTTCTGTTCATTTTCAAGCTTCCACCAACTCTTATGTTGATGCCACTGATACAGCAAGCAATGAGAAAGAAGAAGTTGAAGAGAATGTGATTGTGCCAGTACGAACGAGTGTTCGTGAAGCTGTGAAGTTTATTGAATCGACATTTCATAGTCCACAGCCGAGAGTTGTTATGGGTCGAACGTCGTTGACAACAGCAGATCGTGACAACTTCTTTTCAACTCCGCAAAATCAAAATTTGACACCACAGGGACAAGAAAAGTTTTTCACTCCTTTATCTGAAACACCAAAGACGGCAGAGAAGTCTGATGAAGCTGGTGAATGTTTGATGAAAGCAGCGGAATCGATTCAAAAACTTGACGAAGTTCCATGTCGAAATCTTCCATTTCTTGTCAACAAACGATTGGAGAATGTCGTGAATCAACAAACGCCATCAAAAATCACCACCAAAGTCACAGTTAATCTCAAACAAATTTCATCAACACGACGATCAAGTGACATTGAACATTTGAAGAAAAGTCAAGAACAAAATCGTCATTCAATTTGCAACAATGCTGAGTTGATTAAACGACTTCAAGTTCACTTTAAGTCGATGGATAAAGAGCAGTCATTGGTGAAGAAGGAGAATCACGAGATTTCTGCTAGTTGCAGTAGTTTAGTGCCAAAAGATCCGAAAAAAGAATTAGCACAAGCTGGGAAATGCTCGAAATATTTCTGTCGAAACTGCGGCTTTACGATGATTCCAGCTGAAGTGTTGAAGAAGATTCAAAGTAATGGACGTTTGTCAATCGCTTCAAATCTTGCTGGTTCTCTGCAATCAATCAAATTCGATGATGGAACTTCATCACAATCAATGGCAACAGCTTTGAGAAAGTTTCATCCAATTAATGTAAGTTTTCTGTTTTACTTTATGCTTTGAGTAAATTTTTAATTATTTCTTTATTTCATTCTTTAGGAAGCAAAATCAACTGAAGACCTTTACATCGATGATGACTTTTGTCAGAGTTTAGGGGCAAACATGGAATTGATGCCAACGCCAGAATTCTTCGAATCGATGGATTTCAACTTTTTAACAGCTGAAATCTTTCACATGCAAGAACATGAATTTGATTGCAGTTTGAATGACGAAGAGAAGGCACAATTGGGATGCAATTGTAATCAAGACGAGATTAATGCTATTAAATATCACGAAGACGAGGAAACTAAGACGGGAAATATTGCAATAGATGAACAATTAGAAGATGATCATTCGGAAGAAGTTCTTGACGGTGATAACAAAATTGAAGAAGTTTAAAAGAAATAAAACAAAAGATTAATATTTAAAGACATATTTTCATAATTATTTGATATTTCATATTTTTACGATAAAAAGAAATAAATTTCTGTTGTGAAAAAATAATTCATTTGGCAGTTTGATTTATTTAATGCAATTATTGATTTAGTTTCTTCCTTAGGTTGTTGCTTTGAAGTTCTAAACAACTTTTTATCATTTTTATTTTTAATATCTTTCGATCTTCTTCTTAATCTAATCTACATGCAGATTAGAGATTAGATTAAATTCCTCCAAGTTTTCCAAAACTTCCTATAGAAACAATTTAATCTTAATCTTGATTTAATCATTTCTTTTAACTCATTTGAAACTGTTGAAAGGTTTCAATATTTTTATTTTTAGCTTTTAAAAGCTTTAATTTTTTTTCGAGCTTTTGTTTATAATTCGTTTTACCATCAATAACTTTCAAGATCTTTTTCATAAATAATGTAAATGTATCCGTTCCTAAGCTAGTGGAATGTGGTATCGGAAAATTTTACGACATGACACAAAGCTGCAAATTTATGACGTTAACTCTCAATTCATGTTATTAAATACCCAGAAAAGCAAAATAAATAATGTTTTCATTTTTATTTGTTATCAAACACATGTGGTCTCTGTTTAAATTATTCAATTATTTTGAATACGACAAACTGTGAAAAATGTAAGTTTCAAGGTATTGGAAATTTCGATTGTTATCTTGAAATTGTACATTCAACGCCTCTTTATCTTTATTTCCTGAATGAAATTCTGTTTTCATGAAGAAACATTTTTTTGTTTATTCATTTGAAGATCATCTCAAAATTTCGTTTATTATTCGATATTAAACTTTTTTCTTGTTGTCAGTTGTTAAAAGCTTCTTATTTGTTGTTTTATTAAGAAGTAAAAAACTCAACTTTTTATACTCTTCTTTCTCTTCATGTATTATATCACACTTGATCAAATGAGTTTAAGTAAGCTCGACTCACAAAATTCACTTACAAGTCATTAATTCAAACATGAAGACTGAGTTTTGTATTCCTAAATTTTTTTTATGTGTCGAACTTTTTGCTTTAATCGCTGCTACTTTGGCAAAAGAAATACCACAGGATTCAAGAACTAGCGTACAAAACCCATGTCAAGAGGAAGCTTGCCAACCTGATTATATTTGGGATACAGAGAAATGCGCTTGTGTTTCACGCCCACCATGTGCTATCAGATGTAATGTTGGGTACCATCTTGAGTACGACGAGAACGGAAGATGTTTCTGTGCTCTTAATGACGAATGTCCAGATGCACAAATATATGATCGCAATCAAGGAAAGTGCGTTTGCGAGTACCCTATAGAATGTGGTTCTGGCTATTATTGGAACGAGGAGATTTGTAAGTGCAATCAATTACAAAAGATATGTGTGCAGATTTAAAATGCTGATTCTTTAACTTCGAGTTTGGAATCATGAAAATTTTGACGACATTCATACAATTTTGTCTCTTCTGTATTTGTGAAAATGATAAACTCAATAAAATCAATAATAAATGCACAAAATATTTTTTTGTTTCAATTTGTTTTAAATCGATTTTCTTTTAAAATATTCACTGAAATTCTTTACAAAAATTTTTTCATTCAATTTCAAATTCCATTCGGTTGTTTTATAAGTCACCATTCAATGGAAATGAAGAAGCGATTTTATTGAATGTTTCGTGCTTTTTAATAAGCTGGATTAATAAAACAAATCTGTAATTTTGAGAGGATTAGATATTATTTCATTTATTTGTAGTTTGAATCAAGGTTTGAATATTAATTTTCCTCTGTGACATAAATGTAAGCGTGAAAAAAAAATTAAAGGAAATTAATTAAGGAGTCGTCATATGATCGTTGATCATGTTCAGTTTTGCGCATGCGCTTAAAGGCATTTGCACTTTCATGATATCTTCGCTGAAAATTGTAAACAGCTTTTGCAGCTTCCTCGTAGCCTGAATAAGTTCCAACTGCTTTCTTGTTTACGATATCACGAACAAGCATAATATGACCACAATATTTTTTGAAAGGGATGCGATCTAGAAATGTTCAAAAATTTAAAAAATATTGGATAAAAATTTATTAATTCTACTCACCTTTGTGATCAGTCCACCCGATGTTTTTGCGAAAATCTTCGCTGAAGTAAATTTTCATTAAAGATGAAGCCAATCCATTCTTTGGGTTGGTTCTAGCATCTTGATTATAAATTTTTTTCGAATAATAATTAATCTAAAATGAAACTATATTAATAGATGCATACGAATAGAAAATAAGAAAGCATTACCAGTTTATTTCTTAAGATAACAAAATCATTATCGAGCGATGGATTCTTATTATAATTTATAAGTCTGCGTTCGAGATCATTCAACCGTTCCATGCTGTTGATGGGTTCGGGAACAAAGGATGTGTCTTCTGTTTCTGGTAATAATAATGAAGAATCGTGAGAACGTAATGCTGAAGAAAGATTTTTAAATTCCTTCTTGAGATCATTGAATTTAAAAAGAATTGTTTGTTGGGATTCTTTAATGGTCTTGAGGTCGTCTTTTATGATTTGAAGTTTTTTATTTATTTCGCTTATATTCAATCCCACAGTCTTATTTGTATCTGACGCCATCGATGCAGTCTGCGTCTAGAAGGAAACAAAAATTATGAGTGAATTAAAAAATGTGAAACACTTGCCTGCAAAGTGTCAATTGAATCTGAAACAAATTCAATTTGTTTATAAGAAGTTGAAGGCATGGTGTAGGTTGTAGGCATTAGGTTCAACAGTTTTTTCTTTCCAATTTTCAATTTGGCGATGCGTTGCTTAAATGTTTTGTCAGAAACTTCTAGTAAGCTTTTCTTTTTTCTACCCATTGGACTCTTACTTCAAGGTATCATTATTATTAATTAAAAACACTTAAACTTTACGAGAGAATCGAATAAAAACAAACAAAAAAGTAAACTAAATTATTCTTATCACGTCCGATTTTGAGGTCAAAATGAGGTCAAATACCTAAATACTAATGAAAAACTCCGAAAAGGACAATCAGTCACTGATGTATTTGCATCAGATTGAATTTCAAATCTGATAAGCGTTATCCGTTAAAAATCTACGTCATGACTAATTCAAAAGCTATCACAAGTAGCAGTTATTGCAGCGTGAATTTGTTTTTCGTCAAATGTCTTTCATATGGCGGATTATAAAGGATGACCTTCCAATTAAATGGAGATGACTGTCCTGTGCTAGATTTGTGAGAGACATCGCCTTTTGTGCTATTCAGTAAGACTCACTAAGACTAAAGTTTCAATATTTATTTTGATAATTTATCTGATAAAGTATTTATTAGAATCATAATCAGAGTATTTAATAAATTACAACAAAAAGGTTACAATATTGACATCATTTCAAATTTTATTTGAGGTAAAAACATAATTTAAAGCTGCCTTAGAAATGTCACAGTTGTAAAGTTTCTTAAAAAAATTAACATGCATAAATAAAATTTCTTAAATAAGTTTTGTGAAAGTATTAAGTAGACTGAACTTGCAATGTCTTTCATACTTAACACAATTATTTTCACGACCCAAAATCTCTGCTTTTGAATATTCTTTTGGTAGTTCTTCATCTAGCGACGACGATGGCCTGAGTGTAAACAATCACATTTTAATATTTTATTTAAAGGAATACTTTGAGAACCCTTACGTAAGAACGATATGCAATATATGTCCAACTACACCATTATTTTCTATTAGTGGATATGTTGCTGATTCACAAATGGCACGTAATAAACATTTCTTTCCATCAATACCTCTCCTAAAATTGAACGTAACATCATTAAGAGAAAAATATTGAAAGTAATAATTTACGAATTCAATCGACTTTCGATGAGCCGATAAACTGCTTTCCTGACAAAAAGCGAAGAGTCATCATTAAAACTTTCGGTTTTTGAACTTCCAGTAACTTCGTTCTTGAAACTTCTTCGTAAAATGATATTTTCTTCAGGATTTGGTACAACGGTTGTTGGAATCAAGCCAGGAAATCTAATAATTGGACCCGGAAAAGACTCATTTGGCTGATTTGGCACGAAAAAGTTTGATTCAAAGTTATATGAAACAAATATACTGCGACCTGGAATATCTAAAGGTATGGCAAGTGCAACCAGAATGCCGATAGCGGCATTGTAGGGAAAAAGAACAAATGGATAGAAAAGTGCACGCTTATGAATTCCTTTATGAATAGCAAAAGATTTGCTTGAGTTGCTACTTTCGTCGTTTGATACTTCACTGATTAAAAGAAAACTAATCACTATCTTGAAAGTTAAAAATCTGCTAAGTAGTTTCATCGTTCTCTACTCCACAAACTCAAATGAAGTAAAATGAAGAACAAACTTTTTAACTACCAGAAGAGATAATTTTGACACTTTTATTGACCAACATTCAATAATGCAGAGTGGAGATCGTTTAAATTTGCTTAACAGTTCTCGTATTTCATTACACCTCTGATACTTTCTTCATCACTTCAAATAATTTAAAAAACAAACAGAGAACTTTTGTATTCTCACGACCCAAATGGAATCTCACACGGAAGAGTTTCAGATTTTTTTTCTATTTTATCATCATTGAAAAGGTATCGATTAAGTTAGCGTTATATTTCTGATTGTGCATTTTACAATTTCAATCTAAGTTTTCTGCTTTTGAATATTCTTCCATTTTATCGTCAGCTTTAGAAGTTGTTGGGCTGAAAAAATTTAATATTAATATTTAATAAAATTAAATTGTTTTTGAAATTAGGTAATAAGTAATAAAATTCAGTGGATAAATTGTGAATGATGTTTCCTAGAATTCCATTTGTGTCGACTAAGTTATGACGAGATATTTTCATCACAAATTACTCTAAGAAGGCAATCGTGAACATCAATCCCGTGATAATCTATTTTTGATTCATCCTTTCCTTTTTGATGATCTATTAATCCTTTACTCCATCAATGAAAAGATTTTTTTCAGACACTTCTTTTGCAAAAACTGTTGCGGGTAAGTCAAATGAAAAGGCAAGGGCAGCAGCATGCTAGAAAAATCTAACGGAGAAAGAGAAACTAGATCAGTTAATGTGTTAAAACGACGTTAGTAAAAAAAATTTATAAGCAACATAAGTAATGAAAGCTAATGAAGTGTAAATATAAAGAAATATAATGTGTAAGTACTTGGACTGAATTAGATGTTTATGACTAAGATATTTTCAATCCCACTGCTTAATGAAAATGATTTTTTATTTTTCTTTATTGGCTGAAACGGTAGAATAAACTAATAAAAAGAGTTTTAAACATTAGATGATTAGATTAGTAGTCAATTTCATGAATAGATTTAATTATATTTGTCTTTCATTGTGATAAAGAATAATAAAAACAAAACATTCATGACTTCCGTGAATAATTATAAATTTCTGTCACGACGTTTAATACTTAAATACGATGCACTTTCAAAAAAAAATTAAAAAGTTTAATTAGTTTTGAAATTACGATGATTGGTGTCGGAGATTCGTTGATATTTTTAGTTTTGATATTTGTGTCGTCAGCACCAGGCACACTTTCGACATCGATACCAACAGTTTGTCAAGGACTTTGCTTAGATCCTAATTATGTCTGGGACATTGCTACATGTAGTTGCATATTCAATCCTTCCGTACCGAAACCATCGTGTTTTGATATTGAATGTGAAGCTGGATATGAACCAAAATGGTATTTTGATGAATGTTCTTGTGTCAAAATTAATTGTCCACCATGGAAAATTTATGAAGCAGAGAAATGTATTTGTAAAATACCCGAGCCTGACTGTGAAGACGATTCTGAGTGGGATGAAGAATTTTGTCATTGCCTTCCAGTGAAGCCATCATGTGACTTAATATGTCAAGAACCTCAAATGTTGGATGAATTTACATGCACTTGTGTGGGAGCACCCCCTTGTGTTCTTCCTATGCAATGTTTACCTGGCTACATTTTAGATCCCAAATGTATGCCTTGTGCACCTTGTAAATGCATTGTGGATCCGAATTATGTAACAGAAGCTCCATGCATAGTTGAATGTCCATTAAACTATGATTTGGATGAAATTAATTGTGAATGTAACTGCATAAAGAAAACTTGCCCGATGGATTATGTTTTCAACATGGATCTTTGTAAATGCAAAGAATTTTGCGATAAAGAGTGCCCAATCGGATATGAACTGGATATGAAAGGATGTTCTTGTTATGATTGTCCATGTGTTCCTGAAAAAATATATCAACCAGGATGTGATCCAAGAGTAGTAAAATGTGGTCTCGGTCATATATTTGATACAATTTTATGTCGATGTGTCAAGGAAATACAACCATTATGTGACGATGGTTACATTTATGATAAAGATTCTTGTTCTTGCATATGCGCAAAGTGCTTTGAATGTCCTAAGAATTTTGTTTGGAATGAAAACATTTGTCAATGTATTTGTCCAAGAAATCAAAATTGTCCTAAAGATTTTATCTTAGATTTAAATACTTGTAATTGCGTTTGTGACACTACTAAAAAATGTCCTGAAGGATTTGCGTTAAATCCTGAATCATGCAATTGTGGATGTGTTCAAAACGAAAAATGTAAGGAAGGATACATCTGGGACGATTTAACATGCAAGTGTACTCATGAGGCAACACCAACTTGTGATCCAGGATTCATTTATGACCACGAACAATGCAAATGCGTTTGTGAATTTGAAGTTGTTTGTAGACCTCCTAAAGTTTTTGATGATAAGATCTGTAATTGTGTTTGCTTGAGAAAACATAATGAATATTGTCCTGAACGGCACTGGAATGAAAACTCGTGCCAATGTATTCTTCCATTAAAACTTTGAAATAAAAAATATTTTTGAAACAGAGAGTGAATTATTTTCATTTTTTTATGGTACATATGATTTTATTTATGAGTGATTCCATATTAAGGTAAAAAATTTCATGAATTTTCAAAATCAAAATTTTTGATCATGAACAATAAATCATCAATAAAAGAAGTGATGATCTGGAAAAGCAGAATCTTCCTAAGTCTCTGCCACTATATTAAGATTCTTTTTAATCTTTTTAAGTTAATTCTATTATCTAATTAAAAAGTATTAATGTTAATGACTTTACGTCCATGTAAAGGTTGGTGTGCTTCCATATAACAAATTTTGCTTCCATAGTGTCAAGAAGAATATTATTGATTGTGTGATTTTTATTCTCTTGATACAAAATTTCACTCGATACAGGGTCCTTAGCCAGTCATTTTTTCCGGTCCCTTCAGAGTATGTTGTATTAAGAGTTCACTGTATATATAATTGAAGTTTAACATTCATATCACGTTTCAGTCTTTTTCAACTTAACATGAAACAAGTAGATATACATTTTTTTAA